ATATGGGTAGAGCTGCCCTCTCAGCCTGTCAGTTTTATCATGACTGTTAGGCCTGCGAAAGAGCTCTTTACCATTGTCTAAATTACAAAGATACTTCTAAAGCCAAAACAAACTTTAAAAATAGCATTTCAAATTCTTATCCCTTTCCCTACAAGAAAAATTGCTTTTCTGTCTGTATCTAATTTTGACTTACTGGGGTTATACAATTGTTTACTGAACAAAAATAGCACACACAGTACTGAGCTGCTCTCCCATTTTGTTATTTTCTCTCCACTATGCAACACCAAGCAAATTTTTTGTTGTTACAAGTTAAGCAGCCTAAAGCAAGTTCAAGACAAACAAAGGAGTCTGTACTCATAAGCCATCAGGCTGATGTGGAGCTGAACTTCTCCACAGTCTCACTAGGTCATACCAAAGGAGACTTTTTCCACAAGACGTTTATCTTACACTTGTTACTACACATTAACAAATCCGTGGCGGAAATGCACCTTGTCTCTAGTGAATAAATACTTCATGAAAGAACAAGGTATAATGTATTCCACCTTTCGATTGTTGAATTCAACAGATGAAATATTTCCTTAGAAGTCTGTTAGTCAGTGTCATGGACAGCAATAAACAGTTTAAAGATCTTGAAACAACATATAATGTAAATTAAAACTAACATATTCATCTTAAAAAAAAAAAAAAAAAAGAAAAAAACACAAAAAACCACCCAAAACCTGAAAGGATTTCTGTTTTACATGTTAGAACTCCAAATTCCAATCCTTTCTGCAATTTTTTTTTTTATATCTGTGAAATAAGTTAATAACTCCTGATACCTCCTGTTGACCAAATCAGATGTGACTCAGGGTGGAGCCAAAATTGAAGACATCTTCTCTTTCCACACTCAACGCTCCTCTGCACACCTGCACATATGCATTAATTGGCCTATGTATCTGTTCACACAATAGGAAAGCTTTCACACAGACTTTACTGATTGTTACACTACTGCCTTGTTTTATAAGTTTTCTTTTTTTAGAATTTAAGAAAATAGCATCTTTCTCACTAGGTACTTACTCTTACAGATAAAGAAAGCAGCATCACAAAACCTATGTCTGAGGAATTTCCGTTTTATTTCACCAAAATAAAGTGAAACAAAAGGGGAAGAAGAAAAGTTGCCACATGTTATTTGGAGAAGGCCTATAGTAATAATGGGAGACTGTAACTAATAGTCTCTGCAGGTCATCCTGTTGATGCAATACAACACTGTTTAACCACCATTTGGGACTAACATTTAATCACAATGAGTTTTGCTATTCCCACATTCAATGACTTTGCAAAACCACTTCTAGTCACTCATTGGGTTTCCACATCTCACACTACTGGCTGCTGCTGCTGTGGAAATGTTAAACATACTTGATGCAAAATGACTAATAGGGGCTGTGATTCATTATCACCAGAAGATGAATATGCCACCAATTGATTTTAACGCTAACACATGAGTAATGCTAAAAGCAATTTAATTAGATGCAATTTATAAATCCAGGGAAAACTAACGAAACAGCAATTATTTGGTACTATTATCTGACACAGGATGCACACCCCACATGTTGTGATACTGCCACAGCACTGCACAAAATACCGCATCAGGCAGTTATGACCACTTTCATTTTTGTGATCTGGTCTGAAAGATTAGTTTCAATATCCCCCATTTTTGCACACAAATTATTAATTTTAGAATACATCAAATACATCTCATTTCATTGAGAGCGTTTGCAAAGCAGCTCTGTTACTTCTCTTCAATACTGCAGTATAATGTTATGAACCCATCATTTTTTTCTTTAAAATTTATTGTAGTTATTTCAGTTTATGATTATTCCTGCTAAATGATAACTGTATACAATGGCTCATAAAAGACTGCAGAAATTTATCTGGAAACAATGTTGTGCTTTCAAGGAAAAGGCACAGCGTTCATGTCGATATTTTTCACGTGCCTGTTTCACTCTGTCAGTCCTTACCATATGCAGCTTTTAATCACCAGATATACTTCAGTAGAAGTATGAACTTTTTCTTATGTTGTAAAAGCAAATAATTTCATGTGTCAAAGAGGCCTGGTGCTAAATAATTGAAGTCACTAATCTCTCTGATGCCTGAAATAACTTTTTACTTTATTCTCCAATAAATTAACCATTTCTAAATTCCACCTTTTGACTGTTGAATTCAACAGATGAAATATTTCCTTAGAAGTCTGTTAGTCAGTGTCATGAACAGCAATAAACAGTTTAAAGATCTTGAAACAACATCTGCACGGCATACAAAAGTTTGGGAACGCTCTCCTGGTTTAACAGAACAGAAAACAGTAATGTCTAGAGATTGCCTTTTTTTATTACCAGAATCTGGTAATCTAGAATACCACATTCTAAATCATGCATACGTTGAAACCATTTTGAAAACTAGTTACTGATAAATGTGTTTGGCAATAGCGCTGTCAGATAGTCCCTTTTACTTCTTTAAAAGCATTACTGAATAGCAACTTTAAAATAATCCTTGATATTATCTTCATTACTCTCTTTCAGGATGTGACAACGTTGACTTCTTGAACCCATTTGGAAAAGATTTTAAAAATACTTTTCAATTTCTTACAAGGAGCCTCAAAATAAAGAAAGTAACCTTGAAATGTAGGCTGTGATACAGCCTAATGAAAAGCTCTCCACTGAAGAGTGTATACTTCTCTCTACTTCTCCCACATTTGCAGTCACACTGTTCCACCTTTAGCGGTTATCAGCCACCTGCATACTCTGCTTTTATGCACTGTAAGAGCAGAAAACTGTCCACCTTCCTTAGTGCACGTAATGAGCAGCAGCAGGTGATGATAAATGGGGGCAGTAGCTCTTCCTTTGAAAGGTGATGAACAGCTAGCACACCAAACACCACAGAACACCACAACCAGTGCACTAACAGTGCTAATTGGAAGGAGCAGCTGAAACTCTGCTGTAAAAATCATACAAACTGGCAGTCACACCCTGATAACATCTTTCCAACTCTCATTTTATTCTCTTCAGTTTTCTGTTTGAGGGAAGTTTACAACAGTAAAAAACATAAAACCAACTAATTAGAAGACCAGCAGAATTATAATGATCCTCAAAACAAACAAACAATGCTAAAAGATATTTTCCATGTTGTTTCTGTCATAGATTAGAATTAACTTTAAAACCATAGCATCGTGACATTAAAGCATGCATTCCATATACTAAAAAAAAAAAAAAAAAAAAAAACAACCCACTTCAGACTACTGAATTCATTCATTTTGAAATGAAAGTTGGCTCCAAAAAAGATACAAAACCCACCACTACTAGTTTATATTTTAAAAGCTGACATTTTTTTCCTGATTTTCAAATATACAGAAGATATCTATTCAAATGTTTATTCCCATAATTGTATTGATGTTCAAGATTAAATAGTTCAAGTGGAAAGTTCGCTTGAATTTGACCGAAAAAAAAAATTATATCATTCTGAATTATCAAATTCTTTTTTTTTTTTTTTTTAATAGAGGTAAATTAATAAGTCACTAAATTAGCTGAAAGCATAGCACTGTCCTCAGGGACAGGTACAAAGTCCAATGCATCACTCTACTGTCCCTTTCAATTCCAAAATTTCACCCACAAGGCCTCAAGGCCAAGCTCAGCCAATTTCAAGTTCTAAAGCAGCATACAAGACTTTGATCAGCATTCAGCATTATGTACGATGCACAAATTTTACACTTTCTGAAATAAAAGCAGTTATGAAGTGAAAGTTATGAAGTTATAACTGTCTGAGAGCTGTTCTCTTCTATAGGGCTAGAACAACTAAATGCTCCTAAACCTACACACCCACGAAGCAAAGTAAATGTGAAAGATACCAGTCATATCATGAAGGTTCTCAAAAACGGTTCTAAAAAAAAAAGAAAGTGTGACTGAGAACAAAAAGATGGAAAGGAGGCGAGAAGCAAGAAGATCAAAATATGAACCAGGGAAGAAAAAAAACTAACCAACACAACAGATCTCAGAAGACATGTCAGATTATGGAGCAGATGCAGGAGGATGATGGAAAGATTCCTAAAACAAACAAACAAAAAAACAATCCAAACAAAAAAGTAACAACACTGCTAATAAATACTAAAATCTCCAATTGTTTTTACTGCCTCCTCTTTCCATACTAGTCACAGGAAGTAGTGTAACAAAAACACAGCAACAGAAATGATTACATCAGCACTTTGTGACAAATAGAAGAAAGGAGTGAGAACAAGAACTGGATACTTGGTGTACAGATGAGACAAGAAACAGAGCAGCGCAAAGACCAACCTTCTTCAAAGAAAGGACAAAGTATTTCTGTAAAAAGTAGATAATATCCGTGGTTTTGGTCTGCATAGCTCAAAAAAGCTCTTAAGAAAAGTGTTGCAAGTGCATGGATACTTTTATATATATCATGATTGTTGTAACTAATAAAAAGTTTTTTTCCTCTAGCAGCACTATACATTCTTCCTCCTTGCAACTCTGAATACATTTATTTAAATTAAACAGTCAAACCATGAGTCAGAACAGGCACTGTGAATCATTCACATGGCACTACATTTGTAATTAGAAAACAGTACTTTACACATTAGCAGACACTTCATAACAGATACTCAGGTTTGGACTGTAAGACCATCTTCAAAATTGAAAGTTTTTCAAGTTTAGAATGTTAAATTTCAACAATGTTGAATGCCATGAATGCTTAAGGTCATACGGGGCTATCAAAAGAGGAAAACAGCATATCATAAATGAAAGGCAAAACTACTTACGTTTCAAAACAGCGATCCACATTGTCTGACATCAGAAGTAGCATGCATAGCTGTTCCAGCGCTATTAGCTGCATATCCCTTTCATCTCCCTGACCCATTTGAAGCCACTCCAGCAATGTGTCTGGGTCCACATCTGCCATGGCTTACCAAAAACAAACAAACAAACAAAAAAACACCACAAAAAAACAACCAACAAGAAAAAATGCCGCCTCTGCTTAAATTTAAAAGTACCAAAAATATCCTTTAATTGTTCAAGTCAGATAAAGTTGAATGCGATTAATCCCTCTCTTCAGCAGGCCCAGGCTCCTGCAGCTTTCACCTGGAAAGAGAAAAAAAGACACACCAACAATTATCTTTATAGTATTTCACATTTGCTCTCCTCTAAAACATACAGCATATTTTCAGGCTGACGTGAACACAACTTCCAAATATCTGACCAGCAATCTTTTTTTTCTTTTTTTTTTTTTCTTTTTTTTCTTTTTTTTTTCTTTGTCAAGCTTTATGAGTCAACTGTAATATGTTTGCTCCACTTTCTTGGAAACAAATCTCTGGATCCAGTTGACAAGCAAGACTTAAAGCCTTCTGTTATAAATAACTCAAAATTTAAAATATAAATAGAAAAATCATGCTTAACTATTTTGTATGTTCTCAGAGCTAATACAAAGACAAACACTGCTGTTGTGTCTGTTCCATTCCCTTTAATATATCTTTTTCATAAGCCACCCAACTTTCTGGAAGATGGATTCTCTCTCCACTCAAATATTCCAATACAAAAAGACACCAAAAGCCATATTTCAAATGAAAATTAGACAGCACCAAAACAAATTGAGATGAACGACTAAAGACGAAAAATCTTCACAAATTCAGCTTCATCCAATAAAATAACTCTGAAATGTAATAAAAAGAAGCTTCTTTAAGTCAAAGGAGAAAAAAGATACTTCCAGGATCACTTCTGTTTTTAAGTTTCTTTTTTAATTAAAAAAACATACACAAGTCACAATTTTTTAAGCACAATGAATAATTAAAATAATTCACATACTTATAAGGAAAACAACATTATTTGTTGGCCCAGTGCCACAGTTGTACATGCAAACTGAAGACCAAAAAAAGTCCCTTAAAATGCTAGGAAGTATTTCTGATCAGTAAGCAAGCACGACCATAGTGTTTAATAAAAATTAGAACAAATTCATGATTATGAACCAACTTCAAACTAAATACAATAGAAAGATTTTTAGAATAGCTTATTAAGAAGAAAAAAGGAAAAAAAAAAAAGCAGGGTAAGTTCAGCAAACACATGGGAAAGCACAGAATACTGGACGGGGCCCTCACACGTGTGGGAGAGGAGGGAGGAAGAGGCCAGACCCGGACAAAGTCTGCTGACTTGTTTACTTGCTGCTAATGAGTTAATAGTTAAAACATAACTCCACCAAGGGCAGACAAGAATATACAAAGCCAGATATTGGTGCTACACGGAGAAAAGGACAAGGAACCAGCAGTGCTGCTTCACAACAACTTAGAATCCCAAGATGAGACAAAAATAAAGCAGAATAAATAAGACTTTTTACCATTTAAAGCCATAAAGACATTATAGATAACTTAAGAACTGCTTGCTGCTACAAATATTTTGGTTTTGCTCCAATCTTGCTGGACTGCAAACTGTAAAAAGTAATTCGTGTTACTAAATTCGTTTTCTATACTTAAAAAGTTGCCGACAATACCGAGCTTTACAGACCGTATTTCTTGTTCTAGACTAAATAAAATAACAACCGAGATCGCGTTGTAGTTATAGCAGTCTCCTTAAGGCGATTAAATGATTAACCTCAAACGGGGGGCTGGGGGCGTTAGGGCACGGGAGGAGGGAGGGAAGAAAGGGTGAAGGCAGCAGAAACGAGACACATAGGAGAGGCAGCGAGAGCGGGCTAAGTCTAGAGCAGCACCTGCCGTCCGCGCACTCGGCAGGGCCGGGGGCAGACGGCAGCGAAGAGCCGAGCAGCAAGCGGGGCAGCGCTGGGCTCCCGGGAAGGCGGCCCCAGCAAGGGGCCGGGCCGCGGCGGCCCTCACCCACACCCGGCGACGGCCCGGGCCCGCGCGCACCCCCAGCGGCCCCGGCCCAGAGCGAGGGGATTTTCGCGGCCTCCCGCTCAGCAGCGGCCCGCGCGCCGCCTCCTCGCGCCACCCAGCGCGGCCCGAGGGGCTCCAGGCGGCACCGCCCCGCGGTCTCCCACAGGAAGCCCGGATGGGACCCGCCGCCTCTCGGCCGCGGCTTCGGCCTCGGCTCCCGCTCCCCCCGGCCCACCGACACCGAACCGCCGGGCCGGGAGACGACGCTCGAGTTCTCGGCGAGCCACAGGCCTCGCGGGGTGAGCCGGCCCGGCGGCTCGCGAAAGACGCCGATAAAGGTTTCCCCGCGCCTCTCCCACCCCCGTCGCTCACCTCGGCTTTGCGGAGCCCCTTCACCAGAGCTGACCTCTCCTCAGCGCCGCGGGAAGGCGGAGGAAGAGGCGAAGCGGCGGCGGCGGCCCGAGCGCCGGAGCAGACGGCGGCCAGCGGCATCCATGGCGCTCCGCCCGGTACGGGATTGGTGGGAGGAGGGGGAGCCGCGCCGCGGCCGCGGGGAGGAGCCGGCGCCGGCCGTACTGCCGCTAGGGGCGCCGTGAGTGCGGCCCGCGCCTCCCGCCGCCCCTAAAGCGCTGAAGCGGGGGAGCGGCTGCAGGCCTGTACGGCCCCCGCCGCCTCGTACGGCCGCGTCAGCATCCCGATCTTCCGCCGGCACGGCCGCCTCTGGGCTGCGCTGCGGCGCCTCTTCGAGGCCGGCGGCCTCTCGGAACGCAGGGTTGGAGCCCTGCGGCTTCCTTTTGGCTACTGGCGGGGCCGCTCTCCGCTGTGACGCCGTGCCCGGCCTCGGCTGAGCTCCGCACGCTTGGAGGAAGCCCCAGACTCGGCTTCCTACGGCGCCACGACCTCCTCGGCGGGGTGCGGCCTCGGGGCCTGGGCCTGGGCTTGGCCTTCGGCGGCGAGGAGCAGGCTGGGGGACCTGCCGTGCCCGTGCGGCCTGCCGCTCTGTCGGCCTGCGTAGGGATTTTCGTTTTACGCTTACGGAATAATTCAACTCGCGCCATTTTTTTTTTTCCTGTTTTTCTCCTCATATTAACTTACTTTGCTCCTTGCAGCACATCCATTAGGAGTGGCAGGCATGACGGGTGTAAGTGTAGCAGTAAGGGTCCTTAGGAGCACAAGTTGTGACTTGCCCTTATCTTGTAGTGAGTTTGAGGTATTACAGCTGTAGTGTTTGGATGCTGGCAGTTCTCAGAAAATTCCCTATGCTGCTTGCTGTGCTAAGGTGTGCAGTTATTTTGCGTATTGCCAGAAAATGAAGCAAGCTGCAGCATGCCTCAAATGAAGGACTAAAAGTACGAAGGAAATGTAAAATGATTTCCATCTCTATATGCTCACGTGTGCTTTTCTAAGGAATTTAAGCCTATTAATATAAATACAGTAAATAAGATTATTGTATGTCATTCCTACCTACATCATAGATATTTCCTGTAATTAGACAAACTACACACTGAACAAAAAGGCAGTAACAAGCATGCTCTGTTAGAATTTGCCAAAAGCAGACATTTTTGTTGTTTGGTGTTGTAAAAACACCCCCAGAAAGTTTTATCTTTAATACTTTTTTTTTTTTCTTCAGTATAGGAAACAATAGTTCCCTTGTTCCTGTTTCTGTTTCACTAAGACAATTCAGTATCTTCCTGTACTGTGCTTCTTAACTGCCACTTGTTCCAGTCCTGATGAGGTTTAGGAGTGTCTCCTTCATGTATGCTCGTCCTTCAGGGGTGAACGAGACTTAAAGGCTTAAAGTTAAGGACATGAGACGCTGAGACAACTGAGTCTGCAGTCTTTAAATTTAGAAGCTTGATCTTCTTTCACTTTCACTGGTACAGAAGTGGCAGCTGAATTAGGCCAAACTTGTGAGAACTGCATCTGTTACATGACCTTACTACTCCTGTCGCATGATAGTTTGCTTTTTACTGTGAAGAAGGCAGGTTTCAAGTAAATCAATGTTATGAATTTCACCTGAAGACCAAAGTCAAATGGTATTTTTCAGTTGTAATTACTGAGAACTAAAATCAAACAGCTCTTGTTGTTGTTGCAGGCTGCTTCCTGCTTTGTGGTAGGTACATGGTTATCCATGCAGAAGATGAGGTTATCAAATTAGAGACCAACCATGGAGCAAAGTCAAAAATAACAATATTGTGCATGAAGGAACAGAAATAATGTGTTTAAAATACTTTTTAATGGGAGTATGGTGCTTAAAAATACTGTCAATAGCTTTTAGTGCTGTACATCTTCATTCCTAAATGTCTAAAATACTTGCACAACCTGTTGCATTAATTTCCCCATGTGATATAAATATGTGTTTGTGTGTATATATATATATATATACATATAGATAATATATATGTGTAAATAATATGTGTGTATATATACATATATAATATTAAAGAAGGTCCATTGCAGCTTTAGGTATGGATTAGGATTTTTTTTTTCATTGTGATTCATTTGTAATATATAAGAATTAATTAATGTTTTGTCTTTCATGTGAGAAGATTTCTCCTCCCTGAGAAGATTTCTCTTCCCTTTGTATTAAATCTGAAAAAGTAAAAAAACAAACAAACAAAAAACAACAAACTGCTCAGTCCCTAATTTCAGCTGCATAGATTATATACTTTTTATATGTATTCAAGTTCTGATTTACATATTCAGTGCCATGTACTGTTTGGACATTCCAAATAATTTCAGCAGTTGTCAGAGGATCCTCCATTTGGATTTACTACGCAGAGCACTGCCTGTCAGCTGCTTTGTCAAACTTCCTCTCTGTACTAGACTAGAACTGCCACTTCAGAAATGACGGCTCTCTGTTATTTAATATGAGGAAAATCATATCAAATCAGACTGCAGTTAGCTGGTAAGAAGGAAATAATAATTGCCTAAGTCATTTTTATGGAATTATTTGTTTTCATAGTAATTTTCTTACGAACGAAGTTCAAAAACCAAGATTTCTAGTTCATTTGGTTAGTGCTAGGCCGAAGCATTTTGGATGAGAAGGATTTTTATATAGTCAGGCATGAAACAGAAATAAGGCCGTATACTGAAGTGACAACTAATGGAGCTGATGTGTCATAACTTCTTTGGAGATTACTGTGAAATTTGTGTGAAAGCTGCAAAAACAGCTGCTGTTCACCTACGTGTACAGTGTACGTATTACTCATTCTGTTAAAAAATAACCTCAGTTCTACCATGAGCTGACACACACATGTATGACCTTGCCCAAGCCCCCGAGTCACTGCATGTCTCTGTTTCCTTATTTATTTAAAGCAACAATAACAAAACAAAAAGAACCAACAACAAAAAAACATACCTAGATCATAATGCTGGCTGGCGTCAGAAATATCTTCACATGGAACTCTGAGTTGCTTAGACATGCTATTGTATTAAGTCTTAAATACTGTAAAAGAAAATCCCTCAGTGTTTGAGCAGACCACGTGTGTAAATGAGTGAGGATGCTTTTGTGAAATGCTAACAAGGACACAGGGAGTCAAGCTCTGTAGAGCATGACAGCGACCATCGGTTTTGCTGTAAGCTTACCTGAAAATCCTGAGCATTAAGACTTCTCTTAAAAAAGAAATTGTCAGTGCAGTTGCTAGCATAACATTATATTGTGGACCCACAAACTCCAAAGAAGGATGTCATGGAAGGGTAGCAAAGATCAGGGATTGGAGAATTTCTGATGCAGAAAGATTCTGATGTGTGTTATGAAGAACAGCCAATTTGAGACAGTTACTTTGTAAGAAGACATCTTGGGTATTCTCAGAATGTTTTGGTTCTGTTTGAAAAGAGGTTACATAACTAGAAAAATATCAGGATGAAGAAATATTTATTTTACTTGAAGCTCAAAAAATATTACTTCTTTTTCTTTCTTTAATTCAGTCTGGTGTTTTCTATAAAGAGTTACTGGTTGCAGAAGGAAATGTCTGTTGTAAATAATGTTGATGTCACAGCATGGTTGTAAGGATTGTAAACCTGGGTTGGGAATGATTAGTGTTTTGATACAGAAAATATAAAGCTCTTGCCAAAATCAAAGTGAAGTACACCTACAATTAAAACAAAACAAGACATCTCAGATTCCTGTGTATTTTTAATTTATATGGAAGGTAGAGCCTAGTGTAATTTCTGTTTTTGTTAGCCTTGCTGCCTAGCTTTGTGCTCATGCCAAGCTGACGTTTCCAAAAATATCACTCCTGTAGGGTAAATAGATCAATGTACTGTAAACAGACCCTGCACACCTCCACAAATGTAATTGAGTCATTTATGCTAAAGGCCAGCCAAATAAAACAGGATATTTGCAGATTATTTATCCTTTTGCTTTAACAATTTTTCTCTGCCACTCACACAGCAGTGTAGTAGGAAACAGAGAAGGGTCCTACTACTCCTGAGATAAAATGTGAGTAATTCCATACTACACATTTTGTTTTCTTAATGACTGTTATACTTTTAAAAAGGTAATAAATGCTGGCTACACTTCTCAAAGCAAGGAGGCCGGAAATTACCAAGGACAGAAACTTGTTTGCTGTAACAAACAAGATTTAGTTTTATAGAATTTGGTTACTTAAACTAATTTACTTCGTAAGCGTATTGTTAAAAATATTTTCTTCTAGAAAACTTAGGTGGTCTTTTGGGGGGAGAGAGGGTGTTTGTTTGTTTGTTTGTTTGTTTGTTTGTTTTTTAAGTAAAATGCAATTGGTGAAAGCTTTTTATTTTAATTTTCCTATATTATCATTTTCCCCTCTTAGCTACTTCACTGCTGGACAAGTCAGGTGAGCACAAAAATGGTGTCAGCGTCTTGACTTTCCAAAAGCAAGTACTGAATTTTGCAACCATGGCAATCACAGAACAATTGTATGCGAGCTGTAAAGCATGGTGTGTTTACTTTGTGCAGTCTTATGCAATCCACTGTTACAAGCACTGTGTGAGAGGTTGTCTGTTTGGTAGTTCAAATGCTGCAATTACACATGTCGATGTGGTGAGCATGTTACTAATGTTGACGTGGTAAATGTATGAGTGACATACTGGTGTTTATGAAAGCACACAGCTGAGTCATTGCTCTTTTTGTTAGACTCTTCCTCAGTTTCAACTTCCAGGGATGCTCTTATTGTCAGAATTAACATACAAAAGAACATAGATTTTGGAAAACTGCAGACACTCCAGTGTTACCCTTTCTTTCTTTTTGTAAAATGATTCAAAACCATATGAAATATAGAGCTTTTTTCCCTAAGTTAACTCATCTTTGTGGATGTATTTCTTTATTAAGTATAAATTCACTGTTTTATTGTTCAAGGCTAGGCAGTGAGAAGTGGGTGAACTTCATACTGCTTAATTCCTTTTATCTTAGTTTATGTATATCACTTACATACAAGAGAAAGTAACCCCTTGTCACAGCCTGCCATCACTCATGTCCCTTGTACATCTGATTGCCAAAAGGAAAGGGAGGCAGAAATTAGACAGCAGTTCTGTATCTCAGGGTGTAACTGTACTCCATCTACATAACATATGCAATGCCAATAAATATAAATCCAAGATAAATGCAAGCAAAGATCAGCATCTCAGGTCATAGTATTTCTAAAAATTCTTAATGGCAAGTGCTAGGTTACTATATTCTGAATCAGAAAATTAGATTTGAGATTTGTTCCTTCTAGTTTTATTCCCTTGTTATGTGACTAAAGCATGCATGTAACCCTACCAAGCTTTGATGTGACTCCCAAAGTATGAATGAATGAACAAATAAACTTCAATGATCAGAAGATGCGCACTGAGAATGAAGGGTCTTGATCACCAAATGGTTATTTTATATTTGTGGATTAAAAGCCCAAAGCTACGTGGAGTTTTGCTGGAAAGAGTGCAATTTTTGCAGACTTAAAACTTTTCTAATACCTTTTACTTTTCTTATAATTAAATTATGCCTCATTCACCACTGTAAAATGTTTTGACATGCAAAAAGAAGAAACAAGCTTGAATTCTTAAAACCTGAATTACTGGATTACTTACTAAACTGTAAGAGCTGCATTCTTGATTCAAACCAAGAAAAGATAACTCATTATTATGTTGGAACATGGTAAAGTTCAATACTAGAACTAGAAGTGCTATGGCACTTGGGACAGACAACATAAAAATTGTGTAATTTACTAAAAAGGAAAAATTGCTTTGCCTTAGAATCTTGTGGAAAAATTAGAAAGGACTGTAGTTTCATGATGGTTTATTCTTTTGGACATGTGATGTGTAGTCCTCAATTAAACCTCAGATTGGTTGGTCTACTGGAAAGCTGCCAGTCCATACAGCTTAAATCTTGGTCAGAAGTGAAGAAATTACCTAATTTAGAATTGTAGTAGAAAGGTGAAAATAGGTCTCTGCAGGCCTTCAAGTCCTATTTCTGTACTTATGTTCCCAAGGAATGTATTACAGGTAGTAGTAGACTGTGTATCTCTTAACTCAGTTTTTTTAATAAATACAGGTCAAATTGTATCTGTTTTGGAATTTGGCCTTCACTGCAACCTTTGGACTTGTTCACAAGTGACAAATGTATTAAATAGAACTGACTAAAAATGGGAGCATGATTTTGCAAAGAGAGACAAAAGAATCTCAACTTAGGATGACCAGCACGTTGAAGGAGGTGATCCAGAGGGCTGTTTGGGGGTTGTTTGGGGTTTTGGGCAGCCTGGTCTAGTGGGAAGTGTCCCTGCTCATGACAGCAGATTCTATGTTACTCTATGAACTTCAACAGCATCCAGTTTTATTCTTCACTCACTGTGGTGCTTCATATGGACTTCCACGTCAGACACCATTTTGTCAGTCTCCCTCTCTGCTGGCATCTGTCACACAGCAACAAAGTGTAATGGAATACTGGCGGGAAGGTTCAACCTCTACTGCCATACCACCAACATCCACCTCTGACATCATGGGCCAACAGAATAAAATAAGAGGCACAACTTTTGGAGCAGCACTCGAGTAAGAAAAAGAATGAGAAACATAACCTTCCCTGAGATATTTAAAGTAATTTAATACCTTTCTGTTTAGATAACAATCTGAGAAGAAGCAGATTTTGAATGAGAAGCTTTACATCTCAGCTGTATTTATACCAGGCCTGTATTGGATTGAAGAGCATCTCTGGCAATAAGAAAAAGTGAACATGCTGCAATGAAGGCTCAGAAACATTGCCCACGCTCACTGCCTTTCAAAATGTAATCCAGGCCAATTAAAGAAGATGGTTTTGATCTCGTAGAGAGTTTTGTGTCAGACCTGCGAGTTTGTAGGAAAAGTCATACACAAAACTATTGTCATGAGAAAACAGGTATCAATATAAGGTTATTTTGCTAAGAGCTTTCATGTATCTAAAACTAAGCATAATGAAGATGATAAGGGTTCCTACCTTTTAAGGCATGTAACACATGGTTATTGACCTATCTTTGAAAAGTTTCATCGCCAGGTTGCAACTCCTTAGGAATTCTAAGATCCACGTGGTGAGTGAGAGAGTAGCACAGGATAAATTATTCATACTCATTTTTCTTACTGTACTGTATCTTATACCATTTGGCAACCAGTTAACTTACACCAGTATGACAGGATTTTAATTAATAGGTCTCAAAGTTACTCCAACTACTGCACAGGATTTTGTACTTCAGTTCTTGTGTACTTAATATTAATACCTCCCAAAAGTGAAGCTAGATATAGAGTGCTTGTCATCTAATGCCCAGTCTAAGTTCTTGTGCCAAAGATTTTTCTCAGTGACCTGTTTTCATTGATTCTTAGTTACTTATGGTAAGACACCAGCACTGATTTACTAGGCAAGCGTTTTGTACATGCTTTTACTATTTTTTCTATGTTACAGAGTTAGGGTGTTGTTGTTTTCCTATAAAATATTAGCTTGTTAGGGTTTTGCTGTTCATATAATTTTCTGTGTAAACACTTGTCACAGTGAACGTAGGTAACTTATTAAAATGATTAAGTACTGTGTGTCTGAGCCTGCAACAAAGCAATAATGTTTTCTACCCAGTTTCTTCATACAGTGCCAGCCTTAAAAACAGCAGACCAAATTATTGTAAAGAAATACAGTTCTACTTGGTATCAATAAGGTTTGGGCCAACTTAATTATTAGAAATATTTGTCCGCCTAATTTTTGAAGTAGTTTCTCACGTATATAATTATAGCTCTTAACTAAAATGATTAGTCTATGTCCCAGTCACTGCTCAGCCCAGGGCTGCTGAATCTTGTGCTACCGATTCCCAGGTATTCACTAGTGGAGAATCTACATCATCGGTCGGAATTTTTATTATCAAAATGATAGAAAGGCCTCTACTGAAGTTTAAGCCTTCCTGCACATGTATGATAAAAGATGTATCCACACAGCGTTCTGTAAACAGAAAATTCATAGAAGGCGTTAAAAGCAGATCTAAGACTAACATAGTCCACTCTTATAAGCTGCTTAGTATTTTAAATCTGAAGTCCCAGAGTTTCCCACTTCCACATGTTAGTAATCTTCCAGCTATACTCAACAAAGTTTTCATTGTGCAAAGAAAGCCAAGAGGAATGAAGAAGTTGCATCTGCAGTGAAATAGAGGGTAGATATAAGCCAGCTTGCATCTCACGGCCCAGGGATGATTCACCAAGACACTGAGGACATGCCCAGAGGGAAAGATTCTCTACCTGTGCTGGAAAGAAGGGGAGCACAGCTAGGAAGGAACTAGCCTTTCCAGTTTACACCAAGTCAGAGATTCTTTCCATATTGGGAAACTGAGATAACAAATCAAAGCCAGAATCCAGTCCAGTCTCACAGGCAGGGCTGGTGCCTCTACCAAGCAAGACTGCCCAGCCTGTAGCATTAATAGTAATTCTACGGGAAAGCAAAAAGCAATGTTTTCAAAAAGCTGATTGTGTGCTACAGAAGTTATATGCAAATATACTTGCCGGTTATCTCACACAGGTGGTCTCAGGAAGCAGTCTCAAGACAGATTTAGAGGTAAATTGTGTTCTTCATCACAGTATTGTACACTACCAATATATGAAATTCAAGATGAAATCAGTAGATGTTTTTACATGTAACTGGGTGCAGAAATTAGCCCTTAAGTGTGCTTGAAAGTCAGAGATTTCTCTTGGTGTCAGGTAAGAAAGATGAGACTTCTGTATTCAGCATTAGGCAATTCATGTATACTTCAGCAAGAACTATGCTATAGCAACAGGATATCATGTTTTAAATAATAAAGATGATGACAGACTTCAAGATTGAAGCCCTATCTGCTTTTCCTCTCTATCTTGATTAACAGCAATAGTAAGAAAAAGGATCCTGATACTTCCATGTCTCCTAAAAAGGTTAGAAGATGCAAGCATCAAAACATTCATAACTATAAAGTGATACACAACTTTTCTATAAATGGAATGTCTGACTCTTTGCTGTCTTTTAGTAGTAATCTATATCCATTTGGGGGTTATTTGCAGGACAACAGTCCCTGTGACCTCGATCTGTTTCTATAAAGGGCCACAAAGCTGTCACTTTGCTGCTATGTTAGACCTTTTCAGCTAGGGGTGCTAGTTGGGAAATGGACAATGGCACAGCAATATTCAGTCTTCACAGAAAGCTTTTTCCTATATATCCATGATTTGCTTTTTACTTCTCCTCTCATCCAAAAGGGAGGCTTGCACACTTATTTGTGCTTTTGAAAATCAGTTTCTCTCTCAGGCCCCTCGTTGTACAGACTAACAGTTTAAATTTCTTCAGAAGAGGGGAGTTGGAACAAGTCACAGTTAAAGACTGGAGATATTTACCCTCTCTTACCTGCCCTCAAGGAACTGAGGTGCTGCCAGCAATTAGAGATAGTTGTCAGTTCCCCTGAGATTACAATAAGCAGGAACCAGTAAGTGCACTCTGTTCTCATCTACCTGCCCTAGAAAAGCTCATTTGCCACTGAACAATAGCAAGCACTTCACAGTTCTCTTTGAATTTTTTCTGATCTCTGAAAATCATCCAAAATGCAAAGAGTAACTGCTGTTTGAGGTTAAAATCCTAATCTAGGAACAGTGACAAAATTTTGCAACTCATGTAACTCCTCCTAAGTAGTTTCAAAATCTTTTAGTGAAAACATATAGTATGTGTGTTTGGATGTTGTAACCAATACTCAGAAGACAATGAGAACAAGACTGAGTGTCTCCTATTGCAGTTGGTAAGTTACATAATTTTCAAACTTCTCTTCCTGCTTTGTATACTGTTTAATCATTTTCATATTTCTGTGGAAGTAGCACAGCTTTCTGACGAAGCTTCTGTCTGTATTCTGGCTGTTTTTGTAGCTTGCTTAGAAACCGTAGAGAATATGACCAATTTACAGCTGCTTATATATGTTGTCAACAGATATAGATTCTTAGTGTTGCATGTATGTAAGTTTCCATTACTTCTTATAATAATGTCATTAAGTTGCCTCATCCTGCACTGCACAGTACAAAGTGTTTTGCTTTGATTTACAGGGCTGATTGACAGTCTTTTTATTTCCTGATGAATAATGGACATGGCAAAACAGAACAAGCACAGGTAACATAATAAAATTATGGAAACTTTACAAATCTGTGTAGTTTCATATATAAAGTATGTATAGGATTCTAGTCAGCTATGAAGCTGTTAAATAGTAGACTCATAAACACTGGGATTATGGGATTTTAATGTGGCTCATCACATCCTAGGTGAGTCAATCAGAAATGTGATTCATTAAAAAAAACAAAAAATCAGGTGAAATTAAATAATCATTTTAATATGACACCACAAAAAGCTTTGTGGCATCTTAAATCTATAGGGTAAACTAGCCCTTCAGGAACACTCACCTGTTTTGGTACAGTGGGAAACAAGAACATGTTGGACTGATTGTCAGATTCCAAGTACTTGCCTGCTTGACAGTCCTTCCTGAGAATTTGTGTCCTTTTGTGAGAATGAGTAGGAGAGTTTCTGACTTGCTGTTACATCAGCAGGTGGGTGGCATGAATCTCACACAGGCCATTTTGAAGCAATGGCTTTACCAAGTAACTGATTTAATTACTGTTTTCTTTCTCTTACTGCAGATGCCTTAGTAGCATCTGTTGTTCTTTTGTTCTGCTTTGCCCTTCCTTCCTCTCTGCCTGTTCTTTACCTTCAACATTCATTTGATTTGAAACAACAATATTCTTGAGGGATTCTTTTTCCTCTGCAACCTTTGTAATGGTGTCTTTGCTGCTGCTTTTCCCAGTGGCCCGCCTCTGGCCTCCCACCTTCATGGGAGACTGTCTTGTTTCACTTGTCTGGGGCACTTTGCCCTCCAGCACTTCTCCTGAGCAGAAGTCACTGACTGAGTCACAGCTGGGTGTTGTCTGGCTGAAGGTAAGAAACATAACCAGTAATGATCTCTAGCAGTAAGTTCTATGTACTTCTGAGATATTAGTCTGAACAGAGACTGGATTTTAAATGTCAGTTTGTGCTTCAGTTTGTACTTGGCAAACAAAGTAAGTTCCTGTTCCCTATTCACTTTCTCCCTCACAGAAGCTTTGCAGTAACAGTCCCATCTTCCATATCTGCTTCAGTAGTCTCTCTGCTCTATAGTTAGTAAGTCCAACATCCTCTCCACTTCTGTCTTGATCAGGAAAGCTTCAGGAGTGTTTCTGAATCACCACTTCTTATCCTGAGTCATTTAAGTTCATGGTTCTGAATGTTGTTGCAAATACACAAAACTGAGCAGGACTCCGAGCAAATAAATAAATACACGTGGAACGACAGGGCTCCAACAAACACTGCTCTGGAGGACATAAGGGACAGAGAGACATGTTTGCATTCTAGTGAAAACTGCTTTGAAGGCAAGCTCAGGTCTATACATCTATGGAGCTTGTCTCACAAAGTCTAGTTGCATTTGACTACCAAGTCTTGGCATGGATGCAGGCTGCTGGCATTTCCTGAGCACCATTCATGCATCTTGTGTTCACTAGCTGTGGGAGCTGTGCGTTTCAGTGTGATCCCTGACCAGGCAACTGTTGTGAACAGGTACTTAAAGAAACCTTCTGGAAAAGCTGGTTTCAATTGCCAACTTGGAAAAAAGAGTTTTCACTCATATCTTCTCCAAGTTCAGCTGCCTTCAGCTGTAGAAAACTGCTTTGGTATCTCCTACCAATGCCTACCTATGCCTACTGATTATCTTTCTTCTTTGCACCTACAAAGGATATGTGCATGGCCTTTCTGCCATCTCTCCGAACTGATGTGGAAGAGTCAGGATAGAAGCCTGTGACGTTCTGAGGTCGATGTCTATCTATTCTTACTGTATTTTTTAGAGGGGACCTACAACAAAATGCCACTTGCGGCTAAAGATCACACAATTTTATTTGTATCTGTCTCCAACCAGCTTGAAAATTCTTGTTATTCCCAGGTTTGTTGGCCTCGCAGTGGAACAAGAAAGAATATGGCATAAAAAAAGTCAGCATAGCTTCCCACCACCCACAAGTGACAGTAGTATTGTTTAGACAGTTACGCCTCAGGCAGAACTGGTCACAGTACAAATGAAATCAAAATAGAGTTTCAGCAATTTGACTGTTTAAGAATGATGGCTACAGTGGTAAACAAAAACTGGGCAAGCACATCTGTTTTTGCAAGTAAATAGTGAGATGTAGCTAGATTGCGTTTTGTCTCAGATTCAGTCTCAAAAACCATTTTCTCTTATCTCTGTTCCTCTCCCAGTGCCATCCTTGATCGCTTACTTAACATATTTGTTAACTATCATAAAAGAAAAAACTGAGATTTCCTGCAGACATTTTTTTAAAATTTCTCTAACTATATTTCAAGTAAATTCAGTGACAAAAGTTTGACCCCATTATGACTGTACCTTTTACCTGTAAAACACACATACAACTTTGACAATTATTTTTCTATATTGTTTACCATGAACCTTGCATAAAAGGAGATGAGGTTAAGAGCATTTGCCTTTGTAATAATAGGTTGTCTTTTCAAATGTACAAAACTTCTATTTTAGGCATTAATCAAAATGGTTTCCAGAACCCCTAAGGCCCTAATGCCTGTACTACCACAGGAAACATCTTATACAAAATTTTCTATTTTTCTTTTTTTTCCAGAAAAAAAAGATGCTGAGGAGCAAGGCACACAGCAATAAATAAAAAGCTTACAAAAATACCATAAACTAAATCTTCTCCAGAGAACATTCCAAAATAAACAGTTCCCAAATGTAGCAATTAGGCATCTTAGCAATTCCACAATGCATTTCATTGGCAGTGAGATAGTTCACATTAATTTTAATGTATAAATTTTAACATTGGCTTAAAAAAATCCAATTTTAGGCTAGACAATTGTGATTCATAAAATGTGGCAACTTATAATAGGGTTTTTTTTTAATGTTTCAGTTTCCTACCATCAAGTTTCAGAAAAAACTTGTGACCTGCAAACTTGACCTATATAAACAGAAGGTTTTTCTGTGCAGTAAGTGAACAGTTTGGCACAAATAGTAATATGCCTATGGAGAACTGCTCTACTAAGTCTGGAACTCATCATCATGATTTGTTTCCTTCTGCGAGTGCTGCCATTCACTAAGCAGCCAGAACACAGGCGCAGAGGATAGAGATTAAATGCCACTGTCTGCCTTCTGGAGTCTGATTCTGCAGTTCAAATTATATTCAGCTACAGAGTAAGTGAATTTTGGTTAATCTACCATAGATCTCTTACAGAGATTTTGGAAGCCTGCTTTTGTTTTGCCTTGTTTCTCAGAAAAACTCTTCAGCACTACTTTTGGTGTATTTTGATATTGCTTCCCCTTGTGCAACAAACCACTTATTCTCCAGAAAATCCAGAGAATAAAAAAATAACAAATAAAAATCTATGACTGTACACCAAAACAAAGAGAACCACCACAAAACCTTAGTGGCATAGCACTGGCACTTAAGCTTTCCTTGTAGAGATGACACATTTATTCTATTCTACATAAATCAACTATCAGTATTATACATCTAAAAATATCTAAGGGACAGACGAAGCATTTAGTAGTTCATCAGACATGCTTTTTATGTCTTTGAAAGTATAGACTGCTGTCATTAATAGCTGGAGCAGCATATGTGCAAAGGAGCTGTTTATGTTAAATGCTTAGTTAACTGGAGCCCTGTGCGACATTGCTCAGAATGTTGCTAAGCTGAGAGACGTATGGATATCTTCTTAGTACATCTTTGAACACTCAGCTGCAAGGAAATACAGATAAGCTTCATTTTATTGGCTACATTTAAGGATCAGAGGTTGCAACTCAACAGCTATTTCATTATTACTCTATCTATACTGAGAGAAAATTTATCTGGCAAAGTGTGATCAGGCCACATGGCTACCTATGCAGAAAGCAGTGTCTAGCAATGCACACAGGGTCACAGCCTTTGAGAGGAGATGAGCAACACCACATTCAGTGCAACACTTCTGGGTTCTTTGACACCACAATGCAGAGAAGAATAAGCTACCTTGCTATATGCTCTTTTATTTAAAGACTGAACAAAGGGCATTCATATTCTAAGGATTTTCCCCCTTTACTGTGTTGTCTTACTTGGACTTGCATTGGCCAAGTTTTCCAGTGGAAAAAAAAAAACAAAAAAAACAAACAACCACATGTTTATTAGTAGTTTGAAAGGGGTACAGACTGATTTAAATCACTACTGGTTAAGAAACAGTATGCAATTGCAGAAGAAAGCCTCATGATCCACTAATAAAATGGAATTGCAAGAAGCCAAAGCCAAAAAGGACTGCACCTAGCAGAGAGATTAGAGATGAAGCTTTAGAGGACGCTGTATCAAATGAACATGCGTGCAGGCCACAACTTTTGCTGCACAGAATAATTACTGGATGGAAGTTTACTGATGCCTATAGAAAGATGGCAAAAAAAAAAAAGCCAACAAATGATCAGCAAGGAGGCATGAGGCACAGGAAGCTGAAATAGTGAAAGTGAGACTCGTTCATGGTTAAGCATATGGTTGGCTCTTTATATTTGTCTCTTTAAACATAAGAACATGAGAAGTTCAGAGCTAAGCAATGCTTAGGAGAGAAGAGTAGAATTAAAACCAAAACTACTTTGTGGTCTTTCTTGCCTTTTCAGGGGAAAAAAAAAAAAAAAAGATAGGTACTGATTAAATTGACAAGACTGCATCAAAGATATCTGATATCCAACTGAAACAACGTTCTAACATTTATTAATAAAATCTTAAGTAAAATTATTCGTGTGAGCATTCAACTTGTTATTTTAAGTGCACATAATAAAGCACAGCTCAGGGCAGAGGTATTTTAACTATTTATGTGGACAAATTATCTGCATGGATTAAACCCATGCATATAATCCTACTTTGCAGATTATGGAAAAGCACTAATAACATTAACAATTGGCAGCAGTTCTCTTCAGTGAATCTTGCTTTTGTTTCTGCATTCACAGTATGTAGATATGTTCAAAATGGAGCTTTGCCATATGTCATTACATGACTTGACCAAGAAACACACAATTATGGCTCTTGGCAGTCTGACTAAAAAATATCAGCTCCTGCACTGAGATTCCCTAAGACATCCAAGACAAAGCTCTTCTAGCTTTTATAGGTGTAGCTTGGTGCTCTTGCAACTTGAGCAAACTTCTTATAAGCAAATTAAGATTTTATCAGATTTTATTAATGATATTTCAAAAAAAATTAGTATAAGTCAAAAAGGTGGCTGCTGTTATTACATGACACAACTCAAAAAAGTAACCACATACAGCTATTGTAGCAGGTACCATTCTCAGCAATACATTTGGCCACTTCCACAGTCAGCACAACACTTGAGCTGTTTAAGTCTCAAGGCTGTGATTTTTCCGTAAGTGGCCAGGAGAAAAACACACAAACAGAAAAACCTCTGTACCAAGTCAGTCGTAAAGGGAAAGAAGTGACTGATGAGATCAAGATCAGTAACTGACAAACTTTACATACTTCTCTTTCGACACAGCCAGTGCTCACTACAGATTTGACTGCAATGAAGATGTGGAACAAAACATTTGGTTCTCCAGGGAAAATGGAAGGCATCTCAGCCATCTTCTCATAGATCACCTATACCAGCATTTGGCACAGAACAGGTATGTACATATATAATGCATATCTCCCTGATCCCCTTTACTTACCATTGCGTTGAGCAGAACAGAGGAAGGCCTGCCATGTGGTCACAAACTTCGGTGCATCTGGCCATGACCTGCCTTTCTAGTTTCCATGCAGCAGCATGCAAACATTTCTTTATGTTACGGAAGTCCTTAGAGTTCCTCTGCTATTGAGTAAAATGACTAAGACAAATCTTAAATGAAGAAAATTAGCTTTATTTATGTAAATTAGAAAAATGAATTGTTAGAGCTTTGGTCAAATGGTTAATTCTGTACAATTTACAATTATATTTATATACAAGACTTAATAAAATACAGTACATCACACTTTTCCTGAGTCACAGTGTGTTTCTCAGATCCCTCTCCTTTTTATTTTATTTTTTTTTCAAAAGTAATTAGAATCAAGAGGGAAATACTATCCTCAGTTTAATAGTGTTTGGTTTAGACAATACTGGTATTAAGAAAAAAATCATTACTATATGTAGAAAATATTTTATAGCCATTGCAATTTTTAATAGTTATTTCTCTATATTAAAATATGTTCCTTAATAAAAATGTTAATTAAATACTTCTTATTACGAGTTTGTTGTACTTCATTTGACACAAGACAAGCTGACTTCAGGTACATCCAGCTCTCATTGCAGGGATGCATAGATTTATGTGATGTGTGTATATATTTGATCATTTAAAGATCAGGAAACACACATCCAGGTAGAATAGATGTCTGAATTGAGGCACAGTATATTAAAGTTGCTGTCCCATCATGGACAAGATATTAGAGCTTCAATTGCCTGGCTAATGCAGTACAGAATTAACACAAGTATACATCCTGAAAAGTGAGACTATGCCAAGCAGCAAGGCACCAAGCCTGCAAATGCTAACAGATGCACAACAGCCCCACAGTTTAAAGCACTACTGAGTCCTCAGTGAAGAAGTACTGTAAAGCTGTATTTAACAGCATTTGTTAAGCATTGGCCAGCTCAAGAAGTTATTCAGATTACAGCTATTAATATTACCTTCACTGATTTTTTTTTTTTTTTTGAGATCAACAATAATTTATTGTAAGGCTTAAAAGGATATTTAATCTGCTTACTCAATAATTCAGTGTGTTAAATTAGTAATTAAGATACATTACCACCTGCAAGTAAATTTATATCCCAGTTGCATCCAAAAAATGATTTAGGTAATTTATTTTTGAGAAACATCAGTTTAAAACAAAATTAAATTTTACTTTTTGGCTAATTGTGGGCCGCTCCTAAATATATCTATCATAAAGTTCACTAAAGACTTTTAATATAGGCATGTACTTTTCTGGTACTTTAATCCAGAAACACAGATTAGATTATTTCTGATAGTCCTATTCATATTGTTTATCGACTATTGCCTGCTAAACTAACAGGCAGTCACCTAGAGTTCTGTTTTCTCTTAAAAGATTTCTATAATTTTTCAGTGCAAACTGAAAAATATATGAGAACAACTCACAAAAATCCTTTGTTTAGAAATTAAAAGGAGTATTTTTTGCTGCTGATATCAAAGTGCAAATGGGAGACTTCAAAGAAAGTTGGTCTTCAGCTGAATGCTCGAACTTTTCCCAGGATTCTTTGTAAGTTTAGCAGTCTTCACTTTGATGCTTTCTTGATTGCCTTTTACAGCTGACTCGAGCCTGGCTTTCATGGTCGGAGAGCAAGCCATTAATTTTTTAAAAACTGATGAGTACTGTGGACCAATTTGCATCAGATTTTGCAAAGCAAACTCATGCAGATTTTTTGCTGTGCTTGTAGCAGAACCCAGGGCATTTTCATCCAAAAGAAAGGAAATAAGGATGGGAAGAAGGCAGGTCACCAGATGAGCACCTGTAAGCATTGAAAACAGGACTTAAAACATACACTCTTTAAAAACAGCTTCACATTGCTAATAGAAGCATTTCACAAACCAAGCTAATATATAACACAAACTGTAAAACAGCTGATGTTATCTGAAATATATATTAGAAAGAACCAACATTCTAGCAATTCTGTTAGCGATTATTGTTGAGGAGTCAATTCCCAGAGATCCTTTTGTTCTAATTTATTACTTGTGACAACTTTAAGTGTGTGTAATGTTTTGGATACAAATAAGGGAAGCAACTTACGGTGCTCTTCCTCAGCAGCAGCTGTAAGAGCTGTTACCACCTTGATTCCCTCCTGAATAACCTGAAGTTCTGCAGCATTTTCAGGTTTTGATTTTTCTGTTTCCTGCAATTTTCCCACAATGGATGATGCCAAAGAGTGAATATAAGGGTATGACACAGTTTTGTTTGGATGCTGAAAGACGGAGTGCAGTAGCTGGTAGCATTTATACTGTACCTGAAGGGGAAAATCAAATTCACAGTTACAAAAGTGTTATACCTCGGAATACAAGCCAGAGTGTTTTAAAACACACAGTTTGTTGGATAAAATTTCAGGGAGGGAAAAAAATCTGCCTCACAGTGTGAAAAGAAATCAGTTTTCAGAATGCTAACACATAGTAATTCATAGAAGCATTATAACTTGTAACCAAATTAATAACAACAACTAGATCATGCACCCTCTTTCTTTACATCTCCCCAGACTTTTGAGTTAAGGAAAAAATATTCTTTTTGTGTTAAGATTATGTATTAGCACTGTGTCACTGCCAGTGTGTGAAGCTCTGGGTCTGATGCAGAAAAAGGAAATAAAAATGAAATAAAAGGGTTAAAAATACAGAATATTCTGCAGACAGAATTAAAAAAAAAGGCAAAATGTACTGCTGGGCATGGTTTTGTTAACATGTTCAAATCACTCCAAAATACAGCAGATACAGGTAGGACAGAATTAACTGGAGTCAAAACACAAAGCAACTAAACAGGAAATAAGCTAAAATGCCTTTAATATGCTACTGATATTCTTACAACTTTACCAGTACTTACAACAGGATCTTTTGACTCAAGTGTTACTTTAAACTTGTCAATACAACGCTTTTGAAGGCACTCTATGGTAGTAACTTCTGGGCTGGTGGACAGAATGAACACTGTGATAGCGGTCAGCAGGCTCATTTCATCGAGTTCTCTGAGAAGACCATCTGCTATCAATAAAGCAAATGATCTGTTAGATTTGCATTAGGAAGTAATTCTTTGAATTCAAACGTTACAAAGAGGTGGAATAGAAATGTCTACGTCTCTCTAGAATCTCTTTGTTTTTTTTTCAAATACACAACACTCTGATGCACTGCTATGGTTTGTACAGTTACAAATGCCGAGGCCAAAATCATAATTCAGGAGTGGTGACATGCATATTTAGAAATACCAGCACGCTCCTACTCCATTCTTTCTTTGTAGGCAGTGCAATAAATATCTTTGAAAAGCTGCTATGACATGTTGGAATACAACAACCTATTTTGACAATTATATACAATTTGCATTAAAAAACATACATCCTTTTCAGTATGACTGAGGCTTTCATTCAAATAAATTAATAACAGTGCTATAAACAAATGTTCCAATAACAGCTACAGCTTTGAGATTAAACAGAAGGAATGACAAAAGCCAAAACTCAAAATGGGCAAGCTAAAGAAACAGTACACAGAACACTAGCATGAGGACAAAAAGGTTTTGATTGCCTTTCTTAAACTCTTGTTTTAATTCACTTTGCTGCCAATACAGACATTGTTTTTTGTAAAGAAATCATATGTACTACAACTGACTTTTACGCTTACACTGAAGTTACAACTTCTGTTTATTCCATCACACACTGTAACTATGTTGTGGCATTGTGTAATGCAGGTGTACATCCGCAGTTCCACATTTATCCTTTGCAGACTGTGACTTCTCATGTCAACTGTAGAGACAGGATGGCATTATAGTTTCAGCAGTACTTACCTGCAGGAGAATTAGTTGGCTACTGATTAGACTTTATTTATATAAGACATGCATAAATTTAATCTCAACAAAATGAACTTGTCCTTACCTTGATCCCAACAGTCGAGTACAGTGACCAAAGCACTGCGCAGAAGATCTGTCCATGCAGTCCGACTCTTCTCTGCTCGAGCCATTGGTGAAGACAGAAGCCCTTTAAGAGCTTGTAGAGATGCAGCAACTGGCAAAGGCAGCTGGCCATCTTGCTCTTTGACTGCAGTTTCTTTAAGTACACCAATAATTAGGTACAAAATAGTAGGAAGAACTGAAACACTTCCTGTAAAACAATGCATATTAATTGTAGTGAAAAGTTCAGGGAGATTTGATGTTAAAGAAAAAAAGACACATAATGGGCTACAGATGGAAAAAAGAAATGATATTGTACTATAGAACAATAGTAAGAACTGTTAACTGTTCCATTTGAAGCACACCAGCCCCTATAAAGAATTCTGCGATAGAGCACAGAAGTAAGAAAAACAAATTCACAGAGCTGGTAAAGGCAATAGTTTGCATAGAGAATAACACAGATACCTGAGGTGTGAAAGGAGGAGTGCACCAGAAATGGCTTATCAGCACCCTGTAGCAGCACTGAAGAATCACGTGTATGAATACAACATTGCTGAGGAAAAAAAGATCTCCTCTTAAAGGCTGGTGTGCATTCAAAATGAATCATGGGGTAAAAGTCAATTAATTTGAAGAACCAACCATAACTACTTAAGAGCAGGTTGCTAATGTTCAAATGATAGCTTTGAGTGAAATTGAACATGATATGTTTGCCTTTTAAATTTATGTCTGTATTATAAGTTCCAGAACAGAAGATTAAAGTAGGATAGAAGCACGCATCTACTGTACACTCCTCTGTACAAAAGAAATCCATTAACTGCACTGCAACAACACAGTAGAAAAAGAAAAAAGGCTCTTTCAATTGCTTTGGTAACTTCTGTTACCTGACAGAAAAAAAAAAAAAATTAGAACAGGAAATTGTCACAAGCAAATCATGAACCTTTCTGCCATATTTACCCAGTTGAGAAAAGTAGGTAGTAACCAGGTTGCTCAGAAGAGCCCAATAATCTTTCATTTAATCTTTCCTTGTGATGAAATAGCATACCTTCAGGAGAGCAGATTGCAGGAACATCAGAGAGAATTAGTAATGCTGCTGATACCAGCCTACTTCCATCTTCTGATAGTAACAGATGTTTTCCTGATTGAACTGCAGGGCTACAAGTCAATTTAGGGTTGAGCTGGGGAAGCTGTCTGACAAGAATACAAACACACAACTCCAGTGTTGCAAAGACCAAGGACTTTCCAGGCACCAGTCCTCCTGTATCTTTGCCTTCTCCAAATTCAGGTAGCGTTTCCTTTTCTGCAGCACCATCATCAACTACAACAGAAATAAAAAATATGGCAGAAATCCGCAGGCTGTTCCTTGTTTCCAAAAAGTTTACATTTTAAGACTGTTTCATCATCAAATGACAATCTTGACTTGTATATATGTGTGCGCATATGTATTCAGCTTCTACTGGCAAACATCCATCCTTCTAAATAAGCAATCTGTGCTTTGACTGTGGAAAGGGAAAAGTGGATGCAATAGATTTAGACTTCAAACATGCCGAGGTATCATGCCAACATGATCTTATTTTGTTGTTTTTCTCATTAACTTTAGAAAGCTACCATCAGAGAAACTGGTGGAATCCAGGTTGTAACAGCTGTGTGTGTGCATGTGCATGCAGAGTCTTTCTATTGCTCTATCACAGAATCACAGAACGGCCAGGGTTGGAAGGGACCTCAAGTATCACAAATCTCCAAACCCCTGCCACATGCAGGGCCACCAACCTCCACATTCAATACTAGACCAGGCTGCCCAGGGCCCCATCCAACCTGGCCTTGAACACCTCCAGGGACGGGGCATCCACAACCTCTCCGGACAGCTGTTCCAGCACCTCACCGCTCTCACAGTAAAGAACTTCCCCATACATCCAACCTAAATCTCCCCTCTCTTAACTTCAAACCATTTCCCCTAGTCCTGCAGTTATCAACCCTTGCAAAGAGCTGATTCCCCTCCTGTTTGTAGGCTCCCTTTAGGTACTGAAAGGCCGCAATGAGGTCACCCTGCAGCCTTCTTTTCTCCAGGCTGAACAAGCCCAGCTCCCTCAGCCTGTCCTCACAGGGAAGGTGCTCCAGTCCCCTGATCATCTTCGTGGCCTCCTCTGGATCCTCTCCCACAGCTCCCTGTCTTTCTTGTACTGGGGGCTCCAGATCTGGATGCAGTATTCCAGATGGGACCTCGCAAGAGCAGAGTAGAGAGAGACAATCACCTCCCTGTCCCTGCTGGCCACCCCTCTACTACAACTGAACCCCTTTCCTCTATGAATTCCTCCTCCCTGTCACCACACAAGATTATGCCAACCACAGCCTGCAGTTTCTCAAATTTTTCTCCTCAGTTCTTGCCTCTAGTCCACCAGCATCTGCTATCAAGTCTCTCTGATTTCTGAAGTCAGGCACCTGGGCTGACTTAAGCGAGCCAGAATTAGTCACTAACTGTGAAGAACTTCAAATAAGATACGTGTTGGAATACCAACTCCAAGAATCCTACTTTCCAAGAAAGCATTGCCATACCCTTAAGAACATATATTCAGCATCTTGTGCCTTACTGTACCTTCCGCACTTCTCCGCTTTTCCTTCACATGTTCCTGAGCTGCAAAAAGAATCAGACGAACAACTTCAAGGGCAGCAAGCTGAATATCAGGTGATTCTCTGGTCAGTATCAGTCGATGCAAAACATTCAGCAGCTCTACAGCCAACTCCTATAGCAAGAAAAATGCTTAATGTATACCCACTTTGATGCAGAAATTTTAGAAACAGACACTCTTTACCAAATGATTAGTAACAATTAGAGCAAACTGTATTACTCTTATTGATTTGATTTCTCTAAGGAATACAACAGTACTCTTGGCACAAACACAGGAACTGGCACTTTATTAAAGTCCTATAGCCACTAACAGCAGAATTCAATTCCTTCTTAACTCACGACAATAGGAATACTATCTTCGATTGGGCCTACAATCCCTCCTGTACGTTTCCTTGGAGGCAGCATCAATAGTTAGCAGAACTTAGACACAGCCACAGGCATCAACTGTGCTGTGTTAGAGAACTGCGTGGCACAAAAGGTGGTATAAAGCTCAATTCAAAGAGTAGAGATACTGCTCAAAGTTATGCTTTACATCTGGCTTGTCTGTAAGGTTATCATGCTCAAAATTAGCACTTCACTCTTCTCAAAAACTTCCTTCATTTTTAGGAATAGCACCTGCTTCTGGTCTGTCAGTCAGCCTTACAACCTGCATATAATCTCCATCTCAAACTCACTCTTAGAACCTTACATCTAGTATCTTGTTTTATAGATTGTATGAAGGATTAGTCTACAAGATGTTACTTTCCCCATTTTCAAAACTAAAACTATAGTCTAAGCATCTAACAGATCTCACTACTACTGCTCGAGAAGCCTTTTTTTTTTTCCTTTGGCCTTTACAATCATGTCTAGCTTAAAAAACAATCCTATAGTCATTTCCAAGCATAAAGCTTGGATTATACCACTCTCTCTTCTTGAAACATTCTTGTCATTTTCCTGTTTTATTTAGATGTAAAAACAATTATTTTATATAAAAAGTTCAATGGTCAGAACAAATATAAATAAGAGGAAGACAGTTTTGCAGATATAAGAAGAAATGACATTTGTTTCTTAAGAATAAACCACATTTCTCTAAACGTTTACAGCATTATACCACTTATTCTTTGAAAAGAAAAGGTAATTTCAGGAAGACTGGCCCAGTCTTGTCCACTACCAAGTCTGTATGGATGTGAGTGACCTAAACGATAAGGAGCTTCTTCCTAAATCCTTCTAAGTTAGCTTGGGATTCTGATCAATAACACATTACCTGATCACCACCTATTTTAGATCTTGGCCAGGGAACATCAAACAGAGCCTGCAGGGCATGTAAGCAGGCAATAATGTTCTCCATTGCTGCATCTGATCGAGGAGAGCAGAGAAATTCCACACTAATTCCTGTAAGGATCAAAGAAAACAAATCATAAAATTTTAGAAAGTAATCTAATAGTATGATGAGCGGACATACAAATAGCATTTGCACTTTATATTAAGTGGATTCATTTCCCACTGTTAATATTTTGAGGAAACAACTCTTATAAATAAGTTAAAACAATTTCCAAGTAAAACTTTTGCACTCTAGATCTGATGAATAGGCATTATCGTGGCTTCAGCTGGGACAGAATGCATTTTTCCTTAATAGTGGCTGGTATATGTTTTATATTTAGGAGGCAAACAATTTTGATAGCACACAAGCATTTTAGTTGTTGCTGAGCAGTGCAGAACAGAGTCAAGGAGACTTCGGTTTCTCAGATTTTCATGCTGCCCTGTCAGTGAGGAGACTTGGGAGGCACAAATTGCGGTGTTCAGGACAGCTGAACCAACCTGGTTTAAGGGATATTCCATCCCGTACAGAATCATGTGGAAAAAAAAAACGACATGAAAATGGTGGGAAGTGGGCCAGAGAAGCAACGGCTGTTTCAGTACTGGCTAGTCATTGGTGAGCAGGTGGACAACAATTGTTTGTGTATCATTTGTTTTGTGTATTATCGTTCCTATTATTTTTATTATTAGTATTATTCCCTTATTATTCTTTTTCTGCCTTAGTATTTTTTATATCAACATGTGGGCTCAATTTTGTTGCATTTTTTTTCCCTCCTCAGTTCTCTCCCACATCCCATGGGAAGGAGGAGAGGCGAGTGAGCAAATGACTGTGGTGCTCAGCTAACTGCCGTTTTAAACCACAACAGGCAGAAAAATTCATAATACATACATATAATATTTGCCTAAGTGAATTCATTTATGTAACTAAGAAGAATAACAGAAGTTAACAATAGTTCATAAACTCCAAGGCTGAGGCTTTTTCTTCTCATCTTACAGAAATGCTAACAATTAGAACCACCACAGCTGGATCACCAGCTACAAGCAAATTACACGGACCTAAGCTCACACATTCCAGACCACATAAAATTGGTCACTTCTTTCTGAGGTTTCGGGACTCTTTAGATAACATTCTGTGACACTGGAGATAAACTTCATATAAATTCTGATCCATGTTCTCAACTCAGTTTCACAGCTGTAATTGCAAAGTATGTGATGACTTGGTAAACTGATGTCATGGTTTTATGATTTTTGTCATTAGTATTCCAAATCACAACATAATACCCCAGTAGAGCACTGGGAGTCTATGAGTTAATGCTCCACTTCCATGAACTGTTGATTTTCCTAGGTACTTGGTTCTCAGAAGAGAAGAACCATCTATCCCCAAGGACTTCCACTGTTCCGTTTCCATTTTCTGTTCAGAGGGGAAAACTGCTCGCAAGTCACGAGTCTGCCCTTCTTTTACAACTCGTCACTGCAGTACGTGCTTCTTAGCCATCTCACCTTCAGCATTAGAGTAAGGCCTTTGATTTTGGACACACTTACTCGCTCCTTTCAGTTGATTTATTAGCTTATATTGTATTATATATATATATCTTGCATTCTGATATCATACTTACTAGTATGTAAAGTAGTAAACTAGTTTTCTGTCCCTTAGCTTGTTGCCATTGTTTTGTTTTTAGGCCTATTTCTCTACTTTTTCCCATTTCTCCCCTTCTCCCTCTCCTGGGGCATGGGTCTGTGGATCCCATAAACTGTTGACAACTTATCAATGTACACTTAAGAACTGCTGTGCTATAGAAAGTGTCTGTGTTAAAGTTTGTTCACACAATCTGAAATTGCATGTTTACGAGCACAGCAGGAAGCACTTACTTTGGAGTTTGTGGTAGCTAACTGTGAGCTAAACATTCGGGAAAATAGATTACAATTATGTCACTAGGACTTAAAATTCACTTGACTATATTTTTCTATGAAACGATCAAAATTCAACAATGCAGTGAAGTGTGAATAATAAAATACTTTTTGCAAACAGCTTTATCAATGAAAAATGATAAACATTCTTGGTATTGCAGAATCAAGACAGATTATACACTAACCCAAAATAAGATGAAACCTGTCAGTATTCACATCCTCAGGAGATTTTATTGAGGGTCTGGTAGAAGAATCTTGACACATTGTAGTTGGGGTGACAGGTCTAGAGAGATTAGCAACTCCTTCATCTGGATCCACAACAATGAAACCTGTGCTAGTAAGCCATAATGCTGTAGCATAAAGTATCAGAGCCCAGGAGCTGTAGTAATGAGGTCTGGCACTTTCTATGGTCTCTGCCGTATAAAATGCACCACCTACAAAAAGAAAAATTACATTTCAAGGATATATTTTATTTCCAATTACAATAATTCCTCATTCATCAAAAATTGGGATTCTTCTTATTGAAATGTTTACCATATTTTATGACTTTTTTTTTCTTTCAAATGTGGAATACTGAAATTTAGGCTGAAAATGGAAATCTATTTTGATTTACTTGAATGGAATACAATTACCTTTTCCTTCTTTCAACCATAAAAATATCCAACCAACACAGATACTGAACAAACTACTTTCCACATCACTGAAAGCTCTTCACTCATAAGCAAACTTTATTTATATTTAAGTACACAAGTATGTGCATTCTCTACGCAATGTTATCTTATTGAAAGCTAACACAAGTCAGCTAGGACATCAATGATTGCAAGTGAGCTACGAAAAGAAAATTTATTCACCTCCTTACCTTCAGCGGGCAGTTGTGATGCATATTCTGAAGGCAAATTTAAGAGAGCAAAATCCTGAAGTGCAGCAAGCCAGAGTTTGCTCAGTGTTCCAAGATCTGCCTGCACTAAGTCCACAAGACCACTGGCTGAAGATGTTACATCTCGGTAGCTTTCTTCTGCAGAATTCGCAGTTTTCAAGGAGTAATTGTGCAAATCACTTCGATTTTTTTGCTTTTCAATTGCAACTATGTAAACCTGTTTATATAGTTGGAGAAACATTTACAATATTAATACTTGGAAAGCCACCAGGATGCTTGCTCAACAGTTGGTCATGATAAGATTTCCTAGAATCTGTCCCTGCTTCAAGTCTAGTAGGTGTAGATTACTTGATTACAGGTCACAAAAACTTACCCCCAGTTTATTTTGTAGTAGTTTCTCATATCTCAAATCCACTAGAAAGCTGAAGAGACTCTCTTAATTTAGAGATTTCCTGTGGCTGTTATGTATAGATAAAAAAAAATCTATACATGTTCACTTTGAAAAGTTAACATAATCCCAGAATTGCAGGGGTTGGAAGGGACCTCTGGAGATCACCAAGTCCAACTCCCTGCTAAAGTAAGTTCCCAACAGTAGGTTGCACAGAAAGCCTCCACGTGGGTTCTGAATTTCGCCAGAGAAGGAGACTCCACAACCTCTCCAGGCAGCCTGCTCCAGTGCTGTCACCTTTAAAGCAGCTAAGTTTTTTTCATAATGTTCAGATTGAACTTCCTGTGTTTCAATTTATGCCCATTAACTCTTACAACATCATGACTAACACTAACATCCAGTCTGAATTCTGCCTGAGCTTCTGACCAGTGAAACAATTATTGTTATATGCCAGTAAAAAACTTCTCTTTGTAATCATTTTAAATTGATAAAAGGCACCTTATCCTGAATAGATAAAAGAAGCTGATCTACTTAAAACTCTAGTGTAACATATTTTCAAGAATTTTATTCCCCTTTGCTAGCTTTTCTCTTTTTTGCTAACATATCCTTTCTCCACTATAGGCACCAGAAGATGTATGTGTTTCTATAAATTGTCAAATAAATGCCATCTATTGCCCGCTCTCTTCAAAACATCCCTCTGCTTACACAAATACCATCTCAACCACGTGATCGTATTTAGCTGGTTATCCATTCCCTCCATCAAGCTCATCATCAGCACTTTCTCAGACATCTTTTAGAGGTTATATATATTGTCACATTTTTATTTTTAAATACCCAACTTTGCATTTACGTATATTAAAATAAGCATTCATGTGAGCTGACTTTAAGGCAGCTAGCCAAGACAGTACTGAACTGACATTGCTGAAAGAGCTACCTGTATAAAATTAAATAGCACATGAAAAAGATAGATATGTACAACTACCTTACCATAACAATTTATACCACATCAATTTAAAATTGACATCACAAGATGTAAGAATTCTATGAATCTGTGATTCTATGAAATACTGTGAAATACAGTATAATAATATGTGTGCAGAATTACATAGCAGTGCCACTGTCAAGCTTACCAAGGGTCTCGTTCATTACAGTTATTTTTCAACTTGGCTTAGGCTGGTGTTTATGTACTATTAGAGATATATTTAGAGATAGCAAAGCATAGCAAAGAACAAACTTCTATTTAATGAAGCATGCATTTTGATCTTTGAAACAATTCTGTCTGAAAGGTTCTAATCCACCTATCAAAAATCAAGACTACTGTTACAGAGTTATCACACTAACCTCTGCCCAGGCCTTCAGCACAGCCAACGTCTCCATAGTTGAGGTGCTTTCATTATACTGTTGACTTTGTGTCTCCTTCCCAGCTTGCACTTTGACCAAAGAGGATACAAGCAACTGATGAACCCTTCGAAGATCATTGAGATCACTTACTACACCACTTGCTATCCAGGCACTGCACACCTAGCATTGTAAAAGTTAGTTAGAAACAAGACAAATGCCACTGGATACTCCTTTTTCCCCCATTTGTAAAATGTCAAACTTTTTTCATTTTTATTGAGATATAATTATCTCTCAGACAATAACCAGTGTTAAACTGAATTACAGTTCAGCATATATAAGTAACAAAAGCCAAAAACAGTAGGAGGGATGAATTAAATAACTGAACTATTAGCTGCTACAGAAGTTTCCCAAAAGATTCTGAAGTGCATTAAAAATCTGGGATGCTATAATATACAGGTAACCTGCATGACATTATTTTGTTTATCTTGAGAATTTGAGACTACGTGATTTAATGTTTCCCTTTTCTCGTGTGACGTATCAAGCAAAAAGAAAATTTCAGAGGGTCTATTACCTAAGACTTCTGACTTTCAACACTTGCCTGACATGCTTTTGCTGTGACATCAGGAGGAGTTTCTGGAGCAAAGGCAGGCCTAAGTGCTGCTCCAACCTAAAAAGAAGTTACATAACATTTAATACACATGAAACAGCTAAGTAAAGAATAATTTTCCATAGCCAAGCTTTGCTGCAATTTTCTTTATAAAACATAGTTTCCTGTTTCATTTTTCACTTTTTTGGTGAGATTCAAGAACAAGGAGACAATTGCATTCATACTTTTTATGTTGTTTGATTTGCTTACATGGAAAGCTCCTTGAAAGGAGTGCTCAAAGTAATTCCTTTTCTTTGCACAGTCTAAAATTGAAATAGAAACCTCTTCCTTCCTGAGTTCTTAACTTGATGAATAGCTTTCAAACAAAAAAACAAAAACACTGCTTCAAACCACTACTGACTTGCAAGACATCAAGTGACATTTCCTTACTCAAAGAAAAAAAAAAAAAGAAAAAAAAAAAAGAAAGAAACAGCTTCACAAAGTGAAAGAAGAAAACATAAACTCCATTTATCTAATAAAGAACACACCAGGTTACAGAAATTTCACCTCCTGTCATTGATAAGCTATTTTCTAGTGAAAATTTCACTTGCTGATTTAGATGACAATGGAACATTCAGACTTAAGCCAGATGCTTTTTAGAATGAAATTATAAAGTACAATAGATCATGTAAACTATGTCAAGTGCAATGGCACCATCCTCACTGATACCATCAGCCTATGCAGTGATTTATATACACATATATATATAAAATAAGTAAGTACTACTATAAATGTTGGTCTCTATAATTTATGAAACTAAACTCTAGAATTGATCCCTGAGTAAATTCAGGCCTTCAGTTCAGTTATGTCATTTTTAGAGTCTCTTACTGGGTGAATTAAGTTCACCCAGAACTTACAGAAAAATTTTAGTGATAATGGTCTACATCATTTTATGGACATACTGAAAGAGTTCTATTTTGAGTTGACATTGAAAATGAAATGTCAATGTGTTGTTTGTCAAAAGCCAAATGATAAATCAATTGAGATTTTTGCAAAAAGATAAGTACACTTAGCTGGTGATGTGTCTCAGCGCATTACAGGTATAGGAATTATGAGCATTTGTTGTTAGTTTACGAAAACAAATGAAAAATAGTTGTTTTTAATTACAGGTAATGACAGTTTCTTAAGATCCTCTAAAATTCAGAATTCATTTAAGGAAGTTCTGAACAAGACTTCAGGATATCACTAATTAAATCCGGATAAATGCTCCACTACCCACCTATTCTCAGTTATTATTATAGAAAACATTAGACAATAGCAATGATGCTTACATTGGCTTGATATTGCTCCAGAATTAGATGACCTGGAAACTCTGGTTCTGGAACAGTTGCAAACTTCCTAACAACAATTTGCAATGTTTGAAGCCCAGAAAGACGAAGTTGATCACTATGATCTGTGGCAGCCATAAAAGCCATTCGGATCAAGTCAGCTAAATGCAATACTAAAAAGTCATCTGAAATAAGAAACAAAAACCAGTTTCAAAACATTTAAATATAGACGCAACGTATTTCATAATATTGCTCCCAACATTTTCCAAATCTGTATTTTACATTTTACAACACATCAAAGTTTAACTTTGAGCACTTTACATATACAACAACTTTACTTGGATGCTTCATACTAGCTGATTTAGGGAACTTTCCTTTTCAGTTTAAACTGCAGCATGTAAGCACGTATGAGACAAATTTTCTAGTTGGTTGTTTTTTTTTAATTATGATTTATTTATTTATTTGGAAAATATTTCTAAATAAACACATAAAATTGACACTTTTTTTTTTTCATATTCCCAGGTAGCCAAATTGCATCGTGGCAAACTGGTGCCAGCTATCACTTCTGATTGCCAATGCCTACACAGAAATAATAGCTCCATACACATTTACCACAGTGCTATAACCAGAAAAATGAGTATAGATGCTGCAGTGACACACCAGTATTTTGACTAATTGAAGTGGTTCTACACCTTAATCAATGTAGTCTTCTAACTGCAGTACAAACAATACATTTATGATGAATCTGATTAAGATGCAAAAAGTGAACACTTAGTTTAAGCATATTTTGCATTCTCTGAAATTCTTTCAGTGCTTCAGATGTACCTCTCGAATCACGTTGTTTCCTTTCCTGAGCCAAAGTCATGTCAAAGTGGGCACTACCTGCATTTTCACACTGGTTTATAATTTTACAAACACATTCTGCAGCAAAAACCCTGGTGGACCACCGTGGATTACTGAAAGGATGGAATCTCTCGTCACTTTCAGATGTTAATATGGATGCATCATCCACTTTGGCAGTTTCTTCTTCTTGAGTGGTATCTATTGATGCTACTGTATTTAAATCTGTAGTTAAGACAGAGGAGAAAAAAAAAAGAAAGAAAAATAGTTAATTTTATTTTTTTACTTTAGTTAAAAATTACAGAAGGATTTATAAGAGAATCACGTTAAAGTCTGTCTGCAGCCTCCACCAACTCACTATGAATCTCTTCAATTTCATTGTCTGAAAGTCAATGCTAGAATTAAAAATAAAGTGCACCAAGGCTGTCTTCACATCTTTAGTACTACCTGCTGGAAAGTAAGATCAGTATGATGAAAGTAAACAAAGAACTGCAGGAAAGAAGTGAAGGAAAAAAATATTTTAAAATAAATGACACATATGAAACTACTGCCCTTTCAAATGCAAAGAAGTTTCTCTTCTTTATCACAGATTGGGAGTGAGCAATAGAGAAAGAGAGGAGAAAAAAATCTTTTCACAATATTCAGTATAATAATTAATTCCATCTGCTTGGAATGTTCATTAACATATGAACATTCTGATTTCTGATATGGTCTCTGTTGTTCCTATCATCCACAGAATAGATGGCCTGAGTATTTTTCTTGTAGGTACTTGCACAGGATTCACAAGCTCAGATGTATTATGCTTCCCGTCCTGTTATGGAAATAAGTTAACACTAGGACAATAATGCAGCTAGAATATCATCACAGAAGACATACTAAAATGTTTACAGAAACATCTTCAATAGTGAAAAGGCAATACAAATGGAAGAAGTCACTCCTTCTGAAAGAACTAGGTTACCTTTAACTTAACACTAGACCTTTGACCAGTATTTCATTATGGAGGATGATACATTCATGAACATTCAAGAAGAATACTTTTCTTCTGTGACATAATGTACTGTTGCTGGCTTTGTTTTTATTGTATTCTGAACTGGAGTCAATTAGTACTCACCAGCTGAGGCAGCAAGAACATCTTTACAAAGCTTCAGCCAAAAAGAGAGTTTCTCAACTGCCATTGAAGTAAGCATATGACTCAGAGTCTCTTTGATATCCTGGCACAATCTTTGATCCAGTTCTTTGTCCAGCAAGCCCAGCAATGCCCCCTCCAGGCCTATTTCTCTGATATTAATATCTGCAAAGAACAATGTGAGATTAATGTTGTTCATCCCAAAACTAAGTAATGACCACAGAAACCCTAGACAAAGCTGCACAGAGTAGCTTGACAACAAGCCTCTAGTTATTAAATATTTTTGAAATAATAATCTATATTGCTTTAATGCCATGCCTAAGCCGCCTGGGTACAAAACCAACTTTGAACTTTTACAGATGATACTACCAATAGGAAAAGTTATCCCAGAGAAAATGACAAGAATCCTATTCCAAATTTTGCAGCACTACAATCAGCACAGCATCTGAGCTCCTGAAAAAGAATGTTCAAAAACCTACATTTTTATTATTACTCATCTTCTGAAAATTTGCAAACCAGTGTGAATTGAAATCCGAAGTGAAATGATTTATCACCACCATATTCTCATAGAAGGGTACATAAAGATGATCACTTTCAAACCTTTTAGCAAAAAAAAAAAGAAAAAAAAAAACCAAAACAACAACAACAACAAACCAACAATAAAAACAACAAAAACGGCTTCAAAACCCCAAGGTAGGGGTTTTGGGGACACCTGATAATCATTACTTAACTAATTCTCAGAACTTTCATCAAAAATTCTTGTATACCTTCTCAAAGTGACAGATTTTTAGTTTAGGAAGAGATTTATATATGAAAATAAAACTAATTATGAAAACCGTGTAAGGTGTGTAAGGACTACAAAGCCAGGTGTTTGAGAAGCAGGAATATGAAGCTATGGGGTAGTCAGGGTTCAATTTTTTTGGAACTGCATTTTCCTCTTCTAGATTAATGACCCTTACTATCTACAATAAATGAAAAACAAAAGTATATTCATTTTATCACCCAGAAGGGTTTGGATGGTTCCAAAATATATAGAAAACTGAAGAAAAAAAACTTTCGGGGTTCAAGACTTCAACAAGAACATAGCAAAGTTTTCATAACCATAGTAGAATGTGTTTAAAATTCATTATGAATGTGTCAAGCTCTTGGATCTCTTCAGTACAGTACCTGGAGTAAAGTCTTCTCTGCTCTCTTTAACTAATGCAACAGCGTATTCTGATACCTCAGCAGCTTCTCTTTGCACAAGCTGCCGCAAGCAAGCTACTGCTGCACGTCTCAATAACAAGTATGAGCTACAGAGATTCACCTGAAACACGCAAAAAGAAACAGTGAGATGGCTAACAAGCCTTTACAGTCATACCTCTGTAAGGCCAGTGATTTCTGAATAATTACAGTTGTGAAAATAAGTGAAATCAGTAAGCAGGGAACTGATGCTAATTTTGCTCAGCTGCCTTTCTTTCTTTTCTTTTTTTTTTAAACTCAAATGAAAGATTTTGTAACTTCTACAATGAATTATAATATATTAGTATTTTAAATACTTTCTCTCTGAATGTAACTTACAAGAAAGTTTTAGGGCCAGATTAAATTCCTATTGATATCAGTAGAAAGGTGCCATTAACTTCAATGACAGCTGAATTACAGTCTCAAAGTACAAACGTATTCCTTAATCAAAGTATATATAATGGGTTTGAAATCTCAATGCAAGAGAAATATACTTAAATCACCTTCCTGAGTAACTAGGTATACTCCAGTGTAAACAAGGGTGAGCCAATTGACCAGACTTTAGTAAATTTGAACTCCATGCCTACAAGGATGTTTATAAGAAAGAACAAAATACACGGCTGCAAAATCCATCACAAAAAAATATTATACTCTCAAATTACATTAAATTATTCTAGAAAAGGTGAGAGGAAGGGTAGGAGTTACTGGTGAATGCATCATACTGAGACAAATCAGCTGTCCTGAGCAGTTTCTAGGAAAAGCAGTTTATATCATCATATTTTTTAACATCACCAGCGTAGTGTTTGTTTGCTACTTAATACTAAAAAATACATGAGAATAGATTCATTAATACAGGAACAAGAAAAACCTCTTAAACAAAACAAAACAAAACCAACATCTAGGGAAAAAAAAATTCACAGCCTCAATGTTTTTTGTTAGAGTAGAGCATTTTGCCTCTTTAATTTGCTTACACTCAGCTTTAAGATCTTTCGGATGGGGATGCCAAAGATTAATGAACCAGCTATGTGGTCACGCATTGGCTACACCAATATTTAAGGAACTTGTTCTAATTTAACCTTGGGTTACAACTCAAAAAAAAAAAAAAAAAAAAAAAAAAAAATGGAATGCATTCCAGCTAATCAATTGTGTACCCTTGTGGAAATTGTGCAAAGCTGCAACTGTGTGAAAGTCATCACAATTCTTTAACTAAAACTGACAGAGCTGAGTGTCTGCTGCAGAGAAACCTTGCAGTATGGTCATGCTGCTCACTAGTCAGCAACAGGTCAACATATGTTAGTCAAAGTAACTAACATACATTAGTTAGTTAACACATTGTTTAAAATAACAACTTCAGTACACAAAGAGTAAGTGGTACAGAATTTCAGCTTTGTTATTTCACAAAACTAAGTGTCATCTTATGAATTTTCATGCATGCACTCAAATCTACAACACTCCAAATAATATATTCAACGCACATGTAGATAGAAGTGCATACTTCTAAAAGAAAAGTAACCTGACTGTAAGTATTTTTGCAAAATACTTCAATTGAAACAGTAAAAACAAAAAATGAGGCTTTTAGTGGAACATTTATGCAAGCAGGCTACACATTCTACTGCCAGTTGGACGTGCAAAATTTGCATGCTCATTTTTAAAAGGGAAAAAAAAGAGGATTTGATTCAAGCCCAGGACAAAGCAAGATGCACATTTTTCATCTCTCTCATTCTCCCACAGTCTGAGTAGGACATGACTAAACAAGACACAGCAATGCAAGCACCACATACAAATTTAAATGAACAAATTGTTTCCTTTCCACACTGAACACGTTAAGATTAAAATGATGCCTAACTCAGCACATAAATGAAATATAAGTGTGTCATTTGCAGAAAGTTAGGAAGGTTAGGATGACGATCCTATGTCAACTGACATGCTAAAAGAAATCACATTAAAATGGTTAAAAGGAAAAGAGAAATGATGAAATATAAAAACAACACCGCAAACTGCTAAAGTTCAGGATTAACAAGGCACAGAGACCTACCAACACAGAATTATCCAACAAGATTTCCTGCACAAAAACAAATGACAAACCAGTCATGACAAAACCAAAAATATAAATATCAGTGATACCAACCACACAAGGAGATCGTTACGTGTAAAATCAATATATATTAAAGTTCAGAATGTTATGTCAAACATGCCAAAAACCTATTTTGCTTGATTCAGTTATATTTTACATTGAAAACTGTAAATCACAAGCCAGTTGTGCTTAAAATTAGTGTTTAAAGGGACCAGAACTACGACAACATAATGACATATCAATGTTTTCAAAATATCTTCATCATCTAACAGCTGAAAATTAATATTCAGTACATCATAAACTTCCACAGACAAGGTCTCTGGAAGTCTGTATTTTAAAAAAATTGTTAGAGCTAATGGTAGGCATGATGAAAAGCATATAATTTCTACTCTGTTGGAGCAAAGAGCTCAACTGATATGATAAGCATCTGTCAGATGCAAAGTCTCATGGAAAAAGATCAAACTGACAAACAAGGGATATTTGAAGAAGCTGTAGAAGGGCTGCTTGTAATGACAGACGTACACAAACAAACACATACACAATAAGAAGAAAAAAAAGTGGTGAAGCCTTTGCCCGAGTCATGTTTAATCAGTGCTAAAATAGTCACAAGATCAATGGCCTAAATACTTTGGAGTCCTGAGAGATGTCTTGGTCTAGGGGATGGAAACAAAGGTGGAAGAGGTAGCTTGCAGCTGCTACATCAGTTATATTGACAAGCCTAATGCAAGCGTGTTTGAAATAAGAAATTTTCTGGAAATCACAGGGGAAGAGGATAGAGAAGCAAGTTTAAAGATCACTTATCCGACCACAGATTCTTTACTTTTCTTATTTTTCTGTCTTAAATAAATAATGGTGAATATTCACAGTATCTCATATCTAGCTTTAACTCTTGCCTTCAAAGACTCTAAAATACAGGGCGTCACACCTTGTTCATGACATATAAAAATTTGCACTTACAGATAATGACTTGCCAAAAGTCACCCTGCATGCCAAGTACAGACAAAGGCAGATCTCAGGGCCAATTCAATGACTTGCTCTGCTTCCCTACCTAGATGGAGATGCAGCAAGAGGAAATTCCGTGGGAAAGATGGTGAGTTTTGTGAATGGGTAAGTTTGCTTGTGCAACTATCTTCTCACAGATCTGCAAAGCACATACTCAAACATTTTCTGCTTCTAACGCTCATGAATGGCATTTCCTCAACTGTCAGAATCAGCAACACTGGTTTTAGTTCTGTAACAAGTTTCTTACAATGAGAAAAGTCTGTCCATTTAAGACCACTGACTTCAGTGAAATCCTCTCCTGTACAATTGATAACTTCTGGGATAAAGATGAACATCGACACTTCTACCAGATGCACAAACACATATACAGAAGCAAGGAAACACACTTCTTCTTAATTTAGTAATACATATCATATAAAAATTCATAAGGTACGCTATTTGGTACTTTGAGGCAATTTGTAAAAAATATAACAGTTATGTCATACATACAGGAAGACTTCTTTATGACCTCCTCTTAATTTGGAGCTACTTGTTATTAGTTAAAGAGATCAGACTGTATGTACATGGAAGCAGACTGCAAACTCCATGGACATTCCAATGATCCCAAACCCTAACACATCCTCTGTGCAAGAGAATGAATCAAGTGATTTGTTATGACTCTATCAATGTAAAAACAAACAAACAACAAAAAAAAACAAAACAAAAAAAACCCTGCACTTTACCCAGAAAAAATTGTAGCTGTTTTATGTTAAAAGAAAGAACACTTTAGATAAGTTTCAGTTCTTCTGTAACCAGCAAATTTCATGCTTAAGTCAATGTGAGGCTAAAAGAATTTGTACTTCCAAGTGTTTCCAGCCTCCCACAATCAAGTTTATCATGTTTGCACTCAAGCAAAATTAAGATAAGTAGAAGGTGCCTGAACTTTATACAAAGCCAACATATGGTCTATATGGCTACTATTGATACACAGATGCTAATCAGGGAGAAATACAAATAAGAATGGTGACAGACAACATAAATTTAAAAAACAAACAACAAACAAACAACAAGACAACAATCATTTTATTGTCTTTTCTGTTTTGTTTTTTTTGTTGTTGTTCAGCTCTGATTTACAGGGATATTAGACAGAGTTTTATTTACAAACAAACAACAGCAAAAAACCCTAGATCCTAAAAAGACACAATTAACTAATAGCTACTGGAAAAATATTGTTGTTTTCTTGATAGAACTAAGTGTTTGGGAACAGCAGCTATTAAAAATGCACTTTTGAGTAAACAAATGGCTGGAAATTAAAACAAAAAAACAAAAAAACACCTCTTCTATCAAATAGTGCTTAATTTTATTTATCCCAAATACCTAGTTTCAGACTATTACTTGTGTCTACAAGAGCTATACTGACTACCAAGAAGTTAACACTCTAAACAATTAGTCCTACAGAAATTACAAAATAGAGAAATCTACAGTTTTTCACCATCATTAAAAATGATGATTAAATGATTAAAAAACTGAGAACTGTTTTGGTTGATTAGTACACGCACTGACGATTTCTCCCCTCTCCCCCCCCCTCCCCCCCCCCCCCCCCAAAAACATAAATGCAGCAGAGGAAAAACAATGGCCAGTATAAAATAGCTGATAAAAATCCAGTGCAAAAATGGATGATATTTTCTGCCAGATAGTTGGATTCAATGAGGACACACTTTCAAGTAGTTCAGAAGAACAAGACTTCTACAGAATGTGCTCTCATTAAGATGGAGCAGAAACTGAGTACATAATTAAAAACACAGAGAATACATGCCTATAGGGGATATGAAACATCCCACCATCACATAATGATCAGTTACTCCAGTTAAGAAAACTTCTGCATTTTTACAGCATTTCTGAACACAAGATTTTAAAATACAGCTAGTATCGTATTGATATGGATGAGTAAACATGTACTCACACATAGGCAGCTTACAAGGCTGGACAAGTTGACGTGTCGAGGAGCAAACATGTGAAGCTGCTGAAGGCAAGAGATGGCTTGAGCCTGAACAAGGCAGTCAGGATTATCTTGCATCACTGCACAGCCCAGGAGACAGGAAGTTCTTAAGGCTGAAACTGCAGCACTGCTGCCTATATTCAGAAAAAAAAAAAAGAAAAAAGAAAAAACCCACAAAAAAAACCCACATCTTAATTTTGTTCATTTGTTCTTTAAAAACATCTACTTCTCTTTCAAAACATGATAACTCATCTTTTTTCCTAAGCCATCCATCACTCATCCTTCTGAAGAACACTGCCTATATCTGTTATACTCTGATATCATTGCCCTGAGGGATATCACACTCAGGAAATTTCAGTGTTCAGGTAAGTTAATCATTTACTTGCACCAGTAAAATATGCACCACTAACCAGTGAAATTTTACAAATCTGCATCACAGCTAAGACACAGACTGGCTCCAAACTCTTTGAGTATCTTCCATTTGAGCTTTCAATACCTTCTATTTTCATGCTAAACGTAAGAATTATCAGCCAAGACATAGCTTGGAGAGCCAATTCCAAACCAAGGAAAAGATGTCAAAAGGAAACACTGTTTTTGGAAGAACAGTAATCATCTTGATTGCATGAGCTCATGGCCTGTGGAATACTGTCCGCAAGAAAGAAAAAACTCAATATTTGCATATTAGATTTTAATTATACATTCAAATAATATTTAATAGTTCTGTTGCTAAACCAAAAAAGGCTGACAATATTGTACATTGCTCACCTTGCAACTCAGGGCCCAGTGTGGTAATAAGTGCATTTAAACAGCGACCAAGGCTTTGGTGAACTTCAGTGTATGTAGGAGGCACAGTCAGCAGCAACATGAGAACAAGAGATAAGGTAGGTTCCACATGCACATAGTACAAGGGGCCAGCTAAATCTACTATCAGAGACAGAGAGTGTAGTGCCCATGCCTATGAAATAAAAGAAGCAGTTATGTAACATGTATATGATAAAATCTTTTAGAAATTTGATAGTTCAAAGAAATTCAATTTATAAATGCAACGAAAGTTGTACTTTTAGGTTACAAAGAGGCAAATTGAGAGGTGTTAGAAAGAATTTTCAATAATCACATGTTAAATTTTGAATATATTTATATATACATATTTTAGGAACTCTGTTATGCAATGAAAGAACTGTTTTAAAATTGTCCTTGTTTACTGAAAAATAAATTAATAGTAAATTAATTTATTAGTGAATATTATTCCTCAGATACACTATTTGTAAAACATTTTATAGTTCCATGTACAAGAACAATAGTTAACAAAGTTAATATAACAGAGCAGATGAAACAACATTTTGGCTACTGGTGCAAAGTAATTGAGACCAAATCTGTTTCATGTCAACATACAGTGCTACTTTAAGTAAACATATTGTAGAGGAGGTTACAAAATTTTTTTAAGACTTACAGGAACACAAAGAATATGCACTATGTCTCTTAAAAGTATTCTGATAGAAAGCAGCTTTAGCCACAGAGAAATCATTTGAATTAATCTTCAGAACATCTTGCTTTACTCAAAGAACTATACTGACTACGTTGTACAGCATTCAGGCTTCAAAACCCTGTTATTTACTACATATGCCTTCATGGAAAAATTTTGTGAGTGTATTGTGTCAGTTTTTCTCTGCTAAGAACAGAAGAAAAAAAAAAAGCAGGTGCCATCTAGTCAAGGTCAAGATATGGTGAATATGAAATTAATCAACTCCTAAAACATCAGATCTTGTTTATAAAGACAGTTTAGCTCAGCCTTATCACTCTCATTGATCATCAAAATAAGAACCTCTCTTATCTCATTCTAGGTCTTGTTTGAAAGGTAGATTTTGACCAGGGGCTATTTTCATTGCATTTACTACTGCACTCATCAAACTGTGAGATACACCTGACAGGTTGTGAAATGTTGTAAGAATGAACATTTATGCTAAAAAATAAATCAGTTAATTTGTAACATAACATTTTTAGATAAGTGACAAGTACCTGTACATCAGGAGAAGTACTGTCCTGAGATAAAGTATAAAGGATTCCAACACATGCATTCAGGTGCTGAGTAGAACCTATTCCTCCTAAGTATCTATACAGACACCCCACTGCCAAAGAGTGACCTGTTCTTGATACCACATCTCTAGCAGATTTTAGCCTATTAATTACAAGGAAAGAAAGCTGTCAATGTGATCTCCAAGACTGATATTACATAAGCACAACTACAAATGAAAATTCTAGTACATCGTAAGTGAAACACTTGGCTAGACATTGTTACACTGACAAAACTGTAAGTTAATCATCTATCATCTGAAAGGAGTACCAAAAACATTTTAGACATACTTAACTGATGTTGCCAGGACAACAGGCCATTAAACTTATCTGAAAGTCTATGTGCTTACTTAAGACTATAATCTTAAAGAACAGAAAAACTAAGAGCTGCATATAGAAATCAAACAGTGCTTTTTCTTGTTACTTCAAAAAAGAACATCAATGAAACCAGTTTCAACAACTTTTCTTTAAATTATTATCACAATATTTCTTAAGTGTTTTTATAAACTCAAACAAAAATTTACTGTACTTCTTTGAACTTACTTGTCAAAACTAACTTGTGCTAATCCAGCAGTAAAGGCATTGTCAGAAACCACCTGAGCCAACCTGGCCCAACTCTCTGCAGCAGCACACCTTAGAAGTGGATTATTGCTTTCCAAGGCACTCAGAACCAATGCCAGGGCAGATCTTCTAACTTCTTCTGGACCTAAACTTCCCTTGCAGTTAGCCAAGTGCTAAAAATAGATAGTAGATGTATCAATCTTCAGTACAGTAATCAGAATGTTTTTCTGTCAGTCATGCAAGAATTACAAGATATGAAGGAGGAATTTGATTTTCTTTCCATCTTATTTGTGGAGTTCCTCAATTTTTATTTGCTCTTCAAGAATTAGAATTCTAATCGAATTTCAGACAAAAAAATTGCAAAAATAGAGCAGTTTTCTGAATTGCATATTAAATTTGCCAGAAATACAATATTGCACTATTAAAGCTCTTGCCTGTCATGAAAACATTTTTAGTTTGAAAAAAAAAAAAAAAAAGCGTAAGAAGGAAAGAATGAAAACTACACATGAATCGAGGAAAATACACAAAGTATCATTGAAAGGCAAAAAAATGACAGCCTTTGGTTTAAAAAAAAAAATCTTTACTTTTTTTTCCCCTATAGTAAGAAATCTGAGAGAAATAGGGATAAAGACAGGAATGATAGAAACAATTTCCCCATCTCTTCCTTACTTGAATTACAGTAGCAAAGACTGTAACATACTACAAATTTTTGACATTATCCTTTAATCTTAAAAAATAGGAAAAAAATTAACTATGACTCTGTGGCACTTATGGAATATATTACAAATACAAATATTGCCACAGAAAACACTGGTTAACACTGGTTAACTTGATGAATGAGAACGTCTACATAGACATATGAATGAAAGGAAGCAATGTTTCAGAAATGGAGAGGAAGGGAAAGAAAGAAACAGAGGAGATTTACCTTTAAAGACGTAGAAAAGGCTGACACAACATTTAATTGCACTAGTTGCTGTCGTGATCCTTTTGTTTGCTTTATAGAATTCAACAACTGTTCTAACACTTGGAGTCTTAAACAAAAACGGAAAAAAAACACAGACAATTTTTAAAAATGAAGAAGAAAACGAATCCAGTATTCCATTTTATTTTATTGAAAAAGTGAGGTGAAATAAATCAAGTAGCTGTCTACTACAAACATGATTACAGTAACCTACTTCTGGATGTGTCTTTTCATCACAAGCAACTTCAAACAGAACATCTAATAATTTTCTCGTCCTAATGATTTTATTCATGTGGTTCATGGAATGCACTTTCATAACCGACTCAGAATGTTTTCTACTGTTTGATCTCAAGTACACTGACCATGTTTCAGTATCCCCCAAATCTCTCAACAGTTGAAGTTACTACATTACCTGTGAGTTTCTGCTATATGGCAAAATATAACTCCAAAAAGACCAGTTGCTGCACCAATTACAGACAATGTGGGAGGTAGTGGTTTAGGTACTGAATCACGTTTTGCAAGTTTCTCATATATGGAGTAAGGGTCATATTCCAGGCTGCCTCCAGCTACGTTGTTACCTAAAAGGAGCTGTAAAAGGGATACAAGCGATCAAGCCATAACCTGCACTGACCTAAAGAACTAGAATCAAATGAAAATACAATACTACCAGTATACAAGTACCTGCTCTTCAATAAATTGGTGGTCAGTCTCCTGCAGTAAGGGACCAAGTAAAAGGAGATCATCCTCATGACAAAGGGGTGGAAGCAAGAATGTAGAGGCATCTATCTGGCTATCTGGTATAGTTAAGTCCACCACTAACTCTTTCAGAACAGCATGGAAACTTCCTTTAAATGAAAAGTATTTTAAAAATTTTGTTAATTACTTGCAACGTGAAATTTTGTGAGCAAGAAGGTATTTATGCTGAAATTTACACCTGTTAATTTAGCATTGTGATTTTAAGGCTATTATTTATTTATTAAAAAAAACAAAACAAAACAAACAACACAACCCACTGCCCACCACACTCCACTCCCTGAAATGTTTTAAACTGTATTTACTGGCTCTAGATTATAACGCTCTCAGGTAGGATCTTGCTCTATCACAAGATTCAGGCTTTACAAGTCATGCTGCAAAACGAAAATTCAGTAGGTAGACTATATATAGAAATCTCAACCCAAAGAACTGTTAAACCTGCTCAACCTCAAATATTAGTATTCTATAAAATGTTGATCTCCTGTAACAAAAGGAAAAAAGAACAAACTTGCTCTGAGGGATGGAGTTGTCACATCCAGTATTTTAAGCTTAAATTCAGAAACAAATCTTACACACATAGTGTATACATAAGTATAGTGCATACATGGCAATTGTTACATTCAGACCTAAAACACGTGACAACAGCTTTAAAGCAGAGAAATCAGGGATTTGTCCTTATGAGAATTCATGGAGCATTTACCACTAGATGGAGCAGATTATTTGAAGGAGGACTCCCTCCATGATACAGAGGATGCAGTCAATTAAATGACTGGCTGGCACATCTCTCTGTCCTGATGAAATACCCTTGTACTTCATAATTATCAAACACTCTGGTTCTTTATTTCAGTCCAATAAGTGATAAACGATTCACATGGTGATTTTAAAATGACAAAAAAATAATGTTTTAGTTGATCTATTATTAGTCACTGTATTGGAAAATTAGATTTGAAATATGGTAAATTATGTTCTGCTAAAGAACACTGAATCTGTCCTCAGATTTTCTTCACATTTTTCTTTAAAAGCAAACATTTCATCATCAACTTGAAAAGGATAAGTTTAATGTATCTGTCTGGACATGGTCCTGGGTAACCTGCTCTACATTTCGCTCCTTGAGCAGGAATTAGAACAGATGACTTCCAAATGTTCCTTACAAACTCAGCCATTCTGTGAGCCTGTTGAATTATTTCAATGGATCACATTCGATTGGCTAATGCTGAAATTATATTTTTTTGGATTAAGAATTAAGGAAGTAAAACAGGTATCAAAAGAAGTCCATTCCCCAAATAATTAAAAAGTCACAATGTTGCCCACCTTTAAATTTCAACTAAAAGCAGCACAAAAGTCTTAATTTCTAAAAGAAGAGGGGAAAAAAAGGATCACAAACATTAGCTTTTCAAGATCATTATGACTTCATTACAGCTTCATGAAATATAAACAGAAGGAATAAAATGTGTTAGAAAAGGTTAAACTAAATCTTGCTAGCTGAATACATGTTGAACAACAATTTCAAACACGCACCTATAATGTTTCTAAGGATGTTCTTTGTAAGAATACATACCTTCATACATTTTTGGAGGCAATACTGCCAGTAATTCATAAAGTTTATGTCTGTAAACTGTTGATGATGTTTTTAAAGAATTTCCGTAAGACTTAGAGATTGAAGAAAGCCTTAAAACATAAAAAGTGCATTAGAGATGTTAAAGAGTTCAAGGATTAGTAAGTCTGGTTCTATTTGTACTAGAACTACTAAATAATTTCTGTATGTGTTATAAAGACTGTTCTGATTTGCAGTAGCAGTAGCAGAAGCAAAACTATTTCACATGATCTGAGAGAACCTCTCAGTTAACATTTCCTGTCTTTTCTTTTAAATTTAATACCAGAGAAATAAATAAAGTTTTCTATTGTCCTTGATTGCACCTGTACTTATTACAGCTAATTTTTTGCAGATATGTCTGCGAGGTACAGCAAGGTAGAGTTCAGCACATTAAATCACTACTTACTCTGACACAAGGCAAAAGTTAAATTATGAAATTCTTTCCAGCTTAGCTGTCAATCTAAGTATAAAAAATAGCTATCTTTTTGTCCCAGTGTATTACTGTATTAAAAAAAATGACCATGTATACAAACAAATGTGCAAGTTTGATTTTAAAAAAGAAGCAGAAAAAACGCATTAATTTAATAAAAGGATATAACAACTTCTTCCCTTAATTTCTTTATACAGTTCTGGAATCTGTAATACACATTACTATGCCAGCTAAAGTCGTGACACTGATAAATCCTACACTCTAATTTTTGTGCTCTGAAAAGAAAGTTCTTTAGAAAGTGCACTAAATGAAATGCAAAAGAATTCCCCTGCAGCTTTTCAAAATCAGAATGGCATTTAACAGTTTGATATACTTACTGTGTCAATAAATCAACAGCACTTGGGAGAGGAGGAAGAAGTCTCTGAAGAACTTCATCTGTAAGAAGACCAGCACAGTGGGAAACGAAGCTTTTGATTGCTAAAACAGGAAATTGAATTTAATTAAAGTGACATACACAGGAGAAAAAAAAAAGCATAATTACCTCACTTAAAATTCTAATATTTCCATTTTAAAAAGCATTAAAAAAAAAATGAAAGGCATTTTGAATAGTAACTTCAGAAACTGATAAAATCACAAATGAAAAAAGAAAAACACATGCACAAATACACTGTTTTTGTGTCTCAGCTCAGACATTTGTATGAAAGCATTTTTTACTTTTTGGTATGAATTGAATTGTGGAACAAAACTCAACTTCATGATAATTCCCTGATAATAACAGCAACAAGGAAAAAAAAAAAAAATGGGAGAAATATGATTGTTAGATTACCTATGGCTTACATTGCTACTTTTCTCTTTAAATTTCACTTAATGACTATGCTTTAAGAAACAGCCTACATGTACTTAAGTATTTTTTATTATTTACAAAAAATTAAATTTGAATTACTATTTCAAGAGGTACCCAGAAAATATACAGCATAAAAGACCTATTTCCATAATAGTAAAATGTTAATTTTATTTTACAAGAAACCTAAGTAATTAATGTTGAATTCTACACATCCTGACAAATTTTAACAGTAAAAGATAGTGGATTGCTACACTATGGACCATGCTTCTGCTTTGCAAAGGATCTATAGTATACCAGAATTTATGACTGCAACACATTAAGTACTTCAAGAGCAGTGAAACAGTATCTTAGAAACCCAAATTCCCAATATTTCACAACAACAAAAAAAGGCAGCCTACCAGACCGCAGCCAAATTGTAACTTTTACCTGAGTCTTCCTATTCTTGCAAATTTGCTAGACTGATACAGTTAATCTATTTTACAGTAAGTCAGCTATTAGGAAGTAGAACTGGATATTCACTAAATATAACAATGTGGAGATGAGAACGTATCCTGGTTTTGTTCTTCAGATATTATGTGATATACATGCTAAGGAAGAGAGGCATTCCTTTTATCATTCACAGCCTGGTCAACTGAATTGAAGAACATGAGCAAAAACCCTCTACCAGCAATATTGTTTTTGTTTGTTTTTACAATTACAAAGTACACACAGCATCACCAAGGCTGGAAAGACTCCAAAATTATCCAAGCCCAACCATCCACCTACCACCAATATTTTCCACTAAACCATGCTCTTCGGTACATCTCAGCATTTCTTAAACATCTCCAGTGACAGTGAGACTTCACCATGTCCCTGGGCAGCCTGTTCCAGCATTTCATCAGTCTTCAGGAGAAGTTTTCCCTAATATCCAACCTGAATCTCCCCTGGCACAACTTGAGGTCATTCCCATTTCTCCTGTCACTAGCTAAATGGGAGAAGAGGCCAACCCCCATCTCACTGCAACTTCCCTTCAAGTAATTGTATAGAGAATACACAGATATGCATAGGTAAATATACACACACGCCTACCACATATACACACACATATATACATATATGTATAAACACACACACAAGCGTGTAATGTTGGGGGACAAATTTATCCTCTATCACCCAGTGGAAAAGAAAAAAAAGCAGTATGAAGTATCTTTGATCTTTCAGAAGGAAAAGCAAATTACAAGTCTAACTATGAAGAATCGTATATTCAACTTACCACAGAGAGCACCAGCACGGCCTTCCAGAGTTACCTGCCATGTAAACGAATCTCCTCGCGTCTTCTCTGTTTCTAGGTCTTTAGGAGATGATGGAAAGACACACTTCCACAGTAAAAGTATCCGTGGAAGGTGGTATTGGACAACTGCAGGACCTGCAGGTATTGACAGCTGTCATGCCAATGTGAAGACTTGAAAACATCCAAAGAGTTCTCTTTGGTTCTTTTTACTATGTTCACAAAATCATTACAGCTGCAAACACATCCTTATGCTATTTCCCCAGCCTACTCATGCTTCGTAGATGGGAAATTTACCTGATATTCCACGTTCATACATGATTACATACCCACTGATACATTTACTAGTAGATAATGAACTATGACTTCTGTCTGAAGCACAGACTGTGTGGATCACCAGCATAAAAGAGATTTAATATGTAACAGCAATGTTCAGAAAAGCTAACATTTGCTATAGGTTAATGTACAAAGTGTGTTTTCTTTAATGCAAGAGAACCCTAGGAGTATTAGGCAGAAATAATAGCTGAAAACAAAAAACATGAACAAAACTGACAACATACTCTAGAATCAATAACCTGATCACTAATCAGAAAGAACAGTAACGTTTAGAGAGAATTAAACTGTTCTATCCCAGCACAAAATTAATAAGATATTTTTAAAAATAAAACAAAGTCACTGTAAATATTCATAATCACAAGAACATTTGATTAAACTTTTAAGCTTGTCTTCAAAATTTAATTAATTGCGGTCCCATCCAGTCACTGCCTTTCAAATATTGTTTCCAGTGATCTAACAATAAATTTGAAACTAACAGCCTTTTCACATAGAACACCTTAGTTAAGTAAAATTGTACGCAGCTATTACCTAACGTCATGAGGGCTGCTATTAAAAGCCATCCAGCCTGCGTTCGCTGTACTGAAAGGCGACTGTTCTGAGAAGCAGAACACAGCAAATCTTCTGCTAGTGTCATGATTACCTTCAAAGTTAAAGAGAGAGGAAAAAAAAAGACCATCAGCATCCTAGAAACTATCAGATGTTTTTTCCAATTGCATTTGCTGCAATACTTAACTATATTTCACTATCCCCAAATAGAACCTCATCTTCCTCTCACACTTTCTTATGAAGCTACAATGACTGACAGCAGTACTAGTCTAGGATGGCTTCAACATGTGCTTTGGGGAGCTAGGTATATTACTTAGCCTCTTTTTGTCCCTTCTTCTACCAACACTAAAGTAAGAGCTGATAACTCTGATACAAATATAGGGAAGTATAAAAGCATTCTGATATCCTACTTATATCACTACGTAGAAAAAAAAGCAGAGAGAGACATACAAATTACAGCTCAGAAGAAGTATAGAGAGGAGTAAAATGTCTTCTTTTTTTTTTTTTTTTTTTTTTAATATGTCCTACCATTTTTGCTGACAGTACTTAATTCAATAAGTAGTATGAATAAACAAGCAGGAAAGCAGGACATGCCAAGACATAAATCAATCCTGTCTCAGCTTCTCCACAATAATTGCATGTGATCTCTGACATGCAAAACACAAGGTGATAATCTGCACCTGTTAAAAGAACTCAAGCTACCTAGAATTTGCATGGAAGATCATACATATGTCCACGGACAACAGCCCACAGTATGGCAAAAGCTTGTAAAAGTATTCTGCAATTGGTTGGCCTCTTACATACATATTTCTTAAGTGTTAAAAAGTATTTCTTTCTTACTGCATTATATTTGAGTGCCAAAACAAACTGTTCACAAATTAGTATTACTAATAAGAAACGTCATTATCAATATTATCATTAAAAGCATCAGTACAGACAATAGCTCTCTATAATTTATTTGCACATTTACAAAGCCATGAAAATTTGCATGTGAGATTTGGCTTCATGAGTATTTTCTGTTTGTATACATGCAGAATTTCATTAGATATTAACATACTGTAAAATATTACTTTCCTCAATAGTGCTATTGGCCGTGAATAAATAGATTTAATAGATTTAGAGTATTTGATTCTAATTAAAAAAGCACCCTTGCTAAATCATACCAATAAAAATGACTAATCATTTACTATATTCAAATTACTTGATAAAGAAGCATTCTAGAAAGGATTTCTAATAGTTTCTAATAATTTCTATGTTCATGTACTAATACATATTTCTGAAGGATTTTTTGAAGTACCAGCATTAGTACAGAATGTTATGTATAAACCCACTAATTATTTCCTTTCTTTGAATAGATTCTACCTGTAAATCTAATCATTATCAAAGGTAAAATTTAAAACAGTTTCTGTCCAGGTCACTACTGCCTACATTTGGCATCTCCTTTTCAAAACCGCTCTGTTTGACACTGCTCTCTTTCAGTTCCTCAGAAAAAATTAGTCTGGAATCTGGCAGTGCTCCTAGAAAATAATGGAGAAGGACGTCTGTTAGCTCTTCTGTTCTCCCTCCCTGCCAGCTTAGTACAAAATACACTGTTTCTCCCACACTTTTCTCTGCTTTCCCATACCTACCTCATCTTGGCACTATTTGATTCTATTCTACTTCTCTAAAAGAAAGCTTTGTAAATTAGTAAGTTTCCCCATCAAATAGATACTGTAGCTCTGTTTAGGTGTACAGTATTGAATAGTACTTTCCTGTACAAGCAGGCAAATAACACTCATTTTGTTCTCTCCCCCTGAACGAGAAAGCCCCTGGTCAATCTATCACTAGAAAAAGTTTTTAAAAGCTAAAGAAAATGAAGAAAATTGACTTTTTTTTTTTTTTTTTTTAAATATCAGTTGTTTCATCAGCAGTTAATACACTGAATGTTGAGACCCATTAGCAGTAAAGTCTGCTGAGGAGTGGTATGGAATTGGCAGAGCTCTGTAACACTGGACAGGTGGCCTGGAATCACTGCAAGAATAATTTTGTGCTATTATGTTAAAGCACTCCTTTCGTTTCACAGAGGTATAATAATACAAAATCCACAGCCCTTTCACCAAAATGTGCCACTCCTGAAAACATCTCAATCAGAGCCAATGGACGTTACAAGAAGCAAGAAGGTAAGTTTCTCCATTTTGCAGAAAATTAGCATGTGCTGCTGATATTTGTGCTGCACCATGTTTTTCCAACTGTGAGCAACTCTGTGGATATAACAGTCATTGAGGTGGAAACAGCTTCTTTTCCCAGCCTTCATTTCTCTATCTGGATATCCCCCGAACTTCAGAGCACTGTATATCCTATCCATGCCAACAGAGAGAATAGCAAAGCTATCTTAGACTACACAAGAAACTGATTTCTGTTAAATCCTATGAAGGAATAAGAAAATGTATATCAGTCAGATTTGATTAAAAATGGTTGGACTTAACTAAGCATTTTCAAGATAAAACAGAATTATTGTTATTGGTATAGTGCCTGACTAAAGTGAACACTGCAGGGTCATTGTTAAGACTGGAAAATATTGCTTTGGCTTAATCTATGTTTGAATGAGCTTTCTTTCAGGAAATTTACTTCTAACACTGTAGCATGCAATAGGACTTGTCTGTTTACTTAAATTTTTTATTAAAAGAAAAATCTCTTCCTTTGGCGAAGTCTGATACATTTCAGCACTTCAGCTGACCATTTTCTTGAGTAAAAAAGCAAGAAAAATGATAGCTTTCTAATTTAGTCCAAATACAGAATTACAGAAGATTCTGTCATTTGAAAATAATTTTCTTATAAATTCTGAAAAACTTAACTCCACTTGAGAAATGTTTTCCTTGGGTAAACTGCTTTTTTGGAGCTGTTAAATTTAAGTCCTCCATAGATCCAGAGAAGTGACCTCTATTAGGGTAGAAATACCTAACAATCTTCTCCACAACAAAAAGATATCAGTGTGAATGGTTAATAAAATCACTAACGAACTTTCCCACAAAATTCTGATACATGTGAGAAAAACACTTGCTTTTTCATGATTGTGCTTTGAAATCCCCTTTTTGTAGAAAGAAAATACCACATCACTATCTTGGGTTTCGTGATCATGCGATGAAGAACACATGCAAATATTGCTGAAAAAAAAAAAAAAAAGAAAAAAAAAAAAAAAAAAAAAATCAAATAATTGCCTAATATTCAGACCATACCTTCCCTTTTCCATGTGGAATTCCCAGAGGACAGTGTTTTACTGCACCCAGTAAAGCAGCAATAGCAAAACTGAAGCCAGTTATTGCTTCTGGGGAGGATTTCAATGCGTTCAGACGTTCAATGCAACGATTCAACAGTAGAGACACGTAGGAGGGCAATGCTATTGCAATACAGCGTAAACACCAAGCTGCTGTGAGTCTAACTGGAATGCTGGGATGAAGGATGACAGAAATTACTGCATCCAGAACTCCTGAAAAATAGAATGCACAAATACATTTAAGAAGCTGGCAAACAGATGATTTCTAAGATGATGTCAACAAGCAAAACAGATAAGGAATTATCAAGTATCTAATTTCTGTACTTCTCTTTTAAAAGTACTGTTAATTTTACCATAAAATGTATTTGTCATCAAATTTAAAAACTACAATTCTTTAAAGAAAATACTACCCCAAAAAGTAAGAGAGTGAAAAAACCTTAAGACATCATCTGGTTATTCACCAACGCGAATTAAAAACTCTGTAATCATTCTCTAAGAATCAGAAACACATTCAAGGAAAAATGACACCTACATGAACCTATCCAGATGAAAACATTCTCACTGCAAGCAAGAAAAATCGATGAAGACACTCATCTTGATCAAACTGACTCCGTTTAAATACAATTCTTAATGAAGTTAAATTTGATACTAATCTTTTTTCCTATCTATTATTTTGAAATGAACATAATAGTGCAGACAAGAGATAATTTGAATATCCTAGTAATAGTGCAGACAAGAGATAATTTGAATATCCTAGGTCAAAGCCTGAAAATTTCATATGGCATGCAAAAACTTAACTTCTCTTCTTCCTTTTTGTTAGAAGAAACACAAAGTCCAGAATTAAAGGGGACCAGGTAAAGAGACTGCATGCTACAAACTGCACATATTGATTATTTCCCATGCCAATGAATTTTAAAGAGTTAACAGTCCAGCCACAAGCAATCATAGATCACAGTAAAAATGGGAATATATTTTATACTCTCGTACATGAAAAAAATTCAGGGCGCATACCTGTACTGGAGTCCTGTAGTAATGGTGCTGCTGTAGTTCCTAAGCCATGGATGAGACTCCCAAGTTCTTGAAGCGCACACACAAGCACATGCTGACTTCTCATTACATCTGTTGTACTAATTCGTGTCTCCAAGTTACTGTCACTCACTGAAGCATCTGATAACACAACATAGGAAGAACCCCATGAAATTGCTACCATAAATAAAACAAAGCGATCAGATAAAGGGTTTGCTATGGTACTTTGTCTGTATTACTAAACAAACTTTTATCATTACCATTTTAATCACTGATCAAATTGTTTTCGTAAAGGTTTATTTCATTAAGGGAAGTATATACTTAAATGTCTGTGAGGGCAGTTAGAAAAACAAAATGGAAAAAAAACACCAACACCAAACAGCTGATGAGAACAGTGGCTAGAAAGAAGCATGCTATTCCCAGCCTTCCCAAAGACGACTTTAAGAGGTCATGTTTCAACAAGGAATGAATATAACCTGTCAGATTATACACGTAGTAGGAAAAAAAAAAAAAAATCACAGGAAAGAAAGAAAGAGCAGAAGAGTGAATGAGGCACAAGAAGGGGGAGAATAAGGATAGACACGGTAATAGGGATGAAATAAAAATGGGAAAAAAACATTTACTTGTTTTGTTTCCTAATTTCATCTTTTGAGACACAAATTATCAAGTCAGTTTATACATTTATCATTTAGATACGTAAACAGAACACAGTATGCAGCAGTATAGTATTCTCTTTCATCCTCCCAAAAAGGATGATGGTGGGAGATCAGCAGTTTGCTTGGAAGCTATGTACCTGCCTACCTGTTTTCTTCAGGAGAAATACTCCTTTTTACAATTAGGAACAAACCATCAGTAGTGTCATATGTACTGAACAGGAAAGCAGAACATGGCTAGATGTGTATCAACTGTCAACTGTCATTTTACAATACTGCCTGCATTTCATTCCTGCACAGATTCATTATACTGTCATATTTGTAAGTGGTTAGTGATTTTGCTAGTGAGTAAGTAGCTAAAGTAAAAAAAGAAAGTGTTAATATCTACACACGTACTAACAAAAAAAAATGAAACAGCCCAAGTTAAAAACAAAACAAAACACACTACCAAAACCCTTCTAAATTATTATGGTAATAAATCAGCACTAGATGTTATTTTTCTGCAGTTTCTGGATTAGGAAGTTAGAAACCACTTAAAGAAAAAACAGAGGCCCAAATGGATAATCTTGTTAGATCCATACCCACAACTTTCTTCAGTTTCCAGATGGCCTGACAAATCTCCTTGGCAGCTGCAATTTGAGCTTTTTCCCCAAGAAGGCCTCCTACTGTAGCTCGAAGGATAAATGAAACACAGCAGCGACAGCCGATAGCCTCCATCTGATTCTGAATAGCCTTAGGGTGAGACTGAGAAACAAGATCTAGAATATGAGAAAGGAAGGCAGAGAAGTTCCTTTCAAGCCACTGTCCTCCTAATGTAGAGACAAATACCACATATGCCTGGAAAAGATTTGAAAAGAAGTCATATTTTAGAGGAAAATCATCTGGAGAACTGCTATCAGCTATCCCACATACATAATTATTTATGCCTCTGCAATTCCAGAAATACAACAATTTCTGAACTGAGTTCATATATCTGGTACATTCTCACCTGCAGGTAGCAGGTGAAAAATGTAGCCCTAAAAAATATTCTAGCAATAACACAGCTTAGTTTGACTGTAAGTTAATTCAAGTTGCTTGCCTTCTTTATTTCATTCCAGAGTGTGAGAAATGGCAGTTTACCCTGCACAGGCACTTGTTATGTAAAACACTGTGTTTGGTCTCACTGAACAACAGCTCCTAGCTATTTAATATTCTGCACATGGAACACAAATTTAATGTATGAATGCATTTTAAGAACTACTATGTTACAATACTGTAACCCATAACCCTGAGAGAATTTTATTATTACAGGCTTGGAATTAGGGAACATTTGCAGCCCCCAAGCACTGCTCTTAATCTCAATGAATTTTCATTGTTTGCTTTGCAGCGTAGGTACTATAGAAAGACTGTGGACATCACAACAAAGAGAAAGAATGCAGTGTCACTTTACAAATCTAATTACCAGAACACCATTTATTTTGCTACAGAATACACTCCCTTATAAATGCCTTCTATATGCATGCGCTGGGTTTTTTAATGAATAGATGTGTTACCACCAAGAAAAATGAATGCCATAAAATGAGTATATACAATCCAATATGCAATAGTCCTCAAAAGAAAGTTCATAAGTACTACCCATCAACAAACTTCTCTATTTACTTCTTATATACTGTGACTTGTGTACAACATTAATGACTAAACTATTTACACAAAAGAAAGTGATGTAATGCAGGTGGAAAAACAAGAAAATCCTATTGACAATTAATAGCTCTTAACAAATACTACTTAAGCTTAATAATGTACCAGTACATTACCACTGTTTTACAGATTCAAAAACTGAGGAATTTAACAGAATAGGGTTGCAAAGACTCATACTGCCACGGCTACATCTTGAACTTGACCATATCATGAATAAATACAAATTATTCTTCCATATATAAGAAGCCATCTTCAGAATTCTTACAGATTTTAAAAATTATAACAAACTGTAATTCAAATAATAACCAATACATTTTATAAACGAAAGCATTTTCTTCTTGCAGGCATAGGTATACACAAAACTCAGTTTCTTACAGAAACATCACTGATTTTACTGTGACAGCACAGCAAGAGCACACCGTATAGACCTGGTATGCATTAGCATAGAAATGCATGAAAAATGGAAACAATTTTTTTTAAGAAAGTACATGTAGTCAAAATACTGAAGTGAAATACCTATTCCTAGAAAAAATAAAAAATAAAAAAATCAATGAAATGATTGCATATATAGAAAACCCTAGGTGTCTGGCATGCATTTTCTAGGCAAACATTTCTCCCTGGCTTATCTGTCATTCTGCCAGAAGTTCATGTCCCCACCTAGCATGAGCTGAAGATGAAGACAATCTGTGAATACCTTCTAGCTGCTCCAATGCAAAGTCAGGCAGCTTCCATAAGTAATTCAAACTAATTTAGAGATTGTTTTTTGCACTACAGTAGTTGAAATGCCTAAAAATCCCCTTACTGTCAAACACTGACATGAATACTTGTACATTAAAATAATCACTACTGTTAGACATGTAAATGTTCATCAATACCATTAACATTTGAATACATAGGTTTTCACATGTATATGCTAAGATAACTGCAAGAAGCACTTAGCTTATCTCAAAAATTTACGCTTTTTACCAGTATGCACTGCACATTCTGACTTCAGCTCTTCTCAGTTAAAGTTTTATCCTTTAACTAAGCATTCTGGAACACAACAAAACCAGTCAGCAAATATTTGCTTTGTGTCACTAAACTGTTTCTCCTTATTTTTTAATTTTTAATTATTCAAAGCAGAACTCATTCTTTCAAAATGGGACTGAGAATGGTTGTATAGTAGGAAACCACTCCATGTTTAAGAAATTCTTGCACCTTCCCCCTCTAAATTTTAGGCACAAGGCAGTAAATTACTAATAAGAAACAATTTGATGCAAGTAATTACTTATATCACTTCTTTTTTTTTAATCACTTAACGATTTCACTAGTAACACACGCTTCATTTTGAAAGTTTCAAACTGCCATATAAACAACAAGAAACATTAGAAATCTTCTTTCTGGCACAATTCAAGGTGAAAATTTTTATTATTAAATTCTGTCACAGACACTAACAAGGATGAAATAAGGGATATATAAAAACAGTTGTAGGAATATTCAGCAATCTTAGAACAACATAAATGATGTAACACAAACCTGTGTGACTCCAACCCTAACATCTCTGCTGACTGAGCTGGTCCCTTTCAGCATATCACCACTGGCTCGTAGAAATCCATAACTTCCACGCAGAAATCCAGTTCCTAAGAGCTCCATCACTTCCTCCAAAGAGATTCTGCGGGAGTTATGCTTGGTGGATACTAAAAATAGATGTAATTGTTTAGAGGAATAGCTCTATAGAACTTACTCGTATTTCAGAGGTAAAGCTTTGACTCCAATCATTTTAGAAAAGATGGATTTAAACAAATCAGTAACACAACCAAATCCAAACATGCTTGAAACATTTTATATACAAACGCACACATACAAACATTCACATGCATATGCACACATCCTCTCTGTATGGTATTTACCATCAAATCTAGGCCCTCTCTGTAGAACAGTCTGTATAGCCTACTCCTGCTATCTTAAGCTTCACGAAAGCCCTGACCAACTCATCCACCTCACTAAAGACAACTTTCTCTTCCAGACTCAACACAGGACAGATTACCTTCCTGTTACACTTAGCCAGATACGGACATTGCAAAAGGTACTTTTAGAAACAAAAACCTTCTCAACTTAGTACCAATTCCTCGAAATAATGAGAGTAATAGAATGTGTTTACAATCTGCTGGAAAGAAAGAATCTCTGATTTCTATTCTGTTTCATTCCCTGGCAGAATATCCATTTAAAATATATGCTAGGAATTGTGCATGTGCAAACTTCACATGATTACTGCACAGTGTGTGAACTAAGCAATCTAAAATTTTTACTGTTTTTCACTCTATTTCTCATATTTTGATGAGACAGAGACTAAGACGACTTTAGATAATAAAGCAGTAATCGTAATCCCCACTGCCAATTGGTTATCACCTTCAAAGCAGAAATTTTGTAGCTACGTACTCCCTCATGTTTTGCTCCCTCCTCTTGTTCCCTAGCCCATTTTAGCCTTAACCCAGCTTCCATCTCACGCAGATCTAACTTGTTTTTAACCTAAGGATTCACTACTAAAAATAACCAACAAAACAGCTGGATGAGCTTCTTGTATTACTAAAGTGTTAAGGTTATATAACTACATTGCTTGGAAGAAGAAAACAGTTTATAAAGAGGACCGAGAAGGTTTTTTCCTCCTCCTATTTTAATATAAAAAGACCAGTTTTAATTGTTTTCTTCTGTCTAAAGATTTTTTTTTTTCTAAAAAATCTCTTCGGAATACAAGATTTTAAGAATCTTCAAAGTAAGCAGATAACCTCAAGAATTTTGAAAAAGCAGTAAGCTGGGCTTAACGACTTCATTTTGTCATTTTCTGCTTATCGCACTCAAAGTCTTGATGCCATTAAAAGAAGAATCATACTCACTCTGCATCATGCTATATTTCACATAGATTACAGTTGGAAGTTTAGTTTTGGGCTCCTAAGACTGGACTGAAAACGCCCACTCCGAATGATACCAAAGATTTGAGATGCTAAATTTGTCTCAGGATGCCTATCAACAGAAACTGTTATACGTGCTCTGTTAAGAGAGCTGTGTGTTCATTCCTGCTTCAGATCATGTCTGTACCCCTATACAATCCAAAAATGGTACTGACAATTGTGAAAAAACAGTTTAAAAACCCATCCTTAGCTCTTCGGTTTGACAGGCAGATACTCCATCACATCTTAGTGTTCCTTACACATTGCAAAAATACAACAATATTCTTGTAACAGAGGAAACTAGTTTTACCAAATATTTTTTCTTGTTTATTATTACTGTCAGTGAGTGTAGAGTATATAGTTGTGCAACACAAGTAAAAACATTACAGTATTATATGAGAAAAAAATGTTATGAGAATAAAAGTTAACAAAAAGATCAAACAACAGATACAAACAGCTTGATGAAGTTTACATGGTGATTTTACTTCAGGTTTCAGAACTTCAGAGTTTCTGAACATCTGATAAGATTTTTACAGATGACGAATCACCAAAGTGCATACCTTACCTGTTGCCTGCTTAGATGTTAAAGCTCTAGCCAGTACTGTGCCTAAAAGTTTTGAAACTGCTAAATGTACATCATAATTAGAACCTTCAAAAGATTTAAAACACAAAGTCACAATGCTATCCAGATCCGTACTCCACATAAATACTGCTTCATTCTGAAGTTCTAGAAGACACTAGACAAAAAAGAGAAAAGGAAGTAAAAATGCCTAAGGTTAATGTTTTGTTATGGAAAAGCACTCAGTACAGACTTTAGCTTGCAGCATAAGACTGAGTTCTCCCTAATAAAATAAGCATGTTGCTTCATACTAAAATTACTTGATTTTTTGCTGCCAGGGCAATGTCAAAGAAATACAGACAAGCAAAAAGTGTATTTACTGATGTGTTTATCATCCATTAAATGAAAGCTTTGTTTAGGGAGTTACTAAACAGCAAATAATGAGAGCACTTTACCTTTGCAGCAGCACAGCGGACTGCCATGGATCGATCTGTCAGGCATGATCGGGCAGCCTTGTAAATATCTCTGTGACAAGAGATAGCAGCAGCTCCTAAACCCTTCAACATATTTTGTAAACTAAGCATGATTTCATAACGACCTTGAGACTGAAAAATGGAAAAGAAAAAACGTTACAGTTCCATAGTCCTAAACTCCTTGGAAATAGAAAATGGTGCCTAACAAAACAAGTAAACAAATATATGAGATTTTTTTCACCGTTAGAAATCTGTTTATGCTGAAATGAGTTAGAGAACTCGTTCTATAACACTATAACCAAGTAAAGATAAAAGATTCTGCATTCTATGAAAAGGTACTCATGGGCAATTTAATATTCAAAATATGAAACAAGCTGGAGCAAAAATGTTCTCATTAGTAAAGGCAATGAAATTTTCTAGATTAACAAGTTCTTTCATGAAAGCAGCATGAGAATAACTACAATCCAATTATGACAATAATCCATTGGTAATTCTTTGGAATACAGATATTGAATTTTATCCTATGACTCACCACAATTTTTACATACACTGGTATCATGCAATTTCTCCTATTCATTGGTCTATCAATGGTAAACATCCTATTATTTTTCCAATCATTTTTTAAACATGCTGTTCCAATACCTCTGCATTCTTCATTGCTTTAAGCACATTCCCAACGGTGTCAGTAAAACTGTTTCCCAAAATTCTTCCCAATTTTTTGTATAAATAGCCCAAGCATACCACCGCAGCACTAAAACAAAAGCAAATCCAAAAACGCATGAAAATGGATGCAACAACAGATGAAAGGGATTAAGAAGACTAATGTAATCAATTGACAAGTAACAAAATAAATAAATAGAAGGTTTCAAAAGTGTAAGTGGATTATCAAAAGAAAAAAAAAAAAAGAAAAGATGAGTGTGGGGCACACACTCACACTACAGCACTACAAGAGAACTGAGGGTACAGGGGCTGGGAAGATAAACCTCTAACACATTTTACAATCGAAAAACATTTATCATGATCCATCCTTAAACCTTACCAATGAATTTCTAACTAAGAGTGGCCTGCATCACAGTCTATGACATCATGCTACAGTATGTGCAGCTAGAAGCAGACAAGAAGGAGTTTGTTTACAACATGATGGAGATTGCAAATTGTCAAATAGTTAAAATTGTGGCATGCGTGTACAGTCATATGTACCATGGAAACACTCTGGAGGGAATTTCTAAATTCTAAAAAAAGAAAATCTAAATCTAAATCTAAAAAAAAGAAAATCTTCTAAAATCTAAAAAAAAGAAAATTTCTAAATCCATGTTCTTGTCATCATACACAGGTTCTGAATTTAGTTTCTAGGAGAAATAACTTGACAACTGGAGTCTGTGTGCTCTGCATGCTCATAGGCAATTCCCTAGCAAAAGCAAAAATTGCTTAATATTGATGGGAAAAAAAAAAAAATTGCTCAATTAAAGAATGCACTCCTTTCAATGACTACTTAAGACTTGGATTTTGTATTGATCCATCTATGAGTAAATTTTTTTTGTTGAATACAAAGAAAAAATTCCTGATTTCTTTAATCACCCTTCTGCTCTTTGGCCAGACCTACGTAATGCACAGTGACACAGCTCAGCATCACCATCAAGAAAAACATTTTTTTTTACTTATTCCCCAGTTGAATTTAAGTACTACCTACGGAGTTTTAACATCTCATACTGAACATATTTTAAATTGGAAAAACGCATTGAATAATAACTGCTATTTCCTAAATGACACGAGTAAGAAAAATAAAACAGATAATCTTTATTCTCTTATCAAACAAAAAATCTAATTTTTTAAAAACAACATTTTTCATTACTGCTTTTACATGTACTGGCACATACCAACAGTTTGGATTTTAGTTTTGTCTGCAGTATGGCTGGGCACAAAACTAAAATTGCAGCACCTTACCACTACATTGATCGTTTGATGGTCCTAGGTAACTCCTTCAGCTAGTTTTAAGACTGAATAATATATATTTCAAGCTGTCATTGATGTAAAGAATGTTTAGTAAACATACGTAAGAAAAATAACTCCAGGACTGCCTTATTACATCCTGAAATAACCTGCAAACACTCTTACATGTTTAGTAAGCCCATCATTTGCATCAGTGTTGCACAGTAATTTGGCAATATTTGTTGACATGTAACATTTGTAACATTTCGTTATCAAAGATAAGAACACAGCTTTTTCTGCTTCATATAAAAGCTGGAAGCTCTTCTGACTGCCTTTCAGGATTGTTATCACAATTCTAGTTGCCTAAAGTTTTTCCCACAAATATTTCTTCACTAAATCAAACCACATAAACTACTGATTCTGTCAATTTGCAGAAGTTTCCAAGGAAGCCTAGCTGGAAGGGAAAGGAAGTTTCAAAGGATGCCCATGTTTTGCAGGAAAAATTTCTACCCGTGTCTTTTCATCCTTAGCAGCACATTGCACAGAGTTTTTAAATGACTTTAAATATGACTGTGAAGAGGAAAGGGACCTGGGGGATGTCGGTTGATGGTTGGCTGAATATGAGCTGGCAGTGTGCCCGGGTGGCCAAGAGGGCCAATGCCATCCTGGCCTGCATTAGAAATAGCGTGGCCAGCAGGAGCAGGGAGGTGATCATCTGCCTGTACTCAGCACTGGTGAGGCCACATCTCGAGTATTGTGTTCAGTTTTGGGCCCCTCACTACAAGATGATACTGAGTGCTTGAACATGTCCAGAGAAGGGCAACGAAACCGGTGAGGGATCTGGAGCACAAACATTATGAGGAGCAGTTGAGGGAGCTGGGATTGTTTAGCCTAGAGAAGAGGAGTCTCAGAAGAGACCTCACCACACTCTACAACTTCCTGAAGGGAGGTTGTGATGAGAAGGGTTTGGCCTCTTCTCTCAGGCAACAAACAGGACCCGAGGAAATGGTAGCAAGTTGTACCAAAGGAGATTTAGATTAGACATGAGGAAAAACTTTTTCTCTCAGAGAGTGGTCAGACACTGGAATGGCCTGCCAAGGGAGGTGGAGGAGTCTCCATCCCTGGCAGTGTTCAAGAGGTGCCTGAATGAGGAGCTACAAGATATGGGTTAGTGCTTGTGGTAGCAATGGTAATGGAAGGACAGTTGGACTACATGAGCTTTTAAGTCCTTTCCAAATTTGTGATTCTATGATTCTATAAGATAAACTTCAGTTGCTACGTCTCCCAAATACAGTTGTTAAGAGAACAACAGTAAATGCAAAAGTAAGATTTTAAAAGTAGTAAATTAACAATGAGATCAGCAATGAAAGTTTCCTGATCAGCCAAATATTTTTTACAATGCTTACAGATTAAAAACAATACCATTGAATATTTTCAAAACTTTGGAATTTTAAGTCATGCTACGTGACATATTTGTCTGATTCAATAACAGGACTCACATCACACTCTGCTTTAGTAGAAGATGATGGCTATTCTCTTTTAAAATTGCTCGCCTAAAACATCTTCCACCCACATGAAAGTAGAGAAGCAGTAAATCATGAGATAAACAAACAATTCATTGGAAACTGTCATTAGAGGAGTCTCCAGGTGAATCAGAATTTGCTAGCAATGATTGAAAGCTACCAGACAATGTGGGCATGTATGCTAAATTAACAAGAACAGATGACAAACAGACAAAACTTTAGTCAAAATTTAAAAAAACAAAGTAAGCATTTAAAAAAAAAAAAAAAAAAAAAAAAAAAAAAAAAAAAGCAGCCTTTCTTCACTGGACACCAAGTTGTCCACTTAATTGCTGCACAAGATAAAGCTTTTATTCCAAATGCTTTTCCGTAGCCTAGTGTCTCAGCATCAATACCACAAGAAATCTCCTTTTTGAATCCATTATTTATTCATGCCTTTTTCTTCACATCATCCCTCTTTCATTCTCCTCACCTCTGTTTTCATGCCAATCAGGACTCTTAACATCACCTCTTCTCTCTTCTCCAGCTACTTTTCTACCTTCTTACTCTCCATCTCTGCCATTTCTGTCTTTCTTTGTCACTTTTGCTTTGCTGGCAATGGACTCCAGCATCCCTCCTTGCTATGCTGACATCATTTCACTTCCTCCAAAGCAATTGTCTTGCAGCCGAAGCAAGAAAAACTAGTAGAGTTCTGTGCCATACTGAATTCTCCTATAAGGTTAATTATACATTTCACTGTTGAAGAACAGTACTATAGCAGTAATTTACTTTGCAGGACAAAAACTCCTTAAGCTGAGCTTATTCTTAACTGTTAAGACAGTACAAGAGGTCAACTGAAATCAGGAATCAAAAAACAATACAGCACTGGAAAAGACAAGACTCCTTGTAAAAATCTGTTTCCAGGAAACATCATTTGAAAAGGATTGTCAGAAACACAATTAGCAACTCAAACAAAAGGGGAATAACCAATTCTGATCTACTGTGTGTACTGTATAATTAATAATGCACAATGATGTTTCCCTATCTCTACTTCTTTTTTATTTTATTTTACTACAGTGGAGGACATACAGTGTACCAGAAAAAAAATTATTCTAGTATTTCTATATCTTAAGGTTTGGTTTTGTGTCCTGTAAAAATATTTCATATTCCTCTGTTCTTTTGGCCATTTTCAGGCATTTAATTACAAATATTTTATATGCTTTTAAGTAATTACATTCAGTTCAACCCTTTAAAGAAATTTGCTCAGTCTGCATTTTCCACTTGAAGCTGTATTCATCTGTTTTGTTGCTCTTCTCAGTAGTATACTACCACCTTCTTGTTTTTTAAACACCTGCCCACTCCTACTCTGTCATCCATTGCTGCTATTCTTAGGCCTGATTTTCAATTGCCTGGTTGGAAATCACCAACTGTCTTCTATTGCTTAGGTTCCTGCTGCCCATATACAGTATTCAATACCAATATGTTCTTTCTTTCATTAGCTGTCCTGTGGCAGTGAACTCAGATTTATCACGTCAGGTAAATACTTTTTTTTTTTTTTTTTTTAAACTAAGTTTAAAATAAGCAATATATTAAAAGCTTTCTTAAGCTCTTTTCTAACAGGTAATGTTTGAATTGCTTCCATATAACGATACGCACTGCAAGCTCGTTTTGTCTTCTCATACTCAAAAACCATAAAGCAAAAACTGTCCTTAGTTTCTTCCATTACCTTAAAGCATACTGTGGTCATTTATAACTTTAAATGGTATCACATGCATACAGATTTAACATGTCTACATTTCCAAATAAGTTAATTCAGCTTAGCTTTCAGATCACATAGTGCATTTTTTCCAGTGGATCCAGTAAACATGAAACATTTTGGTAGGCCAAATTTTATTCCAACGCACACAATCCTTACTGACTCCCATCAACCACCACATTACCATTGTGTTGAATGCTTCAAAAGTAACGTGATTTAAACATGTTTAATGTGATTGTTTTTATGCTGTATTTATATGAATTGCAACAAGAAAAAATTTTAAATAAGGATGAAAAATATATTTAAGCTATCAAACTCCGAGGGGAATTCGTGTTATAAAGTACTGACCTGACTTTATTCACAACCTGCAGCTGAACTTACCCAAAACTTTCCAGGGAAGTCACAAAGAGATATATAAAAAGCTACACAAATCCTTAACCATTCACAATTCTGCCTCAAAGGCAGCATATGTTAAATGACTAAGATATAATTCTTACAGTGTCTAGAGGGAAGGAAATAATTTGAATTTGCTTTCAGTTTTCAAAGGAATTCAGATCCTCTTTTAGTACTCAGTCTGAAAAGTTCAGAGATTTTTGGAGGAAAAAAAAGTTACTTCTTATTATGGCACACCCATAATAATTATTCTAATCAAGGAGCCTTTCAAAGTCTGTGTTTTAAGCCACAGAGCTTATTTGGACAACAAGCAAAAATGAGGGAACGTGCCCTCCCCTACATTCACATCTTATCATGTGTCATCACACTTGTCTCTGTCGTTACCAGATTTGAAGTCTGAGTTCAATGAAAAATACTTACAGTTTTGTAGGCAGATAACTTGGTGAATCATCTTTACTCCGAATGAGTTCATTACATTTTTCAATTGTTTGATAAACAGAAAAAGTGTCTCCAGTGCTATAAAGTACAGCTAAATTCTTGGCAACAAGCCGCCTGGTAGGGGGTCCTGGTGAATTGTTTAATAAAGAAGTCAATTGTTCAACCAGTTTCTTCTGGTTTTCTTTTATATCAGTCTGGAAATAAAATCAGTAGTAGTTAAATTTAAATGTCTGTCCCGTCCCCCGTCCACCTGCCTTATTGAAGGATTAGCAGCTGAGGGAGTGACACCTCTCTGGATAGAGATTACACTCCTCTCGAGTTGTCATCATCTTTTGGAAGGGGTAAGCCAAATTTCCTTCTTTGTTATCTGCTATTGTTCCATAATATCCTATTAGAAGGCACAGCTGTTGCCTTCTTGTGCCATACAGTACCTGTGACCATGTGCTCCACAGTACCCCCCCACCTCAACTTCTTCCCATGTTCCCTCCTTTGGCCTGGACTTGCATAGAAGGCCTTGCATAGGAAGACAGTGAGTAACAGCATTGATAACACTGTTGTTAAGACAGATTAACCACCACAGATCTGTCCCAAAGAAGGGGGCTGAAAGAACTGGTAGCACACACAAGGTTCAACAGCTGACACTGTATACGCTTGGAAAAGAAAACAAAAAAACTCACTTTGAGTCAATTATTTGAATCCATAAATAGCGAGCAATGCAAGAACTCCACTTGCTCTTCTGCATGGCATCTGGCTGTACAACAAGATCTCTGCTTGAATAGGGATATATCTGAAGATTACATTTGCACAGAGATCTTTTACACCTTGACATCAAGACACCTCGCTGGTATAGATCCTAAGTAAGTGACTAATAGTTTGTTTTAAGCTTTCTTAACTTCACTAAGATTCAATCTTAGATTGACTGTGTACAAATAACCCCTCCAATGTAAATAAATGACCAAGTCTGGGGGCTAGGAGAAGATCCAGCCACACCTCTGTGGTGAAAGTGGGTCCACTCTGAACCTCATGACTTTTGGGAGAATATCCTATATGTGTTTACCATACCCGCTATGCAGTAGCAAATTAAGTATATCCTACCATCTCAAATCTTGTTAATGCACTGTCTTATTTGCAATTAAGCTTTGTTAAGTCAGTTTTATATCAATAAATATACATTTCTGCTTCTTTTTTATGAATGTAGTGCAGTAGTTATCATCTGCAACAGTAAGTAAAAGACAAGAAAAGCAAAGGAAATGGAATAAAACTTTTTTTTAAGAAAACAAAAACCCCCAAACAACATGCTTTTCTTCAAATCACATTATACTTACCCTGCTAGTAACTGGTAAAAGCTTTTCCAAATACTGCAACCATTCAAAAATGAACTCTGCTTTTTGATGTTCATCAAGCTGGTTATACTTTTCTTCATTGAGTAGTAAACTGTGAGCTAACTCCATTCCTTGAAATCTTCCTTGAATTTCTCCTCATCAAACACCAAAGAATTGAAGGAAAAAAAAACAACCAACAATCTGCCAGAATTATGTTAATTAATCAGGGTTGTTTTTTGTTTTTGTTTTTTTTCCATTAATATTTGATGACCAAGTCAGAAGTTTGAACACCTAAACAGAAAAACAGAAAGGTTACAAGAGAATCAAGCAGTCATTATTACATCCAATATTTCAAAATACTTTTTAAAAGAATACTTAAAATTTTCAAAAACACCACGGTCATTTTGTTTAGGTGGTATTAGTAATATTTAATGTTTTGGGGTAAATACGATATTGAAATAATGTGCCAAGTAAATGTAGTCTAGAATACATCAGAGTTCTCACTGAACTATTTTAATTCATCATGTTTCACACAAAGTGAGCTTTTCTAGTACCTGACCAAACATATGCCTGAAACAACAATCAAACAGCCTCAAATAAGATGGATTTTGTGATCTAGAATTAAGTGCAAGATAGAAGTAACCTAAACCTAAGAATTCACAATGACTATATCTACAGACTTAAATGTTAACATCTTTTTCAAACACTTGATCTAGTCTCAGTGCCAAGCGAGACACAAAGAAAAACCAACCTCCAATGATGTCTCTTTTTTTTTTTTTTTTCCTTAAGAAACTGAAAAAAAGGGTTTCAAGAACAAATTCAGTTGAAGTTGTTTAATTTTACTTATTTCAGACTATTCTGGTAAAATGTCAGCCATATTGCTAACTCCCAAACAAATTATCCTTTCAGAGTTCACTGAGCTGCTGAGCATGTGTTTTTTCCTATGCGGTAACAATGTTATAGTGTAAAATGATCTAACAGTCTAGTGGGCAATACAAAACAATTCTAAATAATTCAGCACTCAGGCTGTCATCAAATGCACAGTAAAAGGTTACCTTCACTACATTCTAAACATCTCAATATAAAATTTGCTCACAAAGGAACTCACTGTGATGAACTGACATTTTAAATTTACCTGAAATACCAGGCTGCTTGACAGGACATCACAGTATAGAATGGTAAGTAGATATAAATATACATACACATTTAAACTGACCAGGTAAGCAGATGTTCACAATTTACTACTTATACTCCTCAGAGTATGAACACTCTGAGAACTTAACTCTAGCGTCACCTTTTTGTGTGTGACATACAAAATCTGTAGGATTATTATTTCACTGAATATTTGAGTACAGTTTCATCACTGCTCAGTACTGAAGTTACGAGCTGTCTAGTTTCTCTAAAACACCTACGGCCACAGTAATCATTTCAATGCACACAGAGAAGAAGTTTGATAACATTCTCCCTTCAACTGATCACTTTAACAGATCACTGTCAGATACTGGACCTTAACTTACCTTGCAGATTATGTCTTCGCATTGTACAACCTCTTCACCCTAGGTTCTTGGATAAAAGATGTCAAGAACTCTACTTCCTAGAAAGAGTTAACATAAAGATCAGTTTCAAAAAAGCACTCTAGATAAAAGTGTCCGTTCTACACAAAATAACAATTTCAACGTCTAAAAAAAAAAAAAAAAAAAAAAAGCACAGGTGCAAAATATTTGTTATTTTAAGCTCAAATTAATATAATCATGCCAACATCCATATCTATACCAGTAATCAGCAGAGATGGCAAAGGTGATTCATCTGTTCTGAAAAAGCCACACACAATACTATAGATACAAGACATGAACATAATTAATCCATCCTAAGTTCCAGAAATAATTTTAATGCAGTTATCAGTGAACAATAACATTTCTTAAACCTCTCCCTTTAACTAAGTCTAGCAGGATATGAAATACAGTTTGCATACTATTTTAAATACAACCACTTTTCAATCAGTCTTTAGGAGACTCGAGTTGAAAATAGATTAAAGGTGCATATGCATTTCAAAGTAATCTAAACTTCTTTCAGTGGCAGTTTGGAAACAGCTGGTGCTGCATTTAGTTCCCTGCAGTAAAAGCAAATATTGAAATGATCACTAACATTTTCATTGCATTTTTCTTTCTCTATACAGAAAGAAAAACAGAGTTTAACTTCATTAGATCTTGCAAAGCAAAGTCAGCAGTTAGACAAGAAGAAAACAAAATAGCTGTAACTATGCAGAATTGCGCAGAGCTGTCCTAACCAAACATCCAGGGTATCCTGGCCAGCACGTAAACTTCAAAGCTGTACCATAAAGAGGTCAGCCAGCTGATCGAAGGGCCTGGAACTTGTTATATCACACCTGGGCTACTGCCTCCAGCCTGGGGCTCCCCAGAAGAAGAAAGTCTATGGGCTGGAGCCATGGTATCCACCAGCCAGACATGTTTAGCTTGGTAAAGAGAAGTGTCAAGGGAATTCAACAACAGCCTTCACAAGAGAAGGTTACCAAGAAGATGGAAGATTCTTTGCCTATTGAGGTCTGTGGGAGGGAACAATACAAGAAACAAACAACACAAATTGAAACAAGGAAGGTTCCAACAGGCTAGAAAAAAAGGTTTTCTCTCTAAGGATTGTCAACCTCTGGAACAGGTGCTGAGAAGTTGTAGAATCTTTGCTCTCAGACTAAGACTAGACTAAGCAAAGTCTTAAGCAACCTAGCCTGAATTCACCCTTCTTGGAGCAAAAGGTCACACAAAAAAGAGCTTCCAAGGTGCTTTTCAACCTGGACAAGTCTAGGCTCTGTCAACTATGCTGCTCACAACTCTGCAGCCAACTTATAGGCACTTCCTTTTAATATTAGTCAAAGCTTACATTGTTCAACTGAAGTTATTCTGGATTTTTTTGGTTAGTATTTGTGTAAATAATTATCAAAGAAAAATACCGTAGCGTAGTTGCTGATCTTCATAATGAATGCCGGCTAACACAGCTGGGAATGCTAGCATTTCTGAAAGAAAGACTGCATCACTTCTGAATTACAGAAGTTGGTTGTTAATTATGGAAGACTTAGTTTTTCAGAAACAGAACAGCGTAGCAAACACTCGCAGACCTGATCCTCCCAGTGCTCACCAACATGAAAACTTTGGTCACACAAAGCTATGCTTAACACACTACATTCCCTACCTTCTTCAAATATACAAACACACAGCATTGTAAACCTGCACACCAGATTCAGAGGTAGAGAAGAAAGATGAGAATGCAGGGATTCCACATTTACTACACGCTGATCTTGTTGTCACACTGGAGAGCAACGCAGAAGGCATTATACATATAGGACTATGCAAAACAGAATACGAACACAGAATACGGAGAAGAGCTGGGATTAATTAATATTAAATATACCCTTGTTAAGCACACAAGATGTTACTAGGCAATTTCTACGCAGAGAAAGAAACATCAAATTTAAACATTTGCAGCCCTGACACAGGTGCAACTCTGCTTTAATTAGAGGCAATGCATTGCCGCATGGTGGGCCACTCCAACACAATAGAGTATCACACCTGATACACACGGTGCTCATGTTGCTGTCTGGAACATCCTCTCACACCAGTGAATCAAAACAAGTACAATCTAAGAACGCAAAGCAGCGCTGACATTTAAATGAAACTCGTGCTTTAAAATGGTGAGCTATTTGATAGTTCCCTGACACTCTTCTTTCCCCCTACTGCTTTTATTTTGATACTTCTTGATCTGAAACAGAAATGTAGAAAAATAAAACTGAAATTTCATTGAATGAAACATGTACCAACAAAATCAGACTATCTTGAGCTATCAGCAAACAACACTTGAATGAGGATGCACACAGAAGTTCTTTATATCTACAACACAGTGAAGAAAATAAAGGGCTGTATAACTCATCTTTGTAATTATATTTTTCTCATTTCAAAAGTATTACAGTAATTATGCCTTACATCGGATGTAAAACAAAGATCATTAACCTTTGGATTCACTCCTCTTCCAAACATTAGCCCAGCAGAGAAGAAAGAGACAGTTCTTCAAAGAAATGACCACTATTGATTATTACCAGCAATGTGTAAAAACAAATAATGCGTAATACTAAAAAAGTAAAAAGTAACAACTACCAGTATTTTTGTAACAGCTGCCACTGCTGACTATACAATCAAGGTCATTTTCCTCATATCCCTGAGAAAGAGAACTGAAGCACAGTCATTAGCTTCAAGTTGTCTTTTCTTGCGATGCAAGTACTATTTTAACTGACTTCATGTAACTTTTTTCTCCACCTCATAAAGCAGGCTTTGTTGTCACCTATCTCACAAATAAACTGGTATGTTTAAGAGAGAGTCTCCCAGCCTGACACGTTTAGTTACAGTCATTAGCAGTTCGGATCAATTTTACTCCCGCAGCGCTGTTCTAAAAGTTTAATGGGATGATCATTACCCATGCATTTGAGCCAAGCACATCACAAGACAATCAATGCTTAGGCTTATTTTAACTACTTTCACATACCTGCTTAGAGTGTCTTCAAAACAAACAGAATTTTTATATAACTAGCTCTGGAAACTTAGGAGGATGTTTATTTTTTGAAGTGGGTTTTGACCCAGACAGCAAACACTTGCCAAACTCAGCCATTTTTAGTGAAAAACAGCCCATAGTGAAAGTCCAGTAGTTAAAGTGTATTTTTTATGCTAGGAGGCAAACATAAGCAGGAATAGAGATCTCAAGAAAGCAAAAAAAAGTGCAGGAAAAACTTTATAGTAACTTCAAATAGGGGATCCAGAGGAGTTATCTTTAGCTATAACTTAGCTAGCAGCTATTGTACATATATAAATAATCTAATCTAAATAAACAACAGTGATACAATTGTAATAGCTTGATAAGAAATAAACCCTGATTATTTCAGGGCCAGAAACTAGAATCCCAGCTCAAATAAGCTTGGACTTTAAGCACTCAACATACTACAGAGGTGGAAATATTCAAATCCTACATAAAGATACTTATTATTACTCAAAAAATAGAGCAGCCTGTTTACTTAGTTACTTCTACAAAACGTTACCAACAAACACACAGAAGAAGTCTGCCTCACAGAGAATGAAAACCTATATCAGCTTCAAATACCTTAGTATCCCAGTGTGCTTTGTGTGGCATCATCCACTGCCTTAAACCAACTTCAGTCTTTTCTCTACACACAGATGCCTTTTTTTTTTTTCTCCTCTGCAGAGCAGTGGCAGGTACCAGCCGTGCCCTAGCATACATTTACCCCTCCCTACACATCTTATGTACAGCAGTGCTAACCATTCTTGCCGTCTCATTCAGCAGAAGTTGGGAATTTCACATACCCTTTCACTGCTTACTTTCATACAATTTCAAAGAAAATGTACAAACAATTTTAGGGCATTTCAGCATCAATCAACAGTATAATGAATGGACTAGGCTTTGGAGAGGAGAACAGTTAAGTGATATGAAATGAGAGTCTCATCTATAAATGTATACAAACATGTGCTTGAATTAATCAGTCATTAATCAATGTGGACAAAATTACTCCTTGGTATCAAATAGATTTGATAGCTTCCCATTCAAAACGAGTAACCTGCCATAAGCATACAGCATTCTTGCATTCTTTGCAAGATGTTTTGCAATGTTCGGTTATATTGCTCAGCAGCAGGAAATCTGAAGCCAAGCTTACAGAAGATGTGACTAAATTTGATGTCAAAAAGCAATTTACAAGGAAAGGCCACAAGACATGAAATTAGCACAACCCAGAGCACACAGAAAGCCAGGTCATAGAGGAGGAGATCCAAGATTCTAAGACTTTTCTATCTAGCAGAACTGTAAATATTAATATTTGTTTTTAAGTGTACTGCCATGCATGTGGAAGACATGCATCAGAAATTACATCTCACAGCTGAGTACTTGTATGTTATCACACCTATCCTGTGTTATGAAGAGATTCAATTCCAGTCACAAATGAAGTTATCTTCCTGCTTCAATAAAAATGTGTATGCATTTGCATCACATGCTTATCGAAAATGACAAAAAGCAATGAAGAATCTTAACAATGAGTTGGACTAACAACACAAAAAATAACAGATCATTACACAACCATCCATTTGCTCTAATTACTTAATGAAAATTTCAGACTGGGAAAACCTCCAGTCACGTTGTACTTTTGTATGTAATTATTCAGCTTAGAAACATGATTCTGAAATCAGAGATGTTGAAACAAGATGTCTCTCTTTCAGGCTCACTGGTTAACTGTGTTCTGGAAGAAGCATTTTGCCCCAGGAAAATGATGTCTCTCTTCTATCAATGAATATTTGGCAGCATTTACACAAGTACTTACTGAAGTTGTCATTCAAGTGTATCTTCCTATATTGCAGATTCCAAGTAAGTTTTGTCATTTCCACATTACATTTGATACTGTGCTAGTGAACAAATATCACTTCTATTCATGTTGCAAAACAAAAAGGTCTTGTTTTGACGTCTTGTGAACAAAAACGCTCATACAAAGTACATGTTTACTGCCATGAGAACAATTCAAAACTACTGGTTTTCTAGCCAGACTTAGCAAAATGCTCGTCTAATGTTCTTGATTTCCAAATTTCAGAGAAGCCACCCACTATCTGAAAAAGCAATAAAGCTCAAATGCAATAAAAAACTACACAAAATCTAACATAATTCTAGGGGCACGCTGTTCTAAAAAATATTCACACAAAGAATGTGACCACCCACAACCTTCATACATAACAGTGGCATTGATAAGAATTACAACACAGTACACATTTGCTGAAGTGTGAAATAAGTGACAAGACAATGTCTTCTGGGAATGCTGAATAATTTCTGTGATGATGGTTTGAGGACAACGCTTGATGTGACTAGAGTTAAAACATGCCCTGAAAAATGTGCCTGGAAATATAATCACGGCTTCAGTAATGCAAAATATTTGAGACATTTCTGAAAACGAAGACATTCATTCGCCATGTTAGAAAGTACTTATAACTTACTTCCATGCTTATTATAATCACTTTACTCTCTATCTCCACTTAACACGAACTATTCCAGGAAACAAAGAGCTACATTCAGTTATTGAGAAATGTAAATCAGCCACTTCCTGAGCCCAATGTCAGTGCTACGAGCCCACTCATCCCCAGCACCCACAACTAGTACACTTCATTTCTGAAAGCGTACATCAAAAGAGAATTTAAGCTCCACTACAAGGACCTGAGAACATTACTTTATTAACATGCAACCTTGCAAATTGTAAGGGCTTATCAGCAGGTTTGAAAACTGATGGGATAGTAAGGCAAATGCATAAACACCAGAGAAGTATAAACACTGACCCAAATCCTAAAAATAATTTCAAAACATCTGAGCATTGCTTTATTCTTGACAATGCTGCAGATGATACTGTTTACCTAATACAGCCAGGATACATCAACCTGAATGTGCCAATGTGTTTTTCTGTCAGAAGGGAAGTTGGGTGAAATTGAATTCTTTGTTAAAACATTAAATTGAATTTCAATAGTTGAAGGTTGATTTCAGCTACCCATTTTCCCTTAAAAGTGTAGTTTTGCTGAACATGTCCTGAAATCCTAAAAAAAGTGTATTTGTTTTCCCCTAGAATCACAACGGATATAGCAGTGCTGGGTTATTTATTGCTACAACCATCTTTCAACTATACTAAAGTGCACGAGCACAAAACTTCAGCAGCAGAAGACCTCAAAGTTGCAGACTGTTGGAATCTTATTTAGCAGATAGAGCCCACTCTCAGGGCACAAATTAAAGACAGAGATGTCTTTATGTCTTTTCTGAGGTGCATTCTCCAGGTATTTTAAATGTCTCTTCCTCAAAGAAGACTACAAAACAGCTCAGAAAAAAAAGAAGCGTAACTGCACAGAGATTTCATACATTTTTGCTTGCAGTACAGATATTCCTCACACCTTTTTAAAGTTCCTGTTCCCTTACAAACCAAATAGAACAAACATCCCACACTCTGAAAACACTCCTATGAGGCATTGCTAACCAGTCACTCCACTCCATCAGCATGTTCTGCTTTGTAAAAGATGATCATCCTGCACTGGCTAACAAAGGTTTTGGCACGTTCAATACAATGTAATGAACTAGTCAGTAACTCAGGTGTTTCACCAGCAAGAAATCCAATTCTGCGTTCAAGATCACGTTTTCTATTTATCCCCAGACTCAGTGTAATCTTAAACTGGCTTCTCCTCCTCTTGTTCACTGTATCAAAACCATCAGGAAAAGGGGCAAAAAGAAAAAAACACCAAACAACCTTCAGTACAGAGCCAGAAGAAGTCTATCCCCTATGTCACACCTGTTATTTCATACATGAGTTGAGTACATTACATACCATGTGGAAACATACCATACAGTAAAACACCAAGACATACAATGCAGCCTGATTATTTCTGGCAAATAAGATCAAAATAAAAGTTGAATAGAAGTCACAGCAAAGCACACATTTACTTCTATAAAAATTAGCTCAAACTTAAAAAGACATTACAAACAGTGAATCAAAACTTCTGAAAAATATCCAAGTACAGAAGCCCAAAGCTGAACTCATTTTTACATGCCTTTCTTCTGTCCCATTACTCTCTCTCCGTACCTCAATGACCTTTACCTGCATTTTAACCTAAGATACCAGCAGTCCCTCCTTCCCTCATTCCAGAATACCAGCACCCATGCACCTCTTCAGATTCTATTTCCCTGTGCAGAGCTTTATCCATTATGCTGAGCACTGTTGTCCTATCCAGGAGTTCAAAACGTAAATGCCAGCCACCATATTTGCACATACTGGAGTCCCCACTACCACCACTCTCTCTCCAGAGTACTGTCAGATAAAAAGATCCGTTAAAAATAAAATTAGCCCATCAGACCACGCACAGTCACTGCAAGGGAATGCCAAACGGGTCCCTCCAGTCTCCAGATCTCTACGGACCCACACCAGAAACATCACCAGCCTTACCCTTCAACTTCAGCCCTGACGCTCGGACAGCGAGGAGGGCACTTCCTTCCTCCTGCTTCTGCTGCCACAGAGGAGCGTACCTTCCCTCCCCGCTCTGCCTGCCGGCTCCCCGAGGAGGCCCCGCCCGGGCTCAAGCTCCGTTCGGCGCCCCGCGCCCGACGTGCGGGCAGCCCCAGCGCCGCCTGACGGACTCCCTGGGCCGCTGACAGGGAGCCCGGAAGCCACCCGGTCACCGCGGGGATCCGTTTTCGAATCCTCTCGACCGTCTTGCTGGTCAACGCAGACGGCCGCGCTGCGATACAGCGCTTTTTACACGTAGACCCCTGGCAGCCCTCAGCGAGCTCTCCGCTCCCTTCGGCGTTTCCGCCCACCGAGCCCCGTTCCCTCGCCCAACCTCCTTCAGCCCCTGGCGGCAGCTCCGAGCACCTCTCCGAGCGTCTTCTCCCGCCCTGCGGGGACCTTTTAGGGTCACCCGGCAGCTCCGCGCCAGTACTGCAGGCGGCTGCCGAGGCCCCCGGGGCTCCTTCCTCGCTTCCAGGCGGAAGGAGAGAGCGCGCGACAAGCCTCACGCCCCTCTTCCCATGGGAAGGGTCGCCAGAAGGCTGCCTCTTCCCTCCCCGCGCCTTAGGGACGGAGAGGGACGGAGACCCACCGCGCAAACAGAGGCCCGCCCGGCCGGCCGGGTAGGACCACCGCCCCTCTCCCGCGGTACCTGCGGCGAAGGCCGGCCGCGAGCCTCCCGCGCCGCTCTGCGGGGCGCTGCGGGGCTCGGCTCCGCCCTCCGTCGTCCGGCGCGCGGGGGGGGCGGGGGCCTGCGCCCTAGCCGCCACCGCCCGCCGGCGCGGGAGGGAGTTGCCGCTGCTCAGGGTTGTGCAATCGGGGCCGGAGACATCGAGCGCCCGCTGCGGCCGGCCCGGGCCTCAGAGGGATGGGACGGGAGCCGGGTGCGGGAGGGCGCCGCTAGAAGAAATCCATGAGGTGAAGCGGGCACGGCCGGGGCGCGCTGCCGACAGGGTAAACCTCGCGGTGCCGGGAGCCGGGCTTTCCCTGGGGCGGAGAGCTGGCAGCCGGCCTGGTGCCAGGGGAGCCAGCCAGCGGCCGGTTTGCTGAGGAGTGACCTCCCTCATTGACAACTGTCATAACAGTGAACTCGGTTATGTGAGAATTTCTGCTGAAGCAACGTTCTGTTCTGCATTCTGTCTTCAGAGCTGAAGGTCTGACATACTAAAAGGAAAATGTGTATCTCAGCCTTTTTTTTTAATTTTAAAGGAGTCTTATTCTGGCATTGTAACTGATGCTCTACCATGTCAGGAGATATATACATATAATATGTATATATTGTATATTGTATAGCCAACTAGGAGAGGAAACTAGCAAGCAGGCATGAGGTCTGGTTTCTGCTGGCAGCATTTAGTTTGGTGGTATTAAGGTGTTCTGGTTTTAATCCTACTACTTCAGCTACTGCTGTACAAAGCTGATGAAGAAAATAACACCTTCTGGAATTAAAGGCTGATTTTGACTGGATAACAGATATTAAAGACAATCTTTTGTCTTAGCATTCCCACAGAGGAATACTGTTTAGGTCCATGGGGCAGGGAGCAAAGGTTCCTTTCCACAAGCTGGGTTCTTTGAAGTAGTGCAAACCACTGCGGGGAGGAAATAATGCCTGACATACATAAGCATAGGAGTCAAAATCATCCCCAGCCCTTACATAACCTTGTAAGTTCATCCTCAAATATGAAGGCTGCTCCCATTTTATTACGTTGGCGCATGACATCAGAGGTGGGTGTTGGTGTTATGGTAATAAAGGCTGAAGCTTCCATACCAGTATACTATTAGAGTTATTGTCATGTGACAGAAGGCAGCACAGGGGCACTCTAACAAAACAGTGTCTGACAAAGAAGTGTGTATGTGGAACTGAATTCCCTCGTGCAGAAAAAAATGGCACTCACTGACCTTCATCAACATTTGCTAAACATTTATGGAGACGAAACAGTGGATGTGAGCACAGTGGGAGCAGTGCGTTTCAGCAGTGGTGACAGTAGGTCAATGCCACTGGCACAGATTTTTTAGAAAGGCAACATGCAGGCTCTTGTTCATGGCTGGCAAAAAAATGCACGACCAATGGTGACTGCTGAAAAACAGTGTTTTGTAGCTGAGAATTTGTTCTATTGTTCCCTTCTCAGCTCAATGGAAATAATTAGGAGGCATTACTTTCAGAACAATCTATGTGTACATATATATCACTAAGGTATATTTAATAAAATCTTTTCAGAGAACTGCCTAACTGTATTCTACAGATTTAAAAGCATCAGGCTGCTTTGCCATATATGGACATTGGTTTCATTTTTACTGAATTACCATTGTACAGAAACATGAGCACTGAGGCAGTGACCTTTTACCAGAAAGTTCTGCCAATATATGTGGTAATAAAGAATAATATATAAATGTCTCACATCTGAAACTGTTTCCATAGCATATCTCACAGAAGGCAACTCTACAAACTCCTGCTGGCGTAAAGGTGTTATTTCCAATACTCCTTGTATCAGAAATAATGTACACCTCCCCCCCAAAAAAGAATTATTTGCTCAGTTAACCTCATTTTGATGAGCAAATGAGTTGCTGCTGCTCAACAGAGAGCAGTCTGCCACTGGACTTGTAGAAAGGTCAAGCAAACTATTTGTATTCAAAGGCTATTTGTGCTGTAGTGTGTTCAGTAATAAAGTTCTGTAAATACAAAAGGTACTTTCTGATGTTCTTGGGGTAGCAGAAGGACCTGGAAATATATGTGAAGGGTCAATTATGTTTAGGTAATAAACAATAGAAATACTTAGAATAGTTTTTAGAAAATTTTCCTGTTATTACTACTATTATTCACTCTGTTGCAGTGACAGGCAGAGGACCTGCTTGCTATTCAGTATTTCATAATACTAAATGTTATGTAAGCATAGAGCAAGACAAAGCACCACTCAGAGAGAAATAGAGTGTTGCACACTTTTTTCTAAGAGTCATTCCTTCTAGACCTCAATATACATTATGTCAGCTCTAAGCAATGGTGTTTTAATGCCAAACTGACACAAGTCCGTGGGTGCAATGAGGAACAGTGGTGTGAGGTGTTACTTTCATCTCTGAGTGCATGAGCTTTCAGACTGCTTTGTGCCAGCAGTGCTTTATGAGGATAAGAATCTTTAGTGGTTTTATAGCTCACCTTGATTCTTTAATATGATTTTCCTCTCCTAAATTGGTCAAGAGTGTTAACCATGCACTGATTCAAATTAGCATCTACTTCAGCAGTAATACATGCCATTTTTATCTTCACCCTTTTCAATCTGAAATAGTTACGCATTCATAGTTTTCTGTTCTGAAACAGACAAAAAAAGGATAATGAGATGTATTCACCCTGTGTTAATTCAGTTCCCCATCACTCCATTAGACCTGACCGAGCTTCAACAAAAAATATTTAATAAAATAAGCAAATAATTGGCAAATAATTGCAACACATACAGCTGCTGATCAATCTTCTCTTTATTAGTGTATTTTGGTAAAGTGGGTTGAATGATTTAGTGCATGAATTAGTTCTGCCGAACAAATTTCAGTAATGGTATCTCTTCAATCACATATGCCTCCAAGAAAACCTTTTTTGTTGTTTGTTTGTTTCTTATAGCTTGATGACTCTACAGCAACATAAAAGAATTCATTCCTCTGATTTCAGTGGGATCATGTAAGTGTGAGTAAGAATCACAGGACTAGGAGCATAATCAGATGAACTATCACCAAGCAATTACATGGCAAACAATACCAAATTACACTATATTTTAAGATCTTTGTAAGGAATATCTCAGATTTTAAGCTTAGACATTTATCTTTCCTTTATTTTTTGCAATTATATTAAATTACACAATCTAGCTACCTCTGCAAGTACAGAGTCAGACTGTTAAGGTTTGATTCCGCAGTTGCACCATCAGCAACTTGGCAATTTACAATTGGCTTTAATCTGAATAAAAGCAATTGCTTCTAAGCAAGATAACATGCTTATTTCTAGAACTGATGTAGCCTTTAGCATCCATGGTTGTTTAGTATTGTTCCCTCAGTTGACACAGTTAACTGTGCTAGTGCTTTTAATCCACAAAGTGAAATACTTGGTTGCCTCAAGTAAGGGCTTTCTGGAGACAGGTAGAATCCAACATAGTATAAGTGTCCCAGCTTTTGCAAAGTCTTAGTTATAAATCTTCAGTTTCTTTGTATTTTTTTTTTTGTTTTGGTGGTTGGTCTTTTTTTTTTTTCCTCTTTTTTTTTTTTCAAACAGATTGAATATTTAAAGTGATATGTAGTTTAACTTAATGCTTACATTCTCAACATAGTTGATTGTTATACTAGCATAAAATTCACAAAAATCTTAATTCCTGTCAAGCAATTACAGAGTCCTGGTGTTATTTTTAATCCTAAAATGTAAATAATAGGAATATACAGGTCTAGAAAACATTACATACAGTTACCAAAATGGAACTGTGAGATAAAGAACAAAAATGCCCTGTCCAACCATGGCACATAGATCCCAACTGTTCAACATGTGAATAAAAGATCAGTCTTCATTACTAAAAATAAATAACATATATTCTTAAGTACACTTTAAATACCTAAACAATCCTGGATAAAATCTGTGACAAGAATTAGCAGCACATTAATATATTCTGAATATGGTTTGCCAACTGATTATTAAGGGCTCCCAGAACTCTTTTGCTTTTATTGTTCATCCAAAAACTATTGTGCAATTTGTAACTAAGCATATTTAAACAAACTAACCTCTTCACTCACATTATTAATGCACGTTAATGTAATAGGGCATATATTGCATCACTTAAACAAATAATACAATCACAGTGAATAGAAAACAGTCAAATTCCCTGTAATGACACACGTGTGAGCTAGAACAATGTGACAGGAAAGTCATTTATCTGCATTTCCATGCTGCGTAAGCAATTCCTATTTTTGAAATAGCATAGAGTTATTTGTGTGATTCCAGTTTGCTGAGGTACTCAGTGTGCTTTGTGGATATTAGCTCAAAACACATTTGTAAGGGAGAAGCTGAGGTACATGGTAAAGAAAGACAAACTTAGGCAGCTTCAACAATATGGAAAGATGTAAGTGCATACTGCATTCTCAAACAAAATCAAGAACACACAGGTGGTTTTTTTTTCCTTCAGTAGAAGAGGAGAGAAGCAGTGGTTTTTAAACATCTTTTTTGTCTCCATGTTCACTCTGTCTTATACACAGAAAAAGTGGAGCAGAAAATTGCTTTGCCCAAAGCCACACACTGACAGTAGACAGTGCTGATTTAAATACAAAATGTGCAGCACAGTCATATTATTCAGGCTACTCTGACTGCTGTTTTGTTCTCTTGTCTACCTATACCATTTACTTTTCAATTGCAGTTGCAAAACACTTCCAGTAGCATAATTCTTGCCATTATATCACAGTGTATGGACCCCCAAATTCTGAGTTGCTTTCAAGGAACTTGAAGAGATTAAGAAAGAACAGGAGACACATAGCACTGAGTGACATTCTCAAATTGCAGATGCTCATTTACCAAATTATACCAAAGAGATTTTCAAAAACTGTATTTCCAAATGTGGACGAACATCTCTACAGCCACTCTGTTCTCCAGAGCAGAGTTGGTCAATTCAGGGACACATGTTTAAGGCATTCAGGTAAAACACTGAAGGCTACTCAAAGAAAGAGAAGGGCCTGTTTACTGTAGTTTGGTGAAGACAAGCTTATTGTGGGATAGGTTTCAGAGAGAGTAAGTATAGACATTTATGACCCTGCAATTCTGGACTAATATTTTTATGTTGCATAGTGTATTTAACAATAGAGGTGAAGATTTACAGAAAAGACATGGAAAGGAAGCAGGAATACTGCTGGCTCAAAAATGAACTATTGCACCCCTAGTTTTATGAGAGCACAGTCCACAGTTCATGCACGCTCACTTTATCCATACTGAGTGTGCACACTGCAAACAAGGTCATAAAAACCTGTCAGAACAGTTCCTCTGTGATGATAGAATTGGAGGCCACAGTAGAATACTATAATGATTACTCATTTCATTGTTTAATTCAAGGAAGTGTGGAATATTAAACATCATAGAGAACTGATATTGTCTAAGTATAGAACAGCAGAGTTATTTGAGCTTTCGCATAGTCATAGAATAAAAACTAAAGCAATGCCATGTCATCTGTTTAAATCATATACTCATGTCAGAAAGAAGTGAGCATTTGGATTAAAAATAATTTTAATCAATTCCTCCATCAGTATGGTCCATCACATTATTTAGAAATAGCTTATTTTAGTAAATGGATCATGAATCAATAGTAGACATAAATAAAGCAGTACAAAGGGCACATCATACAGCAAGCTGCCAATTGCTGTGGCAGAAGATGGCAGAAATCAGTGTCCCAGGAGAGATACAATAAATCAGAAACTGGCAGATAATACACATAGATGCCACCTTATAACAGAAACTCAAGATTTCTGTCATCTCCTAAGAACTACTGAAATACAGAAACATTTATATACTTTATATGAGACATCAGTTCAAAATGGAATTTGGTCTGAAGTCTGTTATTCACTAAATATTTTCAAGTTCATTCCTCTCAGGGTTTATGTAGTCCTTGAAGTATAGAGAATGAATTGTGAGGCTGCTAAAGATCTTTCTGGAGACAAAAAAAGACACTGTTCTGCAGACTTTGTGTTTTAGCTCAAAGGATCAATTCTTGAAAGAAACTGTATAACTGTAATTCCCGTATAGTCAGTGAGAAGTGGTATTACTCAGCACCTTTTAGGATTTGGCCCACAATAATAGAAATAAAATTGGTTTTCTCAAGCAGACAAATCATTACAAAATAGTATTAGTTATTCATATCCAAACAATTTTATTTAAAATGTATCTAAAAAGAAAACTCATTTTATCTGTTAGTATTAAGAAATATCTTGTTTGGAACCCAGCTAATATTTCTAGGTCATGTATGTGAGTAGATATTTTCAACTATGAATTCTTGACAGTTGGAATTATCAATGTCCTTAAGTATTTCATAGTTACTAACCATAAATTATGTTAATGTGAAAAATACTATTACTCTTATCAAAACTATGAGCTTCGTACCTAAAGATCAGTATAATTTGCAAATTAGACAGTTATATTTTATTAAAAATAAAGTTAATGATAGAATATTTGTAAATACCACAATTTAAGATTGCACAGGCTGGCATGAACACTAAGCATGAAGTTTTACATCTTCTCCAAAATAATTTATCTTTTAAAAATCGAATCCTGGATGATTACTGAAAAGCAAATAATTGTCTAATTTCACTTTTAAACCTTTAAAATTACTGACTTGATAGAACAATTATGCAGCAAAGGAGAAACTTGACTCAGGTTGAATGTACTTGAACCAGTTTTCAATTTGCCGCATTGTAATGTTTTGTTCTCACTGCCTTACAACACAGATTTTCCCCACTTTATCTTCTTAATGCTGCCTGTTAGTAATGTTGATCATAGTACTGCATAGGTCGTCAGTTGGAACTGAGACCCCAAGTGTGCTAACACTGTGAATATAAGAAATAAAAGCTAGTCTCTGCTTCAGATCCAGTAGATAAAGAGTCAAAAGGAAATAATACAGGCAGATAGAACAATGAGATTGCAGTATACATCACACAATTTTTGTTATGTCTACATTTTAGTATTCCAATCCTTTTCCTGAGGCCCTGTTAGAAAACAACTGTATGGACAACAAGACAAAGGTAACAAGGACATAGGACAAATTGTAGCAAGCAGCCCATCGAAACACATCTGAGGACATTCTGAGTGCAAACTTCCACAAAGCAATACAGTGGTTCTGCCTCGAAAGGCCTATCTCTACACACACTGGATGAGAAGAAAAGCCTTTGTTACTTAGTAGCCACCATCTGAGAGGCTAAAAATTCAATGAATTTTTGCTTTCAGTATCTTTATGAGCTAGATAGTATTCAATAGATGAAAAACAAAGACAATAACTGTCTGACCTAAGAAATCAGGTAAAAAAAATAATTACATCTACAGCGTTCCTCCAGGCTCTTAGTGGTGCCAAAAGACAAGAGAGAGGGCAATGGGCACAAACTGGAACACAGCAACTTCTAAATGACAATAAAACCTTCTTAACTTTGAGAGTGACAGAGCACTGGAACAGGCTGCCCAGAGAAGTTGTGCAGTCTTCTTCTCCGGAGATATTCAAAATCCACCTGGATGCTTTCCGGTGCAACCTACTCTAAGGAACCTGCTTTAGCAGAGAGATAAGACTAGATGATCTTCAGAGATCTCATCCAACCCCTGTGATTCTCTCTTTTTATTCCATAATCTTCACTTTCTTAAGTGTACTTTACTACAACTTATGTAATACTTCTGTAATTATTTTGAAGTAACAACTGTATGCACTACCCTATTACTAAAATTCAGGCAAAAAACCCCATCCAAATGAGACATTAATTGGATCAATTTTAAGAATATTTCAGATGAATATGTTCACAAAACACATGCTCATTATTGCAAAGCAGTCTAAGGCATTCTTCTATTTAATGAGATTAATAACACCAGCACAGATGAGTGCATGTCCTTCTTATATTGTTCTTCCCAGATCATTTAAATATATTAACGCTTAGAAAAGAAAAAAGACAGCCAGTATTGTAACTGTGATAGTATTTATTTTTTCAGAATTCAACTAGATGAGTGTAAGGTCCATTCGTATCCAGCTTTAACACCTGCCTGTTTCCATATGTGCCATGTTTAACAAGAACACCTGCTTCCATGCACTTGGCATTGGCAGCCAGTTGCTTTTCACACAAAGTCACAAACTGAGAATAAAGTTCCATTCCCTTTTCTTTTTCAATGTTTGCATGGTACTGCATCTTTCTTCCTTTCAGTTTACCACCCAGCGTAGCTTGTGGTATGATGAGCACATTGCCTGGTAAATCAAGGACAGATACGTACTCTCCATTTTCATTTTCACTTAATTTAACATTCAACAGCACATTGACTGCAAATAAAATAAAAATTAATATACCATTATAAAACTAGTATACCATTATAAAACAATATTCAAGATTCCACAAGATACTTTAAGATAAGACTAGTCACTCAAGCAAAAAAAGCTGTTACCAAAACAAAACACAGACGGTCATTAAATACTATTATCCAGTTAAGATTTCAGAGCATTGTGAAGAATGCAAAGGATATTCATATCAATGTAGTATGTCTAAAGAGTTACAGTGGGTGGGACAATGGTTTGCTCTTTGAAATCCTGCAGCTTATTCTAGTTGGAGCTCCCCAGAGGAATCCAGGATCTAACCAGTGACCCTGAAGTAATTACCTGATACTCAGGCAACATTTACACAGGAGCTTACATTGTATGAGATAAGGCCATCTTCAATACACTGGGAGACACTTCTGTCCTGACTTTCTTCTCTTTATGGTCAGAATAGATGGCAGCAGTATCCAACAATGAACTGATCCAGCTGAAGCCCTAGGCTCAGCAGTTTGGTCTCAGAGTAAGAACCCTTTAGTTTCCCTCTCAAAGACATGCAGGTGTCAGCCTGCCTTTTGAGAAGGAATGTAAGCAGGTAGGTCAGAGATGCAATTTGGTCCATTAAATGCTATGTGAAAACTTACAGATAGAAATGTTGTGTTTGATAACATTTTTCTAGTGTTTCTATAACAATCAAATGCTTCCCCCAAAATTTCCTCCAACTCCTTAAAAGCTGGGAGAATACTAGTCATCTCTCTAAACCCATAAAAAACACACTAACTTAAACAGTATCAAAACATATTAAGAACAAAAATATCCCATAAAACAGATACTTGGGAAGATGACAGCAGATAAATCTCCTAACAGCAAACAGAACTTTCTTTTTCCAGCCTATTCCAGCTGCCACAAAGCTGAAAAAGTGATTATTCTTGAGTCTCATAAAACTCTCACAAGCATAAGATTTTCATTTCATGCTGTTTTAAATATAACCAAAGATTTCATCTTAGTTTAGCATCACAGGAAGACCGTGCCCTTGAAGGACAAGAGCTATTTTCAGTATTTTCAATAACACCTGTGCTTGCACATTGCTAGGCCTTTTTGCTTGTCCCAGCATGCAGCTTGAAACAGACTATTGTTACATGACCTTTTGTGAAACTACCGCTATCAGCAACCCACAGAAACAGGGCACTTTTATGTAGAACACATCACTGAATTCCCCAAGTGATCCACTGCTAGTGATAGAGGAAAAGAGGCACAAGAAATTAAATCAAAGTAAAAGAAACTAACAAAACAAAGCAAGCAGCCAACCAACTGCAACAACAAAAGCTAAAACTACCCTAGAAGAAGGCAGACAAATCACTAGAGTTTGACCTTATTCAGAGCATCAGTTCCACATGAATGTAAATGTTAAAAGTGCATGTGAAGAAGAACAAGTGAACTACAGATAATGCTGTTAATACTACTGATTCAGAAAGGCTAACAATATGTAGTATGAGATGGGAAGGACACCAGTTAGTCATCCAGCCAACTCCCTCTACTGGCTATAATTTTAAACATCCAGCACATGTAGGGAGATTAAAATGAAAGTACTTCTTAAATAAAGCCATGAATTATCTGCAAACCATCTTCTCTAAGTTCAATTCTGTCCTTGACTGAAGATGCTGCTTGATACTTGTAATATATCCATTAATAGGTGCACCACTTTGTTTCCTAGAGTGTTTTCATCATGAACTTTCAATGTGAACAGATCTTGTAACAGGTGAATCATGAACTGACAGTCAGAAGAGATAAGGACAGCTGTCAAATGAAACATAACTAATCAAGCTGTTATTTCAACCACCTGATTAGTTGGAAATGATGCTATTTGATGATTTTTTTGCCTTCTCTTTTAAATGATTGTTGCCTTTTCTGCCACTACCATTTAGTTCTTTTTGAAACAATACAAGAATTCATACAGATTATATCATACCAATTTTTGGAATAAGATCCTCATCAGCACCTTTGAAGAAGCATATGTAGATAACAAGCCCTCTCTGGATCTACAAAAGATTAGAGAAAACAATATCAGTTTTTCTCACTGTCTACCATGCAGGTTTATCCTTAAAACTGATACAGAAAGGGACAAAACTACAATGACAAAATTCCCAAGATTAGTTTTACTTATTCCCTATAGCTTCAGATTTCAAATTTACTTACGGAAGTTTATGAGATATCAACTGATTACCTGCACAGTGCTGCTACCATGCAATAAAGCCAATTTGTTAGCTGCATGTGAAGCCACACTTTGTTGTAATATCCCATGCACAGTATTACTGTTATTACAGATCAAATAATTTACATATAGTTTGCATACATACAGTATGAAACTTAGCTTTATTTACAACTATGAAATGTCAAATACCATGGGATTTGTCAATGAATGGAATTATATTTTGATGTTAAAAATAAACTAGTGAAGGATAATTCTAACAAAACAGTTAATTAAACATTTAGATGTGACAACCAATTTAAATATGATGACCAACAGTTATGAAAGTTGTTCAGAATACTAGAAAGTTATCAAAAATGTTATCCATCAGTGAAACCTTTTTGACAAAGTTTGACTTTTCCCTTGATTTGGTCCATTAATCCAATTCCCTTAATTACCCCTTGTGTGGGGTAAAGGATATGCCACTTCCTTAGCAATTTAAGAGACCACTAGAAAGAACTGTCCATTTGAGGAAAGGATTAGGTCTGCAGTAACAAGAAAGCATAAAACAACTCGTTTTAACTCTTTTTTCTCTCTGGCTTAGTTCACAAAGAATACGTGTGTGACAACCTGTGCTTTATTAAGAAAATAAAGCTATTTGGCTACACAACCAACAGGAATGCTGTCTCATGTTCAAGTATATGTCAGTGATTTAACCTCTTCAGGAAAAAATAGAAAGCACACACAGCTTAACAATAAAAAAATCATACCCTGTCACTGCTGTTTTGTTAAGAATAATCACCATTCCATTCCTGTTAGAAGGAAAATTAACATCAGCACAGAGAAAATATGAAATGCTACCAAAGAGATGCTAATTAGATCGGAGCAGGAAGGATTCTTTACTTTCAATGTTTTAAAAACAAAAACATAAGATATGAGTATTTTTTAAAATAAACAACAAAAAAAAAAACACACAAAACCACAACCCTTTGTCTTTTCCTTTCCTTTTTTACTTATTCTTTTCTTTATAAGATAGAGGCTTTTAGTAAAGAAAAAAACTATACACATGAGATTTCATTCTTTTGTTATTGTGGAGACTGAACAAAACACTCAATGCAATGAGTAAGGAGAGCTATATCTTTGTAATTATTTTTCTAGTTACCAACATATGGAAAAAAAAAAGAATGCTCTTCACAGCCGAAATGTCACATGCTGAGATTCTTTCAGAAGCTATAAACTGCTCCTTACAAAACTCATTCTGACCACCACAAAATACTACACAGGTTTCCATTCCCAAATGATTGTCATATTTCATAAACAGCGTAATAAATTTCATGCCCTAAACGCATTGGCATAATGGCATTTCAAAGGCTCTATTCAAATGACAGAAAGAAATAAAAGCTGCTAAAGGATAGACAGTCTTACTTGCTTAACTAAATATTAGTTCCAGAACCAGACTAGCATCAGGATGTTAATAAAGAATAATGCACACATATCTATTAATAAAAATTAAGTTGGTCAAACACATTCACACTACATGTATACAAACACTAACTTAGAAAAAAACAATTACGCTATACTGCACACCCCCCATATAACTACTACTCTAATCTTGAGACTTCTGAAAGTTTCTGAATATTTTTACATACAGAAGTAACAGTATTCTGCAGAATGCTCATTTAAAAACAGAAAAAAGGAAAGAAAGTCAAATTTAAGACTTTAAGAACAGATAACTAAAAATCATCATTATTAGCTATTGCATTAACTAACTTAGTTTACCAGCCTCTCGCAAGATTAGGTGTTTAATTCAAAATACACTTTTTCTGTCACAAAATTTGATACATATCAGCTTCAACATCGGTTACGCTCAGAAAGATTAACATAGTAGAAGGGCAACACAGGAATAGAACAGCAAAGAGGCTATCATAAATGAAAGAGTATCACAAAAGAAAAGTAAAGGTGCTCACCCATCCAGAAAGATCCAGGCTCACAGAAAGAACTTCACCAAAGAGAAATCTGCAGAAACCCTTCCCCAGTGGGGGTCAGCCCTTAAATGGGGTCTAAGAGGGGTGCAGCCAGGCTCCACCTCTTCTGGTCACACAGCTGAATTACCTTCACCTGTGCTCCCATGCCTGACCAAGTCCTTTCCCCAGGTGCTCAATCAGTGGTTCAGACCATGACTCAGCAGTTACCGTACAGTGTTTCACAGCAATTAAATATAAAATGCAAAAATCTGAATTCAGAGGCAAGTAAATGCTGAGAATGTTTCTGTTTTTATTGTATGCTGTATGGGAACTGCTGAGTCACGGCTTGAACCTCTGATTGATCACCTGAGGCGAGCCATGAGTCAGCCAGAGGAGCACAGGTGAAGGCAATTCACTGTGCTGCCAGAAGGGCTGGAGCCTGGCTCCATCCCTCCTATTTAAGAGCTGGCTACCAGTAGGGATGGATCTTGTCTGGAGATCCTCTCTTCTGTTGTTTTTTGTAGGTGAGCCTAGTATATGGGTAAGCTTTCCATTTATTCTCTCTTGTTATCTTAGTCTACTTTGCCTCTCTTGTTCTTTTTGTGGTTATAGCATCTTAACATCCATTGATTATACATATGCTTATTATATTCTAGAATGTTATGGAGACTATCTAGTTTCCCAAGTTGAAACTCATGGTTTCAACTGTGATTGAGAACTATATTTGAACACTTATTTACACTGTGTTCAATCATGTTTCAACCTCAATTTGTTATATGTTACTTTTTTTTTTCCTTTTCAATTTTCTTAACTAAGAGACTTAAAACTGAATTTAAAGAGCTATCCTAATGGTAATGTATGTCAGTCCCCAGGCCTTACACAAGTATTTCAGGTGTCCTAGCTGATCAGAGCTACATTTAGCCCATGAAACGTCATGTAAAATAACACAAATAAGGAAGTTACAAATGCAACATGCTGACAAGCAAACAGTTACTGGAAAGAACTTACATAATGAAAGGCAGGCAGCTGTGCTGCGTGGGTTTCTTTTTATCAGTAAAAAGCCTACATAAATAAAGCAGTAAATCAAGTTACTCTGCAACAGTGGCTTTTATTGTACAACTGTCCTAAGTAATCATCAGAGCAGGCACACCTGCATCACAAAGGGCTGAAGTACCCAGTCCCCTAGGCCATGCAGCAAGCCTTAGCCACACTGCTTCTGGACACTGCTTTTTAGCTCCTCTGCAGAATAAATAACTAAGTCCTACTCTCTTTACAAAATACATTCATCTGAACTATGAAGGATTCCATTAGTAAAACCTAAATATATTCTACAAAATGTTATCTCAGCATGTTTTGTTTTTTGTTTTTTGTTTTTTTTTCTGGAAAATGTAATGCAACTGGTAATGAAAACAGATGCTTTGTAATTTGTAAGAAGCAAGTTTGTGGAACTAATATATATGAATTATTCTTTGACATCTTCATTCAGGCTCACTGAACAGTGAGAAGCATTATTCATATTTCACCCATTCTGCTGCATCAAAGAGAAATTCCATAATCTGCCGTGGGTCACAGAACAACCTGTACCAGGTATTTTTTTTTTTTACCCCATTTGGTATCTTAACCAGAAGATAAATCAAGAGAAATAAGGTATGGGAGAGACAGTTTTCATTGCATTAAGTGTAGATATTTCTTTTCTCCTATAGTTTGAAATACTCAATCTCATTGTATTTACCCCTAGATGTAAACAGAGTTCCTTTTTTTCCTTCAAAGTATTTTGTGTATACAGAAACTTCTAATGGATCCTATTTCGCCAACATTTCTGCATAAACAAGACCTAATAATCCTCAAAAGGTCATAAAGCTACAGTTGTGAAAACATAATGAAGAGTTGTGACTCATACAAAAAGTACACTTCTAGCCTTTTTCCTGATAAAGAACATCCACTCCAGAGTTCCCAAAGTACCTGCAGGGGTCTCTTAAAGCTTGGAAGCTCTTCAAAGCCACTTACATGATGCACAATTTATGGCTCACTAGAAGTTTCTCAAGGTGAGGACCTACTTTTTAGCTGTTACAGGTCAGAACACCCACACTGATTTATATAAATAAGCTTCTTTATTTATCATGCCTATATTTCTTTATTTTTCATTGGTACACAGAGTAGCATTATCCTACAAGAAAGCATCAGAAGCAATGATGCTTTTTAATGACCTCTAATGAAAGCCATTAAAGACTAAAGAAACATTATTTTCTTTTTACTTTCTTTTTTTTTTTTTTTTTTTTTTGCGCTGCAGGGTGATCAGCTCTTGTTACAATAGATTTCTCTTTATAAGCCCTGATATCCAGGAAAGATTTGTAAGGACCAGTTAAGCTTCATGTCTGAAAAATACCTGCTGCTCACACTGAACAAACCTCATGGTGATTTCCTCAATGTTATCCACTACTTTTCTAACAATTTTGGTTAAGATATTTAAATCTTCAAGTAAGAGATCTACACAGCATAAGTACCTTCTAACAGATTGACTTGTTATATGTAAAAACTGAAACATGTGCCTCTGTTTGGGTAGTTTAACAGACAGCCAGCACCTGTGACACCTCTGTGAAAGCATATTTAGGAGAGGGCAGAAAGCCCATAGAGAGAACATGAGAGGGATAGAAGGTATGTTGAGGGGAAGCTGCTATTCTCCTACATGGCCTGTAGCCTGGGAGGGCTTGTTCTGATAGGCAGGAAAAGAGGATGAGCAGGAGATAAGCCTTGTGTGGATTACAGTCGGCTGTATCCCGGTCTTGGCAGCGTGACCTGGCGTGACAGCATGGGAGTAGGGGTGTACTCAGGAGTGCAGATCACAGCCAGTGCTTGAAGCTTAGCCTGCCGAAGAGGGAGGACTATCTTTCCCACACATTTAAGTATTTTTTTTCTTTTCAATACTCAAACTAAGTAAACATTTAATTGAGAATAAATTAATATAAATTCTCCGAGTGAAAGCTGTTTTGCCCATGATGGTAAGTGGCAGCGATCTCCCTCCGTTCTGACCTGCTGCTTCTCCCACTCACCCCGCAGGGAGGGGGCAGCAGCTGTGCGCCTATCGCTCAGGCAGGCTGAAAAAAACACTGAAAACTCTTACAGAATGAATATAAGAGGGAACTAATTACAGATTTTTGCAGACGCCAGAAGGCAGAAGTGAAGCCTGACGGGAGTTACCACGAGGATCGCGTATCGGTCTTCCTATCTGCGGTAAGAATCAGCGGGCAGCGCCGTCCCTTTGCCGTACCATCCGCAAAGCCCCAACGGGCCGCAGCCACGCAGCCCCAGGCTCTGCCCTGCGCCCCCGGCCATGCCCGCCCCCCTGCTAAGGGAGGGGACGAAACCGCGCCCAGCGAGGCGGCCGCGCTGGACGTTACCTCTTCCCACTCAGCCTCCGCACCGTACTCGGGCGGCTTCACCTGCAGCCGAGCGAACAGGCACTGCTGCAGTAAGGCCCGAGCCAGCACCGGCCGCGCCGCCGCCATGGGACTGAGAGCACGCGGGAGGGAGCGGCGTGGGGGCGGGCGCGGAGCACGGGCGGGGCGGCGGCGGGGTCACGGTGCAGCGCGCATTGCTTTTCCGGGTTAACGGGAGCAGCGGCAGCAGTGAGGTGCTTAGGTGTCTCGGCTGGGGCGTTACAAAGCCCAGCGCCTGGGTACCGGCTCATTGGCGTGTGTGAGGAGCTGTGGTCCGGCAGTGGTTTCTGCGGAGAGGCAGGTAGCCACGTGCAGAGGCTGTAGCTTTAGGACAGAAAGCGTTTTAACAGCTCGTACTTTTTTTCTTTTTGTTAAAAAAAAAAAAAAAAAAAAAAAAAAACCACCCTACTGTTACCTGGAAGTTGGTCGGTTGGTTGGCTTGTTTGGATGAGAAAAATGCTGCTTAGCTTATTTTCTAGTGGGGGAGTGTTACATGCTGTGGAATAGTGTACTGTTTGGTTTCTGCATGAAGGCTAAAGCCCAGTAATGAGCAGTGGGAGGACTGCTTGTTGCTGCATTACTAACTGCGGTGCTTGGATTCCACTTACTAAGGTTTCACATCACAGGGCTTTTTTCGTAGTGACACTGTTTGGAAGCAGAGGGAAAAACAAATAACACAGTTAAACAAAGGACACTTGTATAGCCAGGGATCAGAATTAGGATCTGAAGAGAAGTTAAAGTATTGCAGCTGTTGCTTCTGTGATTACTCAGGTATCTGACTCTGTGTCCTGACTCACTGAGTAGATGACTTTTGCCCTCCTCAGTCTTGTGAGTTCTGATAGAGGTAGTGTGTGCTGGTGCAGAACTCAGCTTCTCAGAGTTCCTGTGAAAGATCTAAGATTTCATTTTCAGAGCCACATTTAAAAAAAAAAAAAAAAAAAAAGACAGTAGTATAGTAAGAAACTAAATTTTATTATTTGGCCATAGTCATTAGACAAGCTTAGTGCAGTTAACCATTGCACAGCAAGAGGCAATGTATTCTCATTAATAGCCATTGTTGCACAAAAGTTGTATTAAAATATGCTCTTTTGCATCAGTGTTCTCTGAGGTTGCTTTCAAAAGCAAACCTTTATAAAAATGATGAAATCACACTAGGTGGCTAGTGCGTAAACTAGCTCATTTGTTAGCTGTAGGGTACTGGTAAATGTGAGCTATTTTTATTTAAACTTCACTGATTTTATTTAAAATACCTTCTGTTCATTTATTCTAAAGCTCTATCCCCAGACTCATTAAGAAGAACTTAATGAGGTAGAAATCCATTTAAAATGAGTTTCTTCATATATATTTGTGATATAAATTTATTGTTAAGGAAAATGAATATTACTACAGCCTCTGAGCAAATTAGTAGAATACAAATAGATATCAGCATATATGGATATTAATTATTCTTTGTTGTGACACCATTGTTTACACCAGGATTTGATGCATTTATTCATATGGCATATGGTTGTGAACCAGTACACTGAACGAGCAGTGCAGGATCATTATTTGTATCATTCCCAATGTAGTTATATTGTTTTTTCCTTGGAAAAACAAAAATATGTTACTGTAGCATATGTTCCATTTGTTGAGTTTTATTGGGCCACAGGTGAAAGATCTCTTTTGTAAGTCAAAGAATGTTTGGCTAAATTTTAGCCATTTGAATTTGTGGTTGGTTTTTGTTTTATTTTTCTATGAGAGAACCTCTAGATTTCTAAGGAATGTATCCATGTATAAAATACACTTATATTTTATTATTATTATACTAAAGATGTTTTCCTACATGCTTTGGGTTTTATAGCTGTCCCAGAATATTTATTCTATCTTCTCTGCTTCTTGACCCTGCAG